ACCGAGTTAATGTTACTTTTATTTAATATATATTATATATATTATATAAATATTAATAAGTATATTATATAATTAATATTACTTTTATTAATTATTAATTTATTTTTTATTAATTTTATATAATAATTTTTAAAGATTTTTAATAAAAATATTTAAAAATAATATTTTTATAAATTTTTAATTAAAATATAATAAATAAATTATTAATAAAAGTTTTTTAAATTTATATTAAAAAAATCTTAAATTTAATTATTATTTAATATTAAAAAAATAATATTATATATTATATAATTTTAATAAATAACATTAATTCGGTAATAAAAAAGGTTTTATTTAAATAATAATTATAATTTAAATAAAGTAAATTATAAGTATATTTTTTATTATATAATTTTTTTAATATTTTTTTATACTTTATATTTATTTATTTTTTATATGCGTTATAATTTTTATAACGTTTTTTAATTTATTAATACGCGTTTTTTTATTAATTAAATTTTATCTCGCATTTTATTTTATAATAATCTTTTATATAACTTTTTATTTAACTTTTCATTTAATTTAATTAATTTAATTAATTAAATTTAATTAAAATATAAAATCTATACGTTTTATTATACGATTTTTATTTAATTATATACATTAAATAAAGTTTATACGATTACATTTAAATATTATAAAGTAAAAAAGTTAAAAATAAAGTTTAAATAATAAGCTTTTTATGAAATTAAACTACGAACTTATTATATTAAAATGATTTTTTAATAAATGTGATTTATTAAAAAATTTATATAAATTAAAAAAGTTAAAGTTTAATTAATTATTAATTATATATATTTATTAACGTAAACTTAACATTAAATATATATATATATATATATATATATATATAAAGTTATTTAATTAATTAATTAATAAAAATTAAATTAAATAATAAAGTTAAGTATATTTTAAAAAATTATTTAAAATTACGTAAAATTATTATAAAAAATATATACGTAACTTAATAAATTTATATAAAAATATATATAATATTTATATAACTTTCGTATAATACTTAATTATAACGAAAAAATGTGGTTATTATTTAAATAAAATTTTTTTTATTACCGAATTAATATTATTTTAAAATAAAATATATATTTTATTCTTTTTTTTTTACGTTTATTTTAATAATTTTATAAATATTAATATAATTATTTTTAAAAAATATAATTTAAATTATACATAATTTAATTTTAATTTAATTAAAATATATAAAAAATAAATATTTATATATATAAAATTTAAAAAAACGTATATATTTATAAATTTTCATAAACGTTTTTATATATTTATAAATTTATATAATAAAATTTATTAAAAATATTTTATTAATTTTTTATTATTAATTAATGAATTATTTATTAATTATTTAATAATTATTTATTAATTATTTATTAATTTTTTTATTAATTTTATATAATAATTTTTAAAAATTTAAATATAAAAAATATTTTTAATAAATAATAATTTTTTATTAATATTTATTAATTTATTTTAATTTATTATATAAAAATAATTATATTTTTACGAAATAAATTAATAAAAATTTTAAATTTATTTTATAATTTTAATTATTTAATTATTTATATTTTAAAACTTTTTTAAAACTTTTTTAAAATTTATTTAAATTATATTTATAAAATTATTAAAAATAAAAAATATTAAAATTATAAAAATAAAAATTATTAAATAAAATTATAAAATAATTATTATATTTAAATTTTATATTTTTAATTATATTTAAATTAATATTAATTTAAATTATATATATTTTAAATAATAATTTTAATTATTTTTTTTTAAATTATAATATAAATTATATAAAAATTAAAATAAAATTTATAAAATTATTAAAAGTTAAATATAAAAATAATTTTAATTTATTTAAAATTATATTTAAGTAATATTAATCGTGTAATATACCCATTGTTATTTATATAATATATACGGTATATATTTATTTTTTTTATTTAACGTTTACTTTAATAATTTTACGGATATTATTTCGACTTTTTTTAAAAAAATAAAATTAATTATATAAAAAAATAAGAAAAACTATAATTTAAGTTACATGTAATTTAACCCCGAAATGGTTAAGATATTAAAAAAGTAAGTATTTATATATATAAAGTAATTTTTTTATTAATATTTATTAGTTTATTTTAACGTATTATATAAGAATAATTATATTTTTACGAAATAAATAAATAAAAATATAAGGATTTTTTATAATATTAATTATTTAATTATTTAAATATTAAAACTTTTTCGAAATTTATTAAAATTATATTTATAAAATTATTAAAGTTAAAAAATAATGGGATTATAAAAAATAAAAACCGTTAAAAGTAATTATTATATTTAAAATTTATATTTTTAATTATATCCGGGTTAATGTTAATTTAAATCACGTGTATTTTAAGTTAAAATTTTATTTATTTTTTTATTTAAATTATAATGTAAATTATATATAAATTAAATTAAAATTTATAAAGTTATTAAAAGTTAATTATAAAAAGTAATTTTAAATTATTTAATAAATAACATTAAATAAATAATATATAAGGTTTTTATATACCATTAAATACTTTATTTTTTATATAAATTTATTATTATATATTTATATTATTTAATAAATTTTAATTATTTTACTTTTTAACGGTTACGCGTTTTTTTATTAATTAAATTTTATATTATTTATTTAATAATATTTTTATTTTATATTTTATTTTATATTAAACTTACGTTAATACGTATATATAATTAATCATTAATTAAACGTTAATTTTTTTAATTTATATAAATCTTTTAATAAATTATATTTATTAAAAGATTATTTTAATATAATAAATTTATAATTTAATTTTATAAAAAATCCATTATATTAATAATTTCACGTTTTTATTAAATTTTATTAAAATTTAATTATTATTTTATATTAATAATTATATTTATTTAACGAAAACGTTTTTTTTTTTAATAACCGTTTTTACCACTTTTTACCATTTTACCCGTTTTTTAAATAATTTATTAATTAATATTATTTTTTATAATTAAAGTTAAAGTTTAATTAATAATTAATTATACACACGTGTTAACGTAAACTTAATATAACTTTACCGTTTAAAAAATTAAAAAACGTCTTTATTTTTCTTCGTTATTTATTTAATACGTCGATGTTTAATACGCGAAGTCGCCGACTTTTTTTAAAATAATAAAAGGTTTAACTTTTTATTACGACCATTTTTTATTTAATTTCTTTAATAAATGATATCTTTTATATAATCGTAAAAAAACCTCGTTTTTTATTTTAAATAATATAAAGTTTTTTTTTAATCGTTTAATCATTAATTAAACCTTAACTTTTTTAATTTACATAAATCTTTTAATAAATTATATTTATTAAAAAATCATTTTAATATAATAAATTTATAGTTTAATTTTATAAAAAGTTTATTATTTTACATTTTTTTATATAATTTTTTATTTAATTTAACTTAATTAATTAAATTTAATTATAACGTAAAGTTTATTATAATAATTTTAATCGATTATATATATTAACGAAAAATTATACGGTTATATATAATTATTTTAAAGTAAAAAAATTAAAATTAAAGTTTTAATATAAAGTTTAAAAGTAAATATAAAGTTATATTATATAAAATTATTTAATTAAATATAAAATTTTAAAAAAATTATTAAATTTAATAACGTTATTATAAAAAATATATACGCGGTTAAATAAATTATATAAAAAATATAAATAATATTTATATAATATTTATTAATTTTATTATTTATATAATTATATAATAAATATTATTTATTTAATATATTTTATATTATTTATTTAATATTATTTTTATTTAATATATATTTTATTTTATTATATAAATAATAATAAATATATTATATAATTAATATTATTTTTATATTTTATATAAAGTAACATTAATCGTGTAATATATTTATTATTACTTATGTAATAAAATAAAGTACGTATTTTATTTTTTCTTTTTTTTTTAACGTTTACTTTAATAATTTTATAAATTTTAATTTAAATTATATATAAATTACATTAAAATTCGAATAAAAAAATAATAAAAATTTTAATTTAAAATATACGTAATTTAACTTTAAATTAATTAAAATATTAAAAAAATAAATATTTATATATATAAAATAACTTTTTTATTAATATTTATTAATTTATTTTAATTTATTATATAAAAATAATTATATTTTTATAAAATAAATCGGTAAAAATCAAAGGTTTTTTTTTATAATTTAAACCATTTAATTAATTACATTTTACCTTTTTTTTAAATCATTTAAAGTTATATTTATAAAGTTATTAAAGATAAAAAATATTAAAATTATAAAAAATTAAAGTTATTAAAAAAAAGTTTATAATAACCATTATAATTAAAATTTATACTTTTAACCGCATTTAAGTTAATATTAATTTAAATTATATGTATTATAAATTAAAATTTTATTATTTTTCTTATATAAATTATAATATAAATTATATTTAAATCGAATTAAAATTTATAAAGTTATTTAAAAAAACATGCGAAAAACGATTTAAAGTTATTTAATATATATCCTCGTATATTACACAGGTAATAATAAATATATTATACGATTAATGTTATTTTTTATATATTATATATTTAATAAATAATATATTATATAATTAATATTATTTTTATAAAATATTATAAATGTTAAAAAATATTTAAAATAAAAAAGAAATATATTTATTTAAAAGTATTTTAAATTAATCTTTAATTAAAGCGTAACACCTTTTAAGGTACGATTGTCGAGTATACGCAAACAGTACAAGTAAATGCAACCCTTCGACCCCACCACTTGTCAAGGTTGGTGGGGCATTACATCACCGGCCCTGACCAGCCTAGCGCCTGCACCAAGACGTATGTACAAACAGATTTTCTTTCTTGAACAATTTATAGTAAATCGCGCTTCCCCATCGTTCCCGATGCCGGACTTTTCCGGCCACCAATTGCTTTTCAAAGTTTAGAATTCGACGCGATTATACGGTAGCACCTCCGGTCTCTATCTCCGCTTCCCCTTCCCCCCCCCCTTACGTCCTTCTCAGAAACGCCTTCCCGCTCCTCGAATTTCTTTTCGGTCAACATGTCCTCCTCCGTCACAATATGCCTTGGAAGCCAGTGGGGCGACGAGGGCAAGGGTAAGCTGACGGATATTCTTTGCGCTGAGGCCCAAATATGTGCCCGTGCCGCTGTAAGTTGGTCCATCTGTCTCGGCGCTCCAGAGTGCGTGACAAGTAGGGAGCATCTTACGCCGGCCATGTCCTAGTTCTTGCTCCCTCATCCATCTACTTAACTGACACATATTCAACAGGGAGGACACAATGCAGGACACTCTATCAAGGCCAATGGAGTATCGTATGACTTTCACCTACTCCCGTCTGGTCTCGTTTCCCCTAAGTGTATCAATCTGATTGGATCTGCTGTTGTCTTCCACGTCCCCTCCTTCTTCAAGGAACTCGCCGACGTCGAGGCGAAGGGTATAAAAGATGCCAGTCAACGCCTCTTCGTCTCGGACAGATGTCATATCAATTTCGATTTACATGCTGCCGTTGACGGGCTCGAAGAGATCGAACTAGGTTCCAATGCAGTCGGTACTACGAAGCGAGGAATCGGTCCGTGTTATAGTTCTAAGGCAGCTCGGAGTGGTATACGTATTGCCGAGATGTACAACGTGGAACTGTTCGAACGCAAACTACGGCAACTGGCTGCCGGTTATAAGAAGCGCTACGGGGACCTCCTGAAATACGATGTTGAGGAGGAGATCAACCGCTTTAAAGATTACCGTGTCAAGCTCGCCAGCTACGTCATCGACGCTGTGGCGTTTATGAAGGACGCCCAGGAAAAGAATGCCAAGATATTCGTCGAGGGTAGCCAGGCTCTGATGCTGGATTTGGACTATGGCACTTATCCTTATGTCACCAGCTCCAATACGTGCCTCGGTGGTATCATCTCCGGTCTTGCGCTTAAAAGGAGAAACATCAAGGAAGTCATTGGCGTTGTCAAGGCGTAAGTGGCCATAAAACCCACGCTCTATGCTGGCCCTCTACTGGATATCTGGAGAATCGAATAGCTGATTGGCAATAGTTACACGACGAGGGTTGGTTCCGGAAATTTCCCAACGGAGGACCTCGGTGAGGTTGGCTCAAAGCTTCAGCAATTAGGCGGCGAAATTGGCGTGTCTACTGGTCGGAAACGAAGAGTAGGTAATCCTTTGGGCTTGTTTCAAGACAGGCGTAGAATCCAGCGATTCCCATTATACGCACCCCTCCAGCCTTGTGGTAGCTAACTCTAATATTAGTGCGGCTGGCTGGATCTCGTCGTCTTGAAGTACTCCTGTGCGGTCAACGACTATGACTCTCTCCAGTTGAGTAAGCTTGATGTTCTGGACACATTCGACAAGATCAAGGTTGCAATCGCGTACAAGAACAAGACGACCGGTGAGGAATTGCCTTCATTCCCGGCCGACCTATCAATCCTGGATGATATCGAAGTCGTTTATCACGAACTACCAGGATGGAATACTAGCATTTCCAAAATACGCGAATGGTCTGCGCTTCCTAAAGAAGCACGCGATTACATCGAGTACATCGATAACTTCCTTCAAACTAAGGTAAGCGTTATCAGTAGTTCCCCTTTACTTCGTAGTCAGAGAGGAAACGCCGCTGATAAAAGAACATAGGTCAAATGGATTGGCACCGGTCCTGATCGCGAGGACATGATTTATCGTCCTTAGATTAGAGGACCAAAACATATGCATCATTCCTGGGGTCTAACCATACGTCATGACGGATTTTCGTCACATAGATATCTGATACCATGAGTGGAATCTGCTAGAACCAATGCAAATAAATAGAATAATAAATCAACGTTGAATTCACATGCATGCTGCGTAATATACAAATGCAGAAAGTCACCATCCTCGTAAATATGTTATGCGTTGCGGTATATAGCATGAAAAGATATTCGAACGGATTAATTCCATCTCAGGTGATGGAAAGCATTCGGTTTTATGTCGATATAAAGTAATATAAATATTACTACGGGCGAGCCTCTAGGTTACGCCCCTTTTGGACCTCCTAAGGGCGTGATGTTTTAATGTTGTCTCCGGGGAGGATGGATTATTTATAAAGTAGCAATAGATAACGGCATAGCCGTCAACAGGCAAATCTAGCAGCAAATCGTAGCAGAGGATAATCAAGTAATATTCCCATATTATTCTTATCGGTGTGTGTAGCCTTCAGCAGAACAGCTAGTGTAACAGAGTAGAAGGTGCTTTTTCCCAAGTCAATTCTTGACGTATACCTCTATCGTAAGTAGGTTTGTCAAAGAGTGAAACAATCCAAGTTATATACTCGACTAGGATACCCTATGAACTTAATACCGATCATATTTACATAGTGAGATATATTTGATAGTTTAAACCTTTAGCCCGGTTATAAAATCTATGTTATCGTTGGTGACGTGGTTGTCACGTTCAAGATATAATACTCACAAGTAAGTCATGAGCACCTATACATACGAAAAGGTGCCATTGGTTTCCATGCGGGTTAACTTATTTCTGGGCATAGGCTGTATATCCATAAGCCATTTATAACGAAGATATCGACTTGGATCCGGATTTACGTGTCAGATTGTCAATGTTGGGAAATTTAAATAGTATGCCACTTATTGGTAAGGGCCATGCAAAAAGACAGTTGTGCGAAAGACCTTAAGACTGTAGCCCATACTATACATATAGCCATCTGAGGTTCTCTGTAGTCATATAGTTGCCGGCATAGACACAACAGCTTATACAGTGGTCTTCTATTTGCTGCTGAACGATGATACGCGGGTTACGTAGCGTGGCAAGCAGACACCACGCAAACACGGCGTAGAATATAATAACTATATCTAAAGCAGAGACCTTACACGTAATTCACTGAGATCATAGTCTTATGTCCGAGGGCTTTGGAACAGTATCTCCCCTTATGTCGGGCGTATTTAAACTCGTAGTTAGTATAAGTTATAAAAACGTAGAATAGTGACAACACCATTACTCAGAGGCCGAGTCTTCACGTATATCAGAACGCTAAATCCACCGAAGCTGCTTCTACTCTACACTTTTCACATACCAATTATTATATCCTGCTTGTTTTTAGAAGCGAGACAGCTCTCGAGCAGCTATAAACCACATACGTAGTTACAACCAAATATTCTAAACCCATGTAAAACATAACACATTTCAAAACTCGGGATATTAAATATCACTTAGACAATATAATGCTACTCCGATCAAGTTAAGTTATCATTGGGTGAATCAATAAACATCTGGCTAGATTGCCACTGAATGGATATGTCCATGATATTATTATCATCTCCAAATATGTCTGCCTTAAACACCTTTGACCTGCATATTTGTATACCAAACGCTCCGCAAACAAAAGAACAGGATGTCACCAACTGAAGAAATACATTCAAAACTAGGAGACGTATCAAATCTTCCAGTACCGAACATTCATATGACCAGGTTACATATTCACTTATTTCCTCACTAACGCTGATCGACGCGATTATTGGCAAATCCACACACAAAACCCCAACTAAAGTGCGTAGAAATTACAACATTGCTTATTCAAAGATATTTATTCGAAGACACCTCCACAAGCATGCCGACAGGATGACCGCTCTACTGTACACTCTACCAATGATGTGACCCATTCCATTTACCGTAATAAATTGACGAACCCCCCCGTGCATCCATCAGATTAGCCCAACAACATCTTGCGGGGATCCTCGATGTACTCCTTGACCTTCACCAAGAACTGGACGGCTTCCCTGCCGTCGAGTAGACGGTGGTCGTACGTCAGGGCAAGGTACATCATGGGTCGGACCTCGACCTTACCATTCACAGCAACAGCCCTGTCCTTGATGGCGTGGAGACCTAACACAGCGCTTTGCGGCAGGTTGATGATAGGGGTACCCATTAGAGAGCCAAAGACACCACCGTTGCTGATGGTAAAAGTACCACCAGCCATGTCCTCAATTGTAAGCTTACCATCTCTGGCCTTCCTTCCCATGTCCGCGATAGCCTTCTCGATTCCAACCATATCCATGGATTCAGCATTGCGGACGACGGGAGTAACCAGACCCTTCTCGGTGGCAACAGCCACGCTAATATCGACGTAGTCTCGGTATACGATAGTATCGCCACCGTTCTCTCCCTCGATAGAGGCGTTGACAGCAGGGATATCTCGCATAGCTAAAACACTCGCGCGCGAGAATGCGCTCATGAAACCAAGCTTAACACCAGTCTTCTTGAGCACCTCGTCCTTGTAGAGCTTGCGGAACTCCATTAATGACGACATGTCAACCTCGTTGAAAGTTGTCAACGACGCAGCCGTGTTCTGCGATTGCTTTAGGCGCTCAGCAATACGAAGGCGCATGCGGTTCATCTTGACACGTCGCTCCTCTCGGCTCCCCAGGACGGGGCCAGTACTAGCCGAACTGTCCTTGGCCGGCTGAGACTGTTTCGGTGCAGACTCCTTCTTGGGTGCTGGGGGGGACGGCTGTGGCTTGGGTTGTTCCGGCTTAGACTCAGGTTTCGACTCAGGCTTAGGTGGCTCTGGCTTGTTCTCTCCCTCTGAAGGTGCTGGGCGTGATTCGGTGGAAGCCTCCTCCTTTTTCGGCGGTTCCTCGGCACCCTCAGACTTTGCACCACCCTCAGGCGCTGCGCCAGCCTCAATCTTTGCGATCTCCTGGTCGACGGTGACGGTGTCTTCTTCATTGGCGAGCAGCTCTTTTAATACTCCAGACTCGGGGGCGTTGACGGCGACATCGATCTGTGGATGCACATGTTAGAATACCGGTACTATATGAGATGAGATACGAGTTGAGCACATGGTTTTCAGTTACCTTGTCAGTTTCAATGGTAGCAATCTCCTCGTCCTGCTCGACATAGTCGCCGACTTTCTTGTTCCACTGTTTTAAAGTACCCTCGGTAATGGACTCTGCCATCTGAGGGACTTTGACGATGGTATGGGCGTAGGTGCGAACTTGGGTCATGAGCAGCGGCAAGGGAATGGTCCCTCGCAGGGGCTGCTGCTGCATGGGCCGGCGCAGAACTCGCGCGGCAGTTTGAAGCCGTCTTGACATCATCTTAAAGGGTGGATGTAGATCGAGATGGTGTAGGAGGGCGGAATAAGGACTCCAGTAAATGGGAGTTATATAGGAGTAGGTGTACTAAAAAAAAGGCGGGTTGGTTGCCAAAAGCCTGCAATGGCAAGAAATCAAGTGCGTGTTATTTTATTAATCGCTATCTCGGGTTTGAATTTAGGAGAAGATCCAGAAAAATTTCAGATACGATCCGCTGCTCCCATATTTCCGGCAGAGCTTCTGGGTTTTTTTCCGTCACGGCTTTCTTAAATCATGGAATTGTACGGAGCAATTACTAGGCTTGTCTGGTCGCTTGTCCACCTATATTTGCGCATCGGAAATGTTACTCACCGATTGCTCTGCTGTCCCTGTGGCCATCTAACACAAGTGCTAAGCAAGCAGCTTAGCTTGGTACCTACCTGGTCATACAAACATATGCCGAGGTTATGTACCCGTTTCTTTCCCATCCCCCTGCTGGAAGGAAAAGAAGAGGTAGAGAAGGTACCATGCATGTATAATAATACTATGTACTGTGGCGTAATCTGGGTACTTACCTCATAATACGTACATGTAAAGTCATCAAGTCTAGCTAGTGCATGTACCTATTACAAGTGGAACTGCCTAAATGGAACGCTAAGAGTAGTAGGATAAACGTCATCCCGGCCCCGATAGATACACTGTGGAGACCTTGGCTACCTACCTTTGGGACCTGTTTGGAAGTTCCAATTAACTGCGTGGGATTTCCAACAACTTCAGGTTTAACACGGGCACGACACCATCCCGCCAACCGCGCGTAGAAGCTCCCTACTCCATCACCTCCCTGGAGAATATATCGCACAAGCAGCTTTGGTGCAGCTGGAAATCCTGGCCGCAGCAGCTTGCGGATGATCCGGGCTGCGCACATCGCAACTATCACCGCGACGAGTAAAAGACCTCACTATGTCGAACCGACAAGCTGCGCTGTAAGGCCAATTGGACGCTATTCGTATTGTGCATGCGCTAATTAAATTACGCACAAGGTCGCTTTACCGCCGCTCATTAAAGCTGGCTCTTGACTGGGCAGTGCATCGAAGCTTATGGCGTGGCCAAGCTCTCTATATCCGATCTCTCTTCGAAGCGAACCGAAACATCACGGACATTAAGAAACAAAGGGTATGGGAATACCCTGCAATGTATACAGAGATAGGACACACCAATTGACCGTTCGATGTTACAGGCGTTACTCAGCGAAACAGAGAAGCTGCTGGAGACGTGGAAACACCCTGATCCGTATTGCCCACCTACGGCACCTGGAGGTATGTCACATACTGAAGGGAAAACTTGCTACATGGAATTCGGTATGCTGACAGTTTAATTAGGATCTAAATACGAGAGGAACTTGCCAGTACACAACACTGACCGTAAGCTATATATATGTTCCCTTGGGTTACGTCTTAATTATGCTAACATGCCTCATAGCTCCGCCGCCACTTAGGTTTTAAAGGCAAAATATCTGGAAAGGGATAGATCATGTCGATCTGTACATAGAACCTGCAATATACGGGAAAGTTTAGACAAATGCCAGAAACATTCATGAATGCCAAGTACACTCGAATCCTCATAAACCATCAAGAAATTCGATAATTGATAAAACGACTCGAGGACTACACAATGTAAATGTTGGACCAAATATATTCAGTTAGCAATGATTAAAAAATTAATAAAACGAATCACAAAGCAATAGAAATGAAGGTAGATTCGAAGTTTACGATGCATTAAAGACTCAGGTATTATTGTTCAGAAAATATTCTCATTCATGTCCATTACTCGATGGATTATGCCTGTAATGTACAGCCCTAACGCGTGAAAGCAAAACCGTGCCCTGCCGTGACCCCGTGGTTCATGAAACGTCCCAAACGACCAATCAGAAAACAGAAAACGATGCCAAATTACAATTCTTGGCTTTGACTGGCGTTCTTGCCAGGCTTGCCCGTCTTCTTGGGGAGCAGGTCTGAAAATCAAAGTTAGATAAAATGTCAGAGAAAAATCAAAGGGTAGAGAAAACCTACTCTGGTGGATGTTGGGTAGAACACCGCCCTGGGCGATGGTGACGTGGCCGAGAAGCTTGTTCAACTCCTCATCGTTTCGGATGGCGAGTTGCAAATGTCGGGGAATGATACGGGTCTTCTTGTTGTCACGGGCGGCATTACCAGCCAGCTCGAGAATCTCGGCAGCGAGGTACTCAAGAACGGCAGCGAGGTAGACGGGAGCACCGGCACCGACACGTTGGGCGTAGTTACCCTTGCGGAGAAGACGGTGAACACGACCGACGGGGAAAGCCAAACCGGCCTTGGAAGATCGTCTAGAAGATGAAGCATGTTAGAAAATGTTGTTTGAATATTGGTAATTGACGCGTCCGATTTGAATAGGAAATGCGAGTATGACGCGTCATGCTGGAAAAGGGAACAGGGAAACCTACGATTGCGCGTTCTTGGAACCGCTGGCCTTGCCGCCGGACTTGCCGCCTCCAGTCATTTTGATTGATGTTTTGGGGTTGAAAAGTTGAAAGTTGATAAATCTAGGTCACGAAGGACTGATGCTTCCAAAAGCGTGCGAGGGCGAAGATAAATTGATTTGTTGTTGTGGTTGATGAATGTTTTGATACGGAGAGAGATGGGAAACGGGAGGAAGAAGTTGAGTGGTGGTGGGGGGAGAGCTTGCTTAAGTATTGTTGGTCGCGTTCTGGAAATCAGAATCACTCACTGATCACCACCGCCCAAAAAAAACTAGTGGATTGATTGTGCGCCTAGTCCGTATTGGGCTGAATTTCGGGGGAGCTGCGGGTTCGGCAGAAAAAGAATGCAAGGAAGATTCGCTGGAAAGCACGGGCCCTGCCAAACGCATTTAGGCCCCGAGAATAATAAATCAATTTTATCTACCTGTATTTACGCGTATAGCTAGGTATCTTCCCGCGTACCTCCCGAATTAAATCGTTATTTAGACTTTTGTCCAATCATAATCCACGCTACGAAATGATGTTACCGATGTTAGATCTTGCAACCTCTGACCATTGTATCTAAATGTAAAACGGCATGCTTACCCCTCAGGAATGCCTTCCCATAATTTCATCCGATTTTCATTTTCTTTCTTTTTTTTCGCGCTCCTCGCAAATCAAAATCCAGTCAGGTAGTAACATGGTGCAAAGTCACTTATTTTGCCTAGCCGTCTCAACCCATTGTCTATTTTTTTTTCTCAAATCAATTCCGGTCTTATTGTCGTGGTTGCTTTGACAGCGCGAGGCAACTACTATTTACCTCCAACCCCTTAAGTTCTTGCTTTCTATCGGGCTGTTTTGATTTAATCCATCACATATTGTTCCATTTTCTAAGTGCTACTTTATGTGTCTAAGCTTTGGCTGGTTCCAATCTTGGTTCTTTTTTACATAGAATCCTAATATGTTAAAGAGGGCACTTTTTAAGTTTTCTGGTGGTGTCAACTATTTGACTCCATTTCATAAAAATAGTGCTATATTTCTATTTAGTTCAGGTAAGTCTTTCATATTCATATTATATATGGTATATTGATATATGTAAATTTTTTTTTTTTCATTCGTATCTTTAAGATCTATAGTAAAATAGGGTTCCGTGATTGTAGTTGAATCGGATCCGATATCTACGGTATTTACGGAGGCTCGGATAGTCTTTAAAGGTCCAAGTTAGCCGAACTCTATCGGGCTCGGCTGTTGAATTACGTGAACACGGAACATTATGGTCACAATTCGGATTTGGTTCTTAGTCGGGAGCTACGGATCTATGGAGACTCCCTGACCTCGCCGGACAGTGTGCATGTGACCGATCTCAGGGCGTTGAGCGCCGCGAATCTCATCGGATCTGATAGGATGTAGTCGCTACATGGCGCTATGCGGGTTATGCAGACAGCCAGCAGCCGGCACGGAGTAGTGGGGATGAGGAGACGAATTGCGGCAGATGGATAATAATTGATAAAAGGTACTTGCGTTGCGTAGCTATGAGAGGCAGATAAAATCCAAAATTCGCAGGTATCTAAATTATCTGATTGGTCGGAGCTCATTATCGATTCTTTAATCAATTTCCTCTTTCGTCATTTGTTTTGGGGGGATAGCTTATCCATGTCTGATTCGAAGTACAAACTGCTTAAAAAAATGCTAGTATTATGGTCTGTGCATAGAAAACGCGTACCGGCTTCTACCGCGTTTACTGGCGTTACCTTATGGAAAGTGGGGCAGATAGGCACTAGACACCGCTCCCCAGGGGTGTACTTTCTGGCGTGTACCTTTTTTTTTTAGCTGCAACATTAGCTGGCACCTTTTTTTACGTTCAACCGCGTTGCACAAGGCAAGATCAATCAGTCCAACCTTACGAGGATCAAATCAGTAATCACGCTAGCGCCCGGGGCCAATACAAAAGGACCTCCCACCCACCACCTTTTCTCCGTCAAACCATCTTTTGACTTCTTCTCCATCTCCCATCTCTAACTTCTGCCAGCACAACAAGCATTTGGATTTTTCCGCATCACTCAACACACTTTATACCCAATTTCCGATTTTTCATCTCTAATCATCCAACATGCCTCCTAAAGCCGCTGACAAGAAGCCCGCCTCCAAGGCTCCCGCTACTGCCCAAAAGGCGCCTGAGAAGAAGGATGCCGGCAAGAAGACTGCCGCCACTGGCGAGAAGAAGAAGCGTACCAAGGCGCGTAAGGAGACATACTCCTCCTACATCTACAAGGGTAAGTTGCATACCTGGTTTTCAGTTTTGACGCGACTTGGATAATCCGACGCGTCATAACTGGTAATTTTCAATCGACCTATCTAGTCAATTACTAACTTCATGATTAGTCCTCAAGCAGGTCCACCCCGACACTGGTATCTCGAACCGTGCCATGTCTATCCTCAACTCGTTCGTCAACGGTATGTTAAAATAACCTACGCGCTTCGACGCGTGACTATAAAAGTCAATCAACCACTAATACGGCATATCCAGATATTTTCGAGCGAGTTGCAACTGAAGCCTCCAAGCTTGCCGCCTACAACAAGAAGTCCACTATCTCATCTCGAGAGATCCAGACCTCAGTCCGCCTGATCCTCCCCGGTGAGCTCGCGAAGCACGCCGTCTCTGAAGGAACTAAGGCGGTAACCAAGTACTCGTCATCCACGAAATAAGTGCTTGGTTTTCTGCGTCTGGTTTCTTTTGGGCATGGGACTTTTTTCTGCTTTGGCATCATGAACGAGACTCACTCAGCCAAGGCTTGGTGTTGTGTTTTCATCAAGTCCCTACATACGGGAGTCTCATAATGCGTTACGGATGGTTTGCTTTTTATTAAGGGGGCAATGTCTTCGCACAACACGGTCTGGGGTTTGCGGTTGTACAATACTCTTTCCCGATAGGGTTTCGGAATGAATCTGCATATGAACAAACATCCTGAGCTCGTCTTTAATCATCGTGAATAATGCTAATACGAGAGGTCTTCTGGTCCCATGTTTTTTGCTTCTCAGATCTGGTGTTTGCAGTACGTGTACCGGACTTATCTGATTAGGTGATGTGCGGGGCAATTCGGGTTGGACTCCGCTGTGTTCAAGCACGCGCCCCCGAATTCTAAGTAAATGGCGCTTGTTTTCAATTCAGTTTCCTCATTACGATATGTTTCCGTCACTTTTTCTTCTTCTTTCGCGCAGGGTACAAGCATTCATTTTTCAACCTGTTGAAGCAATTTCTGTCAGGTGTTCAGTCAGTATGTGAAATTTGGCAAGTTTGCTATTCCAGGGATATGCCCCTTTCGTTAATCCGTTAGTATGTGTTTTTTCTCGTCTTGCATTCCGGGGGATAACCTCAATATTGATTTGTAATATTATTATGTAGGAGAGGATGAAATCTTAATCTTAGGCTTGATAACTTGTGGTTCGAGTAGCTAAGCATTTCGAACATCCCAGCATGTCTGGGGATAGTTATACCGTACCTCCTGAGTCGTAGCCTCGTATTGTTCCAACAGTAAGTTTACAACTGATCTGAATACATCAGTGAATGCTGCCTCTTAGGCATCTCCAAGACCAGCTTTGGATTTCTTGACCACATGTGTAATGGGTACCATAATGCCCTTATTCTCCTCACTTCCCAGGGCCATGCCCTTTGACCATCCCATCTTCTCCAGTATCGTTCTGCCCTTGTTCTCTACGCCTAGTTCGACGGCATTTTGTCCGATGACGTCGCCTTCACGGTAGGTTAAAGAGCTCTTGAAGCGCGACTTACCACTGCGGGCTTCGGCTCGCTTGAGGATTCTAGTTTCATCCACCAATTTGGCATTAGCATCAACACGCGGGAACCAGGTTTGCTTGACGCGGCCAAATGTTCTATCAAAGGTGGCTTGGTCGAATGGGAGCGTGGTCTTGCAGCGATAAAGGACCGGGTATCTATCCTTGCCCTTGCCCGCGGATTGCGATTTAATTCTGAACTTGTTTGCTAGAGCGTGGACAGTTTTACGGGTACCTTTGTCAAATGGTGGCAGAATAAGTCTAGATAGAATTAGCGTTTTTTGTGCATTGGATGGTGAATAGCTCTGTCATGACCTACTGTTCTTTAGAACCAATGAGGAAGGCCTCAAGTTCGTTGGCGAGGTCATCTAATGACATACCCCCAATGTACTTAATTCGAAGGTCATTGGGATTGACGTTCTTTCCAAGTAGACCTTGGGATCGTAGTTCCTCGCGTGCTCTCTTCTTCTCTGCCTTCTTAAGGCGGTCCCGCTGGTGGGTCAATCTCATAGCCTCTTCCAACTCAGAGTCTGAAAGATCGAATGTTGGTAGAGCTTTCTTAAAGTTGTTAAGACTAGGTCTATGCCAATCCATAAGGTCCAGCTCATCGAATGCATCCGCCATCTGCGTTGCACTTGGAAATTGGCCTTGTTTTTGGATCATCTTAGCTTTCTTGGAATCACCCTTCCTCTTACGACGCGGGGCAGCTTGGGATGTCATCCATTCGTCGGATGCTTCTCCATCAAAAAGCAAAACATCATCACCGCCAATACCCAGCTCCTCTTGTTTGGCGAGCATGCGGGCTATGCGTTCGTCCTCTGCCTCGAGCTGACGTTGGTGATTTTCTGCGTCGGTTTCCTCTTCCGCATCTTCCGAGCTGTGGCCTGTACCATCTTCACTAGAGACTTCGTCGGGAACAGCGTCGCTATCGGTGCCGCCGAGATCTCTCAGTATACTAAAACCATAAGACCCGACTCCCAAATGCTGGACTTCGTCATCTTCTTCCTCCTCCTCCCAGTCCTTAATATTGGCCATATAATCTGCAATGATAGCAGCATCCTCATCTGATGTGACATTCTGATTTACTTTATGCCGCCTTCCACGGGTTTTCGGCTTAGAGCTAAGAGGTATATAATCATCCTCTTCCACGACGTGCTCCGATTCTGTCGGTTCTGGGTGAATGGCCTCTTCGACAACATGCTGTAGTTCAAGATCCAATTCATGGAGTTTCAAAGAATCTACATCAGCCTCATTTTGTTTACTCTTCGGAGAGATTGGATCTTTGCGAGCGCGGTCTCTCCCTTTGAATAGTATGACTTCCTCACTGGAATCCCCGCTATGATCAGATTTGGGATCTGTAGAACGTCTATGACCCTTTGCCGAGTTTTTGTTTGGAACAATATGGGTGTTTGACGTGGAAGATGGCTGTGTTCTACGAGACAGGACTTCACTAGGCGAAGGCGAAACATGGCCCTCAGATGGACGAGCATCTATGATAGGATCTGCGGTAACCGATGCCTGCTCTGTGGTACCTGAGCTTACCCGTGTTTCATTTGAAGCGGTAAGTTGTACGTTCAGGTCATTCAGAGGGTCCATGAAACCAGCGCTGATAAATGTAACAGGCTTATATCTTAGTTTCGCGTCATTGCTACGGGCTCCGCGGCGATTGGATGCCGTGTTCCTAGCCTCGTCGGCAAGCGTATAGCCTGGATTGATATTAGGCCTAGAACAAAATTTAAAGGGAGACATGGGCAATAATAAAGTAGATACCATGAAGTCGCACGGAGCCGTGGGAGGCTGGTGATGAATTATTGCCACTATACTCCCCCGAGGGATTTCCGAATAGAGGGTTCTTACGACGAGGGAATCTCTGGCCCTTAAACCTAGAGCCTCCGCCGCCCCTTTTATTCTTGGCCATAGTAAGGTTTGGTAGATAATGACCTTAATATGGGATTCAATAATAGAGTTGGAAAGTTGTATGAGGTTAAAGTGAGATTTAAAGAAAAGGTCGACCGTCGAGTTAGGTTTGGATGAAAGAAAATGGGTAACTTTCTGATGACGATAATGTGGACCGGAGCATGACTGGAACCCGGTGGCTGACTCTCGAGTACTCGACACAGAATTGAGGTCCTCCTTATAGCTTTGAATTTATAGCTTTGAATAGGAGATAGCAAATAGGAGTGTAAAGGGGATTTGAGACGTTTAAATTTCTAAATGTGCTGGATTCGAGACTTCCAAGTCACTACCACAAACGCAAGTGCCTAAATGTTCCTGGGACTACTAGACTCGTAAATTTGGCAGTTGCGAGCCCGTATGTTATGTAAGTATACACATAGTATACCTACCTGTTAATGTATAGGATACATACATGTAGGTACGGCGTGTCTTTTGCGGTCTATGTATTAGGTCTGTACTTGGTACATCATAGATAACAAATTTATCGATAAGATTCCCCATGGTCTCGTCACAAGGCACCACCGTTTAATCAGTCAATTCAGTCATTCCCTCAGCCCCTCGCCCCGCCTTATCCGCTTAGACCGCTAGCGGCAAACTGGATACAGTACAAGGTCAGTGACCGGGGCTTGCCGGGTGACTTGGCTTGGTAGTCGCTAACTCGGACAGCTTACAACTTCCCAAGCTTGAGAAGATACCAGTTTCAACTTCATCATTAGCTTCATAGCTTCATACCATCTTTTTCCATCTCCTTAATTTTTCTCGTCTTCAGCTTCTTTCTTGGGTGAATGGTGGCGCTTCCAACATCCGAAAGCGTAGTGCTGGTCTACCATAGTCCATCCCAGCCGTCATCACCCATCAACCAAACATAATCATTACCTTCCCGTTCCTGGCTTCTTCCCCCCTCGTCCATCTAAGCCGTCCTTACTTGGTCGTGACCAACTTACAATAATACCCCAACAATCCTAGCGTAGAGTTTTATTTTATATTGTTCTCTTTTTATTTTCAATTGTGGCACTAGATTTCCCTTTATCTTGTACTAGAGCAGGATAAAGGTTATCATTATTGAAGTATCTTGGTCGTATCTTTGGACTACAACACCACCATTTCTCAACATGGGGTCCACGGTTGATATCGGTAGACGCATCGTGCAATTGTTCTGGGATCCCGAACCGACTAATGATGTCATCCGAGACCGACCGGTTTGGTGTCTTGGATCCTCTTACAGGCTCAATAACAGCAACAATAATAGTAGCAACAACAATGGCGCCAGCAGCACCAATAACAGTAGTATCAGCCCAAAACAAGATACACCTTCGACTTCCGAACCACCAGCCAAGGATGCCATCCAAGCTCCTTCTAGACTCCCCGAGACTCCTCCCGATTCTACCTCCACCAGCTTAGACTCATCCCTCGCCTACGACGAAGCACCTCTAGATGGAGGTTGGCCTCCCGCATTCCTCGACGATTTCGAGTCCAGAATATGGATGACCTATAGGTCCGAGTTCGACCCTATAGCCAAGTCGCAAGACCCGAAGGCTTTCTCCGCCCTATCTTTTTCGATGCGACTCAAGAGTCAGCTAGGCGACCAGACCGGATTCGCCTCCGACAGTGGATGGGGTTGTATGATCAGGTCTGGCCAGAGTCTATTGGCCAACGCTATGCTAGTACACCGTCTTGGTCGAGGTATGCGAGCTTATCAGAAACGAGACCGAGTCTTTGTACGTTGTGCTAAATTATGTATAGGATGGCGAAGGAGTACGCCGAGTCGGGAAGAGAATAAGATACTATCCTTGTTCGCCGATGACCCACGAGCACCATACTCAATACACAACTTCGTACGTCATGGCGCTTCTGCGTGTGGGAAATATCCTGGCGAATGGTTCGGTCCTTCAGCGACCGCGAGGTGTATCCAGTGAGTATTCTGTAAAGATCCGGTAGTGTCAGAACTACGATAACTAAGTACTAGCCAGAGCCTTGACAAATACCACCGAACCGGCGTTACGCGTCTATTCTACGGGGGATGGGCCAGATGTCTACGAGGACAACTTCATGAAGATAGCCAGACCTGATGGCACAACTTTCCATCCGACAGTGATATTAGTGGGCACACGTCTGGGCATTGACAAGATTACGCCTGTATATTGGGAAGCTCTCACAGCGTCCTTACAGATGCCGCAGTCAATTGGTATTGCTGGGTAAGTTGTCTTATATTTTATAAGCTTCTCCATGTCTGAAGGGTCCGCTTCTAACTGATGGTAGTGGACGTCCGTCGTCATCGCATTATTTCATCGGCGTCCAGGGCCTCCACTTCTTCTATCTGGATCCCCATTTCACGCGACCAGCCTTACCCTATCATGAAGACCCCGACGAGTATACCCAGGAAGAAATTGATACCTGCCACACAAGAAAGCTGCGACGACTGCACGTCAAGGAAATGGATCCAAGCATGCTCATCGGCTTTCTAATTCGTGACGAAGAAGACTGGAAGGACTGGCGGAGGAGCGTCAAGCACGTCCAGGGTAAAGCCATCATTCACGTATCGGACCACGACCCGATCGCACAGATGGAGGCAGCCGGGGGTGCTATAATGGATGACGTTAAAACTCTGAGCGACGAAGATGAGGACGACGATACGGAGCTGGTGGAATAAACGAATATCAGGCGCAATATGTTATCGGGTTGGCTAGGAGAATACCACTAGGTAATTGCCAGGCGTTAAGGTGTGGATTATGGAGGATTATGGAGGATTATGGAGGATTATGGAGGATTATGGAGGATTATGAATAACCATTGGCGGTGTAAATATCTTGAGCACCTACAGCAGTGATTTGGCAAGTCATGGTTGCTAACTACCGAAGTGGCTGCCTTCTTCTTTATTTTGGCGGATAGGCAGGGAGGGAATAGGAATTATGCCAGTAACGCCTCAATCCAAGGGTCATGAGACAGGGACGTTAGTAGGACGAGTCGTTTTGGGGCTAGGGAAATGCTTAGTCGCTGCGGATGGTCTGATTGATAGACACAACCTTCTAGAACGCCTTCGTAGTAAAACATTTACCGTCGCTTTTTGCTGGGTTTGGCCGCAACTGTCTTGGGTGCCGCGTGACCTGTTTCCTTCAAGTGCTTGAAGAGCTTGGTCCTGGAATCGAATTGGGTGTTACAAGCCGCGCATTTCTGATATGGAAGTTAGAACAAAATAGTTGACTTGGCAACATGCGGCAGGTAAGGGGTAATAAATAAGTAAGGATAGCAAACTTACGGCATCGTCCTGTTGTTCTGAAGTAGCTTGGCGCGCAGCCTTCTTTTCTCGTTTGGCTTTGGCCTTACCTACCTTCTTGGTGGGCTCACTGCTTCGGAGCGATATATCTTCCGTTTCTTTTGTGATGTCGTCGACTCGGTCGTCTTCGTTGCCTCGTAAGGGATCTGGAGCGGTCGAGTCGCCGGATACTAGGCGTGCTTCTACCGCGTCTCTCGAGGCATACTCATCGTCGTCCTGGCTCTCATTTTCTGAGTCGATTCTTGAGCTCGTGGGCTCGGTGTTGGTTTTAGACGGTGCTTCCGCCTGGGCTTCTATATGGGGCGCGTCAGGGGTGTCACTCTCATGGCCGTCTATATCTTCGTCTACATGATCGCTGTCTACTACCGGAAATTCCGAATTTGATGCGGGAGTCTTAAGGTTCAGATTTAGATTCGCGTTCTCCTTTTTCATCTGCCGTTGTAATTGCTGTACGGCCTTCACGTGCTTTTTGCTCTTTTCGTGGGCTTCGTACTGTTTCTCGCTCTTGAATATCTTGTTGCACACCACGCATTCTATGCGTTCGACTTCGGACTCCTCGTCGGTCTCGGAGAAACTTCCCTCGTGCAATTCGTCGTCCCGAGATTGCGCCCATTCGGGAACGGCAAATGGGTCGTTCATTTTCTCCTGATTTGCAGCTCTCGACCTAGCGGCTTGCGCTGCGGCCGAGTCCCGTAATGTCTTCTGCCTGTCGGCTTCGGATTGCGTATTCGCTACGTAGCGGGGGTCTCTTTTGCGAACGAAAGCAACTAGAGACCGCACTGCATCGTTGAATTCGCGAGCAGCGTCCTCCCGGAACTTTTTATTCTCCTTCTCCATAAGGCGACGAACTCTCCGGTCTGGAGCATCAGAGAGTCGCCATTTATTCTTCCAGGTAAAGCTTAGCTTCGTAGTAAAGTTGGACCACCTGCTATAGAACACCTTGGCTACGCTATCGCCATCTTTAGACTCGCCGAAGGAAGGGTACTCGACGGGAGTTAATCCATCCCAATCAGCGGCTGCATCTTCTGCCTGGGCTATCCTATCGAAAGTCTCTCGCAAGACGCTAAAAAAACTGTTGGGGGAGTCGTCGAGGGGAACATTCTTGTTGAAACGGCCAATCAAGGCAAAAATCTCGTCGGCGGTGGTTATGCGAACGTTGTGGTATTCGGGACTCGCTTCGGTCTCGGCCGGGTCATCTCCGCGAAGGATGGCATCGCGATGAGAGTCGTACCACGCTCTCTCTTGGGGATCGGATAGAACTTCGTAAGCGGCTTGAACCTCGGCGAACTTTTGCGTAGCGTTCTCGACGTCGCCGTAGTTCCTGTCGGGGTGTAACTCTAGAGCTTTTCTTCTGTATGCCTTCTTGATTCTAACAATTAAATATGATATCAGTAATTTGTATGTATATTGGTAGTTATCTGCTTACTCGTCGTCGCTAGCTTGATGGTCGAGCCCTAATAGTTCATAGTAGTCTGTTTTCTTAGGAACAGCGCCGGCGTCGTTTCCCGCGGGGTCTTTGTGAGACGACTGTTGGGCGCCCATAATAAAAAATAATATAAAAGACCAGAAATCTACCCGAGTTTCTATATCTATGTCTATGGTGATCTGCACTAGATTGGTGTTATATTAGGTACATATGAAGTCGGTATTGTAGTTGGTACCTATTTGGACTATTCACTTATACCGAAGTGGTGTAAAAAACGTGAACTATTAAATTGAGACTTTATTATTAAATTTTGTCTTGACTTCCTTTACACTACCTAAGGTATTATCTTACATAAAGTGGGGTGGACCCTGACCGAATCACCATTGCCCCGCGTAGCCCGCGCATTTCATTCCCCGGACACCGAACATAGTACATATGCTGCTGAACTGCCTGAACAACTATAATTATGCTCTCCGCTCTCCGATATCGATTTGAGCAACTGGTAATACAGGCCGTGGCAATTGAGTACTTGTATATCAAGTAAATGCTTCTTGATAATATGTAGCTTTCGATTTGCTCAAGGCAAATACGAGATATCTTCAATTTCTGCCATAGTAGAGGTTACGCAGCATAGTTTAAATTCTTGACCGATTAGACTCTTCACCGCGGAGGATTGAAATCCAGAACAGGCCAGACTTTAAAAAAAAATTTAAAGAAGCAGCCAGTCGCGTGTCCACGCAGGGGCAAACTGCTTAGATCTGCTAAGGCTGCAGATACATTGCAGATACTTTACATTCTGAGGCGAATCAGACAACCTTGATATCCTACCTAACCTACCTAAATTCGTCACCTGCAGCTCTATTGATACATTAATGTAAGTACCATTGTGCATCATTCTATTAGTGCACCTACCCAAGATGGTGCTAGTGATAAACTTCGATTCTTTTAGATTTAGATTTTAGATATTAACAGGAAACGTTCTCCCCTTCTTTTTCCTCTCCGTATATAAATACCTAATACTCCCCCCTAACGGTACATATCTATTGGTTTATATCTAAGCGTCTTTTATACCTATTTATTTATATTTCCTTAAATATTAGTCCTATTCGCATTTTATTCACCGGTTCTCATGCCCCATACCCTCCACATATCCACCAGATACTACTAACCACCATAGTTAATGAATACGCACCCAGTTTCCTCAACCGGTCCCCAAGTAAGCCTTCTTAGGTAAATCGCACTCAGCAGTTCTCATGAAGTTCGCTCAAGAGTTCAGGAAAGCCCTACAAAAAGAAGGTAAGTTACTGCTTTTCCATCCCTCTTATACCTTATTTAACTATTGTTAATCATGTTAGGCTTTCCCGAGAAATGGGTCAACTCCGCCGTTCCTTACGGTCAGCTCAAAAAATGTCTCAAAAAGGTTACCAATGAACTTAGGGAACTCGGCCTAGATAAGGACACTTTGGCTCAATTAGCTACCAGCCAGAAGGATCCATCCGCAGTGGCCTTTCATTACCACCTGGATGGGAAACTTACCCATTCCAATCATTTTCGTCCGAGGCTCACTTTTTTCATCCATCTCCAAGACGGCGTGGCCGTAGACGCAAAATTGACGCCGTCTACGAGAGACTTTTTAAAGAAGGTAGTATCTAAGACAGGAGAAACATCGGTCTCGCTAGCACATGAGTCCAGCAGCGCATTTCCAGACACTTGGATTAAATCAACAGATTCTCCTCTTAATGCCGAGCAGGTCTTATTGTCAAAAGAGGAGCCGCTGTCCGTCAAACAGATTGAAGTGCCCTTGGTCTTTGACGGCGAATTCTTTGAAATCCTACAGACCGACGTCTCGAATCTAGACGTGCTGCAACAGGAAGAACAAGATAAATTAGGAAAGGAAATAGCTCTTCTAGGTCATGATATTAACAAAGCCACGAAACCATCAAAAGGCCGGAGGGCAAGGGGAGACTTGGAAACCTGGCGCAATATCTTCGAGCTATACTTGGACGCCCGCATCTTTTTTTCTACCAGGGAGTATGATCATGGCGCCAGAACAAGCACCCAGGCGATCGAGCAACTTCGGTGGTTCCAAGATCAAGTTTTGTCGAGAAAGCTAATTCATGGCCTCAAGCTTGAGAATAGTCGGCAAGCTTACACAAGGTTTCTCAACATGAACGCGCTGCTCCTGCAAATTCTTAAATTCCAGGAAATTAACAGTTTGGCAGTGACGAAAATACTCAAGAGTAAGTTACATGTTTCTAACGCGTTTACTCGTTGCCCGTCTCCTATTCTCCGCTAATCATTCGCGCAGAATTCGACAAGAGAACTGCGCTGGGCGTTTCACGTGCATTCCCTGTCACTGTTCAATCCAATAGGCTTCTAGCAGGGAGTGTGGCTAAGGACATATGTGCACAAATGTCCAACGATTTAATTTCGGTCGTCCCTCAGCTTGATGACTATCTCTGTCCCATCTGCTTCGTCGTTGCGTATTGGCCAGTTCGGCTGGATTGTCAGCACATATTCTGCAGTCGGTGTCTCGTGAAGATGTCACGAAAGGGGGAAAGATTTTGTCCCCTCTGCCGAGCTGACGTGATCATGCGAGCTGGATTAGAACATTTTGATAGTGAGCGTGCCGCATTTCTTCGCGAGTACTTTCCGAAGGAAGTCAAAGAAAAAATCAAGGCCAACGAGCGCGAACGCAATAAGGAGATATTCGGGCCCGACTATTCGGATTCACCTTGTTCTATGATGTGAAGTTGGCATCGGTTATGCCTTTTTACGAGGAAATTCGTAACTTCTACGAGTGGACTAGCCGGGATGTCGCTCAACCCCCCGGATATTTGTTCAAGTATTGCTCAATTGCCACACTCGAGGTGGACGTGGAAAATATAATCATTAATATCGAGCTTATAACCCATTGACTCATATAATGATTGATCTCAGCTCGACGTCAGGTGGATCCCATACGATGTCTTTGAAACTCGTCCGCTGTCTCGCTGGAATCTTAAGCTCGGAGCCGTTGGCGCCTCCTGGCAGTCTGGTGTGTTTTTTATTACTGATTAAAAGCATGCCCCGCAAGGACTGACCTTCGACTATATCTCTGTATCCCTCTTCTCCCTCGACGCCGATAGCTCTTTTAGCTAGCCAGCTTACACAACCATAGAGAATGATGGCATCACTTATAGTTCCGGCTTGATAGACGCCCACTCCCCAAGATGCCAGCTGTAAGGGATCGCCAGTTCCAAAGGGCGTAAAGGCATTCCCAATATTATTCACGCCGATACAGGCGGACATGCCGAGGTCCCTAATCATGGAAGGTACTTGTAAAGTACCACGTAGCCGCGCTTGCGGCGCGTTTGTTACCGAAGTCGAGCGACCCATCATGAACATGTCGCTGGTAGGCAATCCAACAAAGTGGATCGGAAGTCTACTTCGAATGATGGTTCCGGCTAGCTGCTCGAGGTCTGAGCTACCGAGGGTAGTCAGCTGCGTACAGTGGCCGAGAACGACGGTTTTGGACTTATTAGCTAAACCAAGCCAGTCTTGTTTCTGGAGTAGTTCGATGACTGAAAATGTTAGGGGCTGGTTGGAGGGAGTAGGCTGAGACAAATTATAGTCCAAGTGGAAGTCCAAGTGTAACCCATGTCGAATAGCAGTGTCAATCGCCCACTCAATGTTCTGGAGCGATTTCTCTCGGGACTCCTCGACATAGGGGGTAGTTCCAAGGGCTTGGACGTACATGGCACGATCTTTGAGGACCGAGGCGATGAGGGATCGATTTGCCTCCCCATGCCTGCCAGAGAAAATGGGGTCTTGGGCAAACACACAGATTTGGATGTCCAGCAGATGGGAAAACTCAGACTTGAGTTGAATAGCTGTGTTCAGCGGCAACGCCCCGGTGACGTGGTCTACCTCTACAAAAGCACGGAGATATTTCACGCCGTGCTTGTAGCTTTCTGCTAGAAGCTGGCTACCTCGAAGGTAGAGATCCTCTTTGGAATAACGCTCTTTCGCTTTAGAGGTGTTTGATAAAGCTTCATCAAAAGAGCCGGTTTCGGGTAGAAGATCAGAGTAGTCGGGATAATTCTCGGAGGGGAGTTTGTTGCAGGTTAATATGAAGGGCTTGTCAAGGTGAATATGTGGGTGACAGAGGGCTGGCAGTAGAACCTTGGGAGGTTCGCTAGCCACATGTTCTGAAGGACGGACTCGACGAACCTTTCCATCTTCGATATCAATGTCTAGCCGGTTCGTGTCTACGACCGAGTTCTCACCCAGCAAGATCACGTTATTCAACTTCATCTTACTCTAACGACATTTGTGACGACGTAAGATAGAATATATATATATATAAAATAGTATTAAATTCGAGGAGGGGGGGATATAATGGTATATAGGAGAGTATATAGGAGAGTACAAGTATAAGATGCAGAGTGATGCAATAGGTGGTGTAAGTATATACAAGTATATATGTATAGACGTATGTATAAAATTAGCCAATCAGGCATTCCTAAAAGATGTACCTAAAAGATGCAAGTTAGTTCAAAATCCTTGTCTCCGATCCCGGCATCCTGCCATATTTTCCACGTGCAGCAATTTGACATGAACTATCCTTGTATACAACTGGCTTATAACTTGAATCCCCGGTGTTAGTCCCCATAGTTTTTAACCCGTTCGCAAATACATACACTTACCCATCTTGATGTTGTCACCATCCGATAACCTAATAATATATTAATTAACCTACATAGTCCTATCTACATCCTTTTTGCTCTAGAATAACAGTAATACCAACAAGGCAATACCAACCAAAAAAAAAAAAAAAATATGCCTTCGATCGAGCTAGGAGACTCGATACCTCCTAACACTGCGCACGTGAGTTATTGCTCTCCCTGTCTTCAAAACTACGTCCAAGACTACATTTCGTCCAAGACTACATTTCTAACTTTCTTTCATAGGCCGTGAGCGTTTCACTTCCAACATGGAGGTCAAACATTGGGTATGAGGAGGGGGAGCAATGGGTCCTTGGCGTCATGGTTACCGGCTACCCCAGGTTCTTCATCCATAAGAGCATCCAGGCTTTTGGTCGCGACATCGTCGCCAAGTATGGCATTGCCAATCAGCAGGCTATTCTTTTTCCCACCAAAAAGACGGCAAACCGATGTCTCGAGTTCATTCGGAACAAAGCACCCGAACCGGTTTTGAAGGACCTCGACATCCTCCACTTGGTCTTGGACCCGACTAAGAAGGCCCCGGCAGGATTGCCAGACACGCCGTCCATCTCGGCCGTTCTCTGCACTTCTGATTCCTTCCCTTTTGCTAAGCAGTATTGGCAGCACTCCGGCGACGGTGTTTCAAGCCGTCGTGCTGAATTCTACCATGCGTTATTCAAAGAGAATATGCTCGTGCCCGAGGACAAGGCGCCATCGTCGCCCCGTCCATTAAACAAGCTGAGCCGTGGGCCGAAAAGGTATCGACGGACAGCTTCCGTAGACGATACTCAAAACGGATCCAATGGAACAAACAATAATCGCCAGTATCCCGTAACCCTTGACCCTCCTGCCGACGAGACGACGACAGATGCTCTCGAAAGCTCAAGGTTCCTAGAGGAGCGATATGGGCGAAACCTCGACCTCTCCCTCGTCCCTAACGCCAAGTCGGCCATCAGACGCCGCATCGCCGGCGTCCTAACCACAGACATCGACCTAGAAAGCACCGCCGCTCTACCCACTATGGACTCCAACGCCCGCGGCATCTCAAATTTCAAGGAGGACGACATATACCTAGTCCCCTGCGGCATGAACGCCATCTTCACAACGCACCAGACCCTACTCAAGGCGCGCGAGCCTCAGAAGAGTATCAACTTCGGGTTCCCATACGTTGATACCCTCAAGATCCTGCAGAAGTTCGGGCCCGGAGCTATTTTCTACGGTCGCGGGTCTAGTGCCGATCTCGATGACCTCGAGAAGCGCCTTGAAGGCGGAGAAAAGTTCCTCGCGCTGTTTTGCGAGTTTCCCGGAAACCCTTTGTTGACTTGCCCTGACCTAGCACGCATCAGGCGGCTAGCCGATACATACGACTTCGCAGTCGTCGTCGACGAAACCGTCGGCAACTTCGTGAACGTGAACGTTCTCCCCTTCGCCGACGTGGTTGTCTCCAGCCTAACGAAAATCTTCTCGGGCGACTGTAACGTCATGGGAGGCAGCATCATCCTCAACCCCAACAGCCGATATTACACTTCCTTGAAACAAGTCATGACCGCCGAATTCGAGGACACGTACTGGGCCGAAGACGTGATATTCATGGAGCGCAACAGCAGGGACTTCATCTCACGCATCGAGCGCGTCAACGCCAACGCCGAGGCTATCTGCACCGTCCTAGCCGCGCACCCCCTAGTCACCAACGTCTACTACCCCAAGTACAACGACTCGCGGCCCAACTATGAGGCCTGCAAACTACCGTCCGGCGGGTACGGTGGCTTACTCTCGTGCACATTGAAGACGAAGGCGCATGCGATGGCGTTTTACGACGCGCTGGAGACGGCCAAGGGGCCTAGCCTAGGCACGAATTTCACGCTTACATCGCCGTATGTGGTGCTTGCGCATTACCAGGAGTTGGACTGGGCGGCGAGCTTTGGGGTTAATCCGGATTTGCTGAGAGTTAGTGTAGGACTGGAGGAGGATTTGGTAGATATATTTACCAGAGCCCTCAAGGCAGCGGAGGAAGTGCAGGAAGAGAGTGCATGATTAGGGGGATGGGGATAGAGTGAGATAAATAAGGGATTGTGGGTGGATAGATAGATAACGGAGAAAAGAAAGTGAAAGAATGACTGGCTCCTCAACGACCGGGAAAGGAATAGATGAGAAGACGAGACGAGACGAGACGAGATGAGAGATGAGACTATGGTTGTTGGTATGGTATGATGAGATGGACAAACGGGCTGTCGGAGAGATAGAGAGAGCGGTTATAGAGAAAAGAAAAGAAAAGAAAACTAGATATGATGAACGAACGAATAAAGCAATATCTATATTGTTCTTGTTCTTGTTCTTCTATGATCTACTGCGATGAGGTTGATATCTTGCCGTAGTCGTATATATATATATATATCCTCATAAGATAAGCAGGCGAAGAGTCATTATTGCCAAAAGTGCCCGATAATCCCGCAGTCAGACCAGACCATATAATAGACATAATCAGGGGCATTGTGGATAGTACTTTGTTTGATATATCACCACTATACATTCATTGTACAGAGGCTGTATTCATTTTATAAAAACTGAAATTAATATTAGTGTTATCAAACATAACAACAGCTCACTTACGAATTAGATCAAGTACAAGAATCTAAACAGTCAACAGTAATAGCAAACACAGCACTATAATTACTAGACGACACACCTCGTAGCACACACATACGGACACACGGAAACACATATACACTTATACACTTACACACTTACCATCTCCAACCCACCTCCTTCCACAAAGGCAACTCTTCACAAGGCACTTGCACCGCACTTCCTTCATAGATAGTTTTCACTTTACTTTGTCCACATGCTGTATTAATGTACACCATTACACCGATGCTAGCCCTCCAGCCTGATAGTTTTTAGTCAATCCCTTCCCTTCATCCTCCATCTACATGCCCCCCCCCCCCCTCTCTCTCTCTCTGTTATACTCCTTCTCTACTCTCTATATTTACACGCCACCCCCCCTTTAAAAGTGGATAGGTTTAGAGTAAGTAGCCATAGCCGCCTCTTTGAAAGCCTCGGCGAGCGTCGGGTGCGCGTGGCACGTGCGCGCGATATCCTCCGTCGACGCGCCGTACTCGAGGGCGAGCGTAGCCTCGGCGATCATCTCACCCGCGTTGGGTCCAATGACGTGGCAGCCTAGTAACCTGTCTGTCTCGGGGTCCGCAATCATCTTGACGAAACCTTCCGTATCTAGGTTGGTCTTGGCACGCGAGTTGGCGCTGAAGGGGAATGTTCCGACCTTGTACGGGATGTTCTGCAACTTCAGGTCTTGCTCGCTCTGACCGACCCAAGCGACTTCGGGGTACGTGTACATGACAGACGGAATAACACCGTAGTTGACGTGCCCGTATCCCTTCTTGATGTACTCGACGGCGGCGACAGCTTCTTCTTCGGCCTTGTGGGCAAGCATAGGGCCGAATGTGCAGTCACCAATGCAGCGGATGTGGGAAGCCTTTGTGCGGTACTCGGAGTCGATAACGACACGGCCGCGCTCATCGAGCTCTAGGCCGATGTTCTCAAGACCGAGTCCGGCGGTGTAGGGGCGACGACCAATGGCAACTAGGACAACATCCGCCTCGAGCTATTTTCAAAAGTTCAAGTTAATATGCTGCTCTGCTCTGCGCATGTGTGCACGGGAATACGAACCGATTCGGGCTTGCCACCCTTTGCAGAGTCCACCTGGAGCTTAACGTTGTCGCCAGTGTTTTCTCCGCTGACTACCTTAGTGCTGAGCTTGAATTCTATGCCTTGCTTCTTGAGCACCTTTTGCGCTTCCTTGGAAATCTGGGCGTCCATGCCGGGGCCACCAATCTGGTCCAGGAATTCGACGACGGTAACCTTGGCACCTAGTCTCGACCATACGGAACCCATCTCAAGACCGATGATACCGCCGCCAATGACGATCATCTTCTCGGGGACCTTCTCGAGGGATAGGGCGCCGGTGCTGGTGACAACGCGCTTCTCGTCGAACTCGAGTCCGGGGAACGGCGTCGATTCGGAACCGGTAGCGATAAGGATGTTCTTGCCGACCACGCTCGTCTCGCCGCCATCGATCAGTTGAACCTTGATCTCGTGCTCGCTAACGAAGGAACCGGTGCCCTTGATGTACTCGACGCCGTTCTTCTTGAAGAGAAATTCGATACCCTTGGTAAGACCGTTGACGGAGGTGTCCTTGGCCTTCATCATAGCCTGTAGGTTAAGCTGGACATCGCCGACTTCGATACCTCGGGGCTTGGTGTCGTGGAGGACCTGGTGGTACAAATGCGAGTTGTTGAGGAGGGATTTCGAAGGAATACAACCGACATTGAGACAGGTGCCGCCGAGCCTTCCGCGCTTCTCAATGCAAGCGACCTAGCCACGGAGTGAATCGCTAGTTAGATTTTATTTCTCGTGGGATGGATATCGTGGAATAACGATTGCATCAAAGTTGGCATGGCGAACCTTTAAGCCCTCCTGTCCAGCCTTAATAGCTGCGACATATCCTGCCACTCCACCGCCGATGATGACGAGATCTTTTTCCTCTGCGCCGGGTTGATTAGCGATAAGAAGAGTCGGCAAGACAAGACATTATATTAAAGGAGTATTAACCTGCTTCGGTAGCATATCCTCTTCTCCATCGCGATAGGGGTGAGACAACTGAGGGAAGACTAATGACAGGATTCGGATTAGCGGGCAAGTTATGTTGGGAAAGCTCACTCAAAAAGCTCAAGTTCAGCTATTACTTACGAAGAAGGGCGGAGAGCAGATCGCACAGCGGTCCGCGGTATTAAACGACTGGCCAGCATTGTGTTTAGTTTTCAGCTGGCTGCCCGTTCTACCTTGTCTGTCTACAGCGAAGGGGAGAAAAAAAACAAAAGGCGAGTATATCGCAATTGGTGTGACGTGGTTGAGGTGAATAAACGTAGATGAGACTGTAAAGATTTAGACGGAGCCGGATGTTTTTGGAGTTGCTCGAAATTTTGGAGGTCCGGGCGTTGGGGATGACCAAGTACCGGTATCAAAGTACCTCCTCGCCTCCTTCCCTACTATCGTATACTTACTGCCTGGTACCGAGATACTACCTATGTAGAATACATAAGATGCTAAGACCCAATTAACTCATAGCCGTTAGTGTCCGGTAGTGGTACCTTAGCGGTTCATTTTCGCTGATATGCCGCTGCTCCGAAAGTAGCCGTCGACTTTTACAACTTCGCTGACCCGCCAGGCTAAAATCCTGATACGTATCTCTGCTTACACCATGTACGAGAAATATACCCCTATTTTAAAATCTATAATCCAAAGATGAGACGAGATAAAAACTATATAACAGCTATTCCTTTAAGTGAAAAACAACGCGTGTATAATATTAAACGGGTATCTAAGTTTTGATAAAACCAGTGCGGAGAACTGATAATCCCCCTAATGGTCCCGCTGTTACCAATGCCTTCAGTATCTCCTCTGCCGCATCGCAACTCTTCTTAATCGCCGCTTTTTCCTTCTTGTCCTTAAGGAGATCTGTTTTCCGCACCTTCTTCCGCAAGAACCACTGGACCCCTCGGGCGTGGACCGCATCCAGGCCGCTGAATACCTCCTTAAGGCCATCGCGCTTGCACTCCTGGAGCGTTGAGATCAGCATTACCTCAAAGAACATGTGTGCCTTCTCATGCAGAGCCGCAAAGTTGCGGTGCTTCACTATATCTGCCAGCCGAAGACCCCGGCTAGCCACAAGCGAGCCGTACATCTTAGCCGTGTTGTATACCCACCGCATGTCGTAGTCGGTCGCATCGTCGAAATCGACGTCATCTTCCTCGCCGATGTCAATGTCCTCTCCCATCTTCCTGAGACGTGTTGTGAGGCATCGCCTAAACTGAAAAGATAACTCCCGATCGCCGGCGAACCTGGTAGCGACTAGAGCATAATAGGGGTTGTACTGAGACTGCCGCTCGCTGCTTCGGACGATCACTTCGGGTATCTCTTTCCGTTGATGCTTGTTAAGCCTCAACTTACGGACAAGCAGTTCTGCATTTTCATAGTCCGTTGCCGCATGCAAAGCGACAAATATTCGTTGCCGTACTTCCGTATTGAAGCCTTGCTCCTTTGCTAATTGCCACAGATCCGGAATACCTAGGTCGTCACCAACGTCCGCCATCATCTCATCAGCGTCATCCCCCTCTTCGTCCTTGAAGGTCTTGCCTTGACCATTGGGACCACTACGGTTCCCAGACCAACTAGCTCCGACGAGCCACCACTTCCCGTGCTTATCGGCGTCCTGGATGTCCTGGAGGCCCATGCGGAGAGGCTGAGCATCTTGAGTGCCGCTTATACCGCCGATTCGCTTCCTGATCTGGGTTCGCTGTTCCGCGAGGTCTTTGTTACGGGTTGCAGCTTTTGTTTTGTTACTCTGTAGACTCTTCATCTCGTCGATCATGAAGCTTGTCCTAGTTGATATGGTGTTCCCTATCCTAATACCATTAATGATGTCCCCTAATGCATGAGGGTCATCACGCCTGAGAGACGGGCCACAAATCTGGATAATTCTCAAAATCAACTCCGTATTGAGCTCGGAAAGTTGGCCTAGGAAGAGGCGGACATAATCGAATACCAAATTAGGACCGACGACTTGCATATTGTAGATCTCGGCAAGTAAAGAAATAAGATGCCTTGAACCGGAGTCTGACTGATCTCCAGACGCTTGCGTATAGCGCTGGTCGAAGACTTCTACGAGTTGTTGTATGAAGTAGGCGCTGAAGGCCATACCTAGAGATTTATGCATTGCTGCGAGGTAACCAGCTGTCATAGCGAAAAAAGAATCTGGGCGTTTTTCAGGTGAGCAAACTAAGTTTAGGACTAGATCCACGATGGCAGATGTAACGGTTTGTCTCGGATTTGTGTCGTATAAAGTCATGAACTCCTTGACTATGCCGACCATATTGTCGTTCGTCAAGCGATTGATTAAACCCTGGACACGTCTTCGAAGTCGTGTTTCCGCTTCGTTGCTCGAACTTGACTGCTTACGGAAAGCTGGGGGAACGTATTTCGCGACCCCCGTTGTAGGAGCGACGTAGGGGTTTTCTCGTAATGGCCGCACAGTCGTAGATTGTTCTCCGTCTGAGAATCCTTCAAAGGCATCTTCGTCGTCCAAATCGTCGCCAACTTCTTCGTCGCTGTCACTATCACTTTCACTAGCAGCAGCTTTATCGGCGGCAGCTTGAGCTTTTCTCCTTTTTTGGGCTAGCCATTCATCCGCTTCTGCCTTGCGTTTATTCTGCGAGGTAACTCCTTCAGTATCCCCGCCATCTTCATCCAGACCGTCCAGTAAATCGCCGAGTCCGTCGTCCTGGAAAGATTTGGGAAGTGATTTCCTGCCCTTTAATCCTAATTTCTTTTCCAGGTCTTTGATCTCTGCGTCGTCCTGGGCAAGTCTACTCTGTGTGGCCTTAGAAACTTTTGGTTGACTCGGCTTTTCATCTTCACTACCCTCGCTATCGCTTCCCTCGGAGTCATCCTCCATATCCATGTCGTCTCTGTCGTCGTCGTCATCATCATCATCATCATCACCATCGCCCCTATCCTCTATACCATCGATTTCATCATCATCATCATCATCAAAATCAGTAGATTGAAAAGCCTTGTGAGGCTGAGGCTTGCGCGTTTCCTGACTTTGGCGTGGCTGCGGGCGGCGAGATTGCCTTTTCTGAACTCGTTGGGCCTTGCGTTGATCTTTCCTCGAAAGCTGCTTTCCTGACCTCCCTCCGCCTTTAAAAGAAGACGAGGACTGCTGGGCGTCTAACTCCTTTAGAAGTGTTGCAGGCAGCGATAGTTTTTTCTTTGGTCCTGGCACCATTATGGCGGTGATTCTTGATGTTCAGGAGCCCGATGGTTGTAAAGAAGTTGAGCCAAAAAAAAAAAAAGTAGCCGTGAATAAACTATTATCCTTGATTTTAGAAAGTTAACAATGTAATAAGTGAACTTTTTTTTCAGTGATATTCACATGAGGTAGGTAGGCAGTGATATAAATGAGATGCACCTTCTGAAGAAAAAATCCAAGTACATATCGTACAGGGATTGTAAAGGCAAGTGGGGCCGTAAAGGTACAAGAGGCGCTATGCGCATGTACATATCTTGTGCGAGTGTACATCAAGTACCTCTTCGACAACCTTAACAGTTTGCCCCACCATGGGGAATCCCACCTAACGTCGATTTGGTCATGCACGAATTACAATCATTTTATTCTAACCATCACGTCGCATATCAGTATCAGCATACACTACGAACAATCGTCAGCCGTCAACGGATGCGAGGTTGAGTTGGCAGTATTATTCTAGAATACCTCCGACCTTGGATAATTATCACATGCAATTATCTATAAATCATAATGGGTCACTTAAGCAATGACGAGGTATACATATATTTATATTGTCTCTTTGTCTCTATTGCATACCCAAGTTTGCACCCATACTAATTCTCCTCTCGCAGTTCTTCGTCAAGCTCACCGAGCTCTTCGATCAAAAGAAAGGCAAAGACCACGGTTCCATAGTTTTGGTGCAGAAGAGATGTTAGTCCCAACAATCTCACAACTAGACAACACGGAGTCAGCAGCTCTTCTAACTCGCCCATCTAGTAACCCACGAGCAGCCCGTACCAGAACCAACAAGCGAAACCATACTCCCCGACCTCCACCCCCCACGGCCCATGCCCGTGCTCATCCGGGCGACAAACGCTAAAGGCAAGAAGCGACGTGAGGACAAGATCAAATTATCAACTGTAGTCGAGCCCGACGCTCTCCCCTCTTTCTTCGATAGATACGCCGAGGTGTGCAAAGCCGGCATGGCAACGTTGAAGCCGAGAGATCGTAGTAAGAGGAAGGGTAAGGCCAAGAAGAAGAAGGGTGCTGCTGCGCCTGCTGGTTCTTGATCTCATGCGTGGAGGAGCTGCATGGTTATCATTACCGCCTTCCTTCCCGTCCTAGAGATCGGCCTACTATTTCGCCCCCGCACCAATATTGTCTTGTGCGACTCTAGGCTTGAAAAAAAATCCGATGTCATGTTTTTGGGATGAGCACGCGCATTCAGAATAGGCGCCATTATCATCACCGTTATTGTATATCGGAAAGTATCTGCCCGTCCTACGAGAGACCGGGATCTATAGCCATCTATTAAGCTTGGGTAGCTATGAGCTTCTAGGGTATAGGTAACTTGTTCAGGCGCAAGCACCGCCCCCAGTTGGTTATATTCGACCGAGAACCTGAGATACCCCAGTAAATGATATGGAATTCTTACAATATTCTCAGTCGCTCACCTTGCTGCTTGTCTTCATAATCTTACCTTAAGCAATATATTTGCCCTTGTGCCCCTAGTTGAATTTTTCCTGCCGTTACCTTCTCTCTCTCAATAAGCTACTAGTGTATATACATAGGTTCATAGTTACCCTACCAGGCGTCCTGTGACGGGTGAGTTTAACAATTGCAATTATGCGCTTGTAGCCTTTGAGCCAATCTTTTAATAGAGGCTTCGAGTATTCACCGTCTGTCCAATGAACCATATTCTACGACTCCTATTAGGTATTTTTATCTATACATTAGCTATATGAATAGCACGACCAAAGGATGCTCATGCTCCAAACCCACTTTCGAGCTTTCGACAATAGAAACCGTCTTAACTTGAATCACCCAAGTATAATAATTATGATGAATAGAAACATGCACCAGATCTCATAAACAGACCAAATTTCAACATCAGTAAGCCATGTATCATGTTTAAATTCAACGGATTACAGTTTTAATACGCAGGTCACAAAAATAACAATGTTTAAAACTCTCAACAGATTACCGAAGAGTATCTCAGAAATATCATGCGAAATTTTGGTCCTTGTTCCTGTTGTATACAGCAAGGGCTATGTTGTAGCCTTGTTTCAAATGTAAACTTTTTACCCCTAAACCGAAGCAATGCACCCCAGACTTTTGGCCACGTCCTTTTTGTTGATGCTGCCGCTTTTTGGATACGCTCCATGATAGAAGTCACTCTTCTCTACCCCCTCTCCTCCATCGGTACTGTTTAGCTGCCATTCGCCGCGGTTTGTAGATTCAGATGGAAACTGCGGATAATTGAGTCTGCATCATCGATGGCTATCGGTCGCACATCGGCCAACGTCTTGATCTTGGCGGTACTAGAAACATTTTGTTAGCCATCTTCTCTGTGGGTTCGGTTTGAGGTTGATACACACCATTCCTTGACCTGGTCGTCCGTCATAGTTAGGCCGAGCTGTGTTACTCGGGTCTTAACGGCGTTCCATCCCGTTAACCGGGAGGCGAAGTGCACGTAGCGCGTCAAGCCGAAATCTTCAGGATTTAAAATCTCATATGTAGAGGGGTTGTTTAGGATGGCTTTGGCACTATAGCATTCGGTGTTAGTGATTAATCTCAATACGCCCAAAGGCATATTGTAATATATGAAATATCGACTTACTGGATACCAGCCTTATGAGTAAAGGCACAGAAACCAGTGATAGGGTTGTTGAAGGGGGTGTTGATCTCAACTGCTTCAGCAACCATATCCTCAATCTAAAATATATTAGTTTATGTCAAATTCTTAGTAACCCATATATAGAACTCACCTCCTTGATCATGTTGAGCTTGTACTTGCTCTTGACGTAGTCGGGGCTAGTGACCACCATACGTGCTAAGAAACCGCCAAGAGGGGTGATGCCATTACGCTCACCAACTATAACATGTCAGTATGCTGTTATCCACCTGGAAAGCAGAAAGTACTCACTTCCGAGTACACTGGTGTCAACGTGTGTTGCACCGGCCTCAAGAGCGCAGAAACTATGCTCAAATTAGTTTTCTAGAGTACAGTTTGCCATTAGGTAAGCACATACGCATTGGCAATGGCACAGCCTGTGTCATTGTGGAAGTGAGTTTCAATATCGCAAGCTTACAAGCAGGTTAGCAAACGTAGTTAAAGGCAACGGTTCCAACTTACAAACTACGCCTCTTAACGTTCGGACGAGCTAAAATTTAAATTAGTGAAATAAATGGCAATAGAGTCAGTGAATTACATACCTCATAGACCTGTCGTGGGCTGGCGCAGCCAACGGTATCGGCAATACCGACACGGTTCACGCCAATCTTGTCTACGGCATTGTAGAGTGATAGCAGATCTACTAGATCGGATCGGAAAGAGTCCTCGCTCGAAACTATACCGTATTAGCGGCGTCTCCATTCAAGAAGAATTTCAACATACATCGAACCTCGATGCCCTTGTCCTTGACGTATTGCACGACCTCCAAAGCAGCCTTGGTGATGAAGGCCATGTCCTTGCCATGGCTGTGTTCTCGGAGGAAATGCGATGTACCGATGACGATATCTAGGCCGTCTACACCAGTGTCGATAGCCATCTGTACATCTCGCATATCGCAACGAACGTCTATGAGTCACAGTTAGTAGGTAAGGGAGGATATATCCCATCCGATTATGACTCACGAGTCAGGATTTTGGCCTCGAGAAAACGTTAGTTGAACAATTCACAATATAGAGGTATTAGAGATCGTACCTTGAGTCCGAGCTTGCAGATCTCAATGCAGTCCAAGCGCGATTGCTCAGAAGCAGCCGGGGATGTGAGTTCGATATAGTCGACTCCGAAGGCATCGAGAGCTACGAGGTTTATGTTTTAGCGACGAGATATTAGAGGACAGAATACAACCGATTCGACATACCCTTAGCACTGGAAAAAACATATTAGTTAAGTACAGCAAGGCAGGACTTAATAATGACGTACATGTTGATCTTAGTTTGCGTGTCGAAGTAGGCATTGGCGAATTGTTCTCCCTCTAATCCGACTGTCAGTAATAGTAGGAATAAATCCAAGGCGAATAAAAAGGCTGACCTCGAAGAGTTGACTCAATGATCTTGAATTTGCCTACATTGGACAAAAACTCGCCCGGGTTGGATTGGTAGGGATTCGACCGGCGTACAGGTGTTGCGCCATTGGTACCATTGGTGCCGTTGGTGCCCTAAAAAATTTCAAAAGTTAACTTGAGTATATGGAAATGAAGACCGGACGACATACATTGCTGGCCGCAGAACCATTTGTTTCGCACATCTTTTCTCTGGTAAGTAAGGAAGGGAAAATAGAGTTAGGAAAAAAGGTGTGTTGCCTTTTAGGAATTTGTGACGAAGAAGAAATTTCTACTTCAGCATGCAATGAATCACATTTGGCAGTAACCGTAACCCCACGTCCGCCGATCGCGGTTCCCCAGTTCAGGGTCGTACTGAGTTACCAAACAACCTGCCCAGCGCCAAATCGACAATGTCCGCGGGGCTATCACGTGATGAATTCCATTTAGATCCTTGCAAAAATTGTTTAGCCTAGTGGACGGTGACGTATCAAAAATTGAAATTGGCCAATCGCGAATACCATTTTAGGGACCTGAGAAATAGGTCCCGCCTTACCTGCAGTTACACGCACACAAAACAAAACAACCCCACTATCCCATTTTGCATATGCGAATACCCGATCTGCCGACGAACTTACATATAGAAATCGAAGTCCATTTCTCCTATCCTGGCATCCTAGTCTCTTCGAGAGTAGATAGAATTTCCTAATTGAGATGGTATATAGCGGAGCGAACGGGATCTTGATTTTTCTAGACCACACGATCGTCAGAACTGAATCCCGAAATATAGTCAACTTGTCAAGTCCCACTAGGTATTATGCCGAAGATCCCGTACAATACATCCACTTCTATCGTCTTTAGGGGCAAAATTTTTGGTGCCTTCTGAGTTCTTATACGGTATCGGAAGAGCCTCATTATTGCACTCTCCTATTCATTAACTACCAATGAGTCATCTGAGCTTGTGTATAGAACGAGTTGTAAGTTCGGGTACCTACCCAGGCTGTTACTTGCTACGATAATACATCTATTTTATCCGACCCACGTTATTAATATTTCATAGACTAATAACGTAAGGTGATATACTTGAAGTGCACTATTATAAGGTTAAAGATATCTAGCTTATAATATATCATAATAATGTCGGATTCTGATTGGTGATACCAACGAAAAGGAAACACGCTCGGGATTTATATCTGAATATATGACTACTCTACGTTATGTCTTCGATATTTTTTGACTTGCAAGCATGTGACTTATAGATGCCAATGGAACGTCGAATACCGTCAGCCTTTAGCTTGCTAATATTGTCCAGTCAACATCTAGTCCATTTAGTGAAATTTAAGTTTAGAGAATCTCTTTGACTAATTGTCTTGAATTGCTATGTGTAGCTAGCTCGCCCTCGACTTAAGAAGGATTCTTGCTATGGTGTTAAAGGCTGAGCTTGGTACAGCTTAGAGGGGTATTATGAATAACTGCGTCTTATGACGTACGAGTCGGTGCAAACAAGTCGATGGTATAGGACCCCTAACGTCGTTATATACTGGGTAAGCTCTCTTCTTCGTAGTTGTAAGGCCGAATGGCATAGACGGTGAAGCGGAGTATCAATGGCAGATAAGTCTCTTGGAGGATGGACCGGAGCATTGAAGGGTCATGGGATACCTGAAATAGTATAAAGTAAAATCTGTGGTCGACAGAGTGGTGATTGTAGTCTATGACGTGCTTGTCGGGATTTTGTATAACTTATCCGTTAACCTCGGAGATATTACTGTCGAGTTCGGCTTATAAGGAATGCTATTATAGAATATGGCTAGCTCGGCGCTTAAACGGAAAGTAGGGAAGAGCTATGGGATTTATAGAGCAATATGTTAAGGCACCGAGGAAGTAGTTAAATAGGTAGTTATGTCGTAAATGCCAAGAAGGGAAAGCTACAATATACCAAAACCGTCTACCATCGTACGATAATAGTGTGATCGATCGGGAATATGACTGCATACCCCAGATTTGAAAGCTGCATCATGCCAGATATGAGAGCTACCTCTCGATCGGGTTCAATGAAAGATTGACGGGGATGTCGATATGGAAGGGTTCTAGAACCCATGTGAAATCCAGATAAATAGGTTTTACGTTTGATGTCGGGTACTTATTCCGTACCTGAGCCACGCCGTTTTAAACCTGAGCCTGACTGGAGTTGTACACATGAGTTACAGTACGAAGTCAGAAACTGACACTGTATATTTACACCCGTTGTACCTCAAACCTAGCTCGTCTTGCAATTGCAAAGCTACCTCCTATCTTACTCATATTCTATCCTGCAAAACAGCCCATCGTCCGTGTTAATTTCCACGCAATCAACTATCAAAATGTATTCTTCCAGCCAGACTAAGAATTCCCAGCGAGTCCAGGCTCCCAACCAAGCATCTGTGGTGCTTCTTCGCAGTCTATGCGAACGCCTCAATCCCATGCTAAACACTGCCGCCTATCTCAGCCAGGAGCAGCTGAAGGATCTTGGGGTCGGCCAACCATTCTCCAGAAGACACCGTGGTCCATTACCGAGTAAGTGATTTATAAATGCTTTGAGTGGTCATTGGGAGTAAACGGGTACTCGAATAAGCTGACATGAAAATAAGTGACTATATTGGCAATTCTACCGCAAAGGGATGCCACTGGGTTGTTGGTTTCACCTTGAAAGTTCATGACAAATCTACGCCAGATGTAGTATGCTTCCTTGGAAACGAAGAGCCACTTAGGGACGACGAGATCTATACCAGCGAACTTTGGTGCATTTCTCGGTTCGGCGGCGGTGAATTGAAAAAGGAGGTATACCATCATCATCAGACAGCGCCTGTAAGTTCCCAAAGACCGCACCACTATATTAGTAACTCCCTTTTTTAAAATTTACTGATATTATCTAAGGTCACCGTTGTATCAGTTTCGGGCAGAAGCCTTCGTGTGGTGCAAGGTTATACCGACGGACGCGTTGTCATGCGGAAGTCGCCTATTTACGAGCTTGATAGCGACGATGAGACTAACTTGTCGGTACTCCTGAAGTTCGCTCGCTGGTTCTTGGGTCGTCCATGCAGAGAATGACTGGAGCACCTGGGCTAATCTGCGGTTTACCTTGAGATTGTCATTCGAGATTGGTCTCCTTGAGTTTATCTACCTACACATTGCCGACAATACTTGTCAATAAGTCTCTTTGTCCCTAAAAAAATAGTAGACACCTCACCCTTTTTATTTTCTCTTTACTAACTATTGACTTCCTAGGAAGTCATCCATTACCCTTCTGGTGAGAGTTTGTTTTCGTAACTGTAACGAGGTCAGGGTTGTCTCGCACCTCTATTTGGGTAACAAACATCCCCGAGCGACGGGAATCCTTGTTAGAAACGTGCTTAGGTCTCGTGACGAGACGTCCATCACGTAACTATACTTGTAATTAGATGAGAACGAGGTGCTGTATAAATGTAGACCTGGGTAGTTTTAGGGTCGGATGGTGTGTGACATTAGCAAGCGGGTAGGTAGCAATTATACAGAAACAAACGGATGGGCAGATGTTACGGTGAGGCGCGATATACATATGTATTCTACATGAAAGAAACGTAGCAGTCTTTACTTAAGCTAAGTAAATTAGGTACCTGGGGAAATATTCGAAACGTTGGCATTGTTTCCACTGCTGAATGCGTACCGGTTATATATAAAAACGAAAAGAGAAAAGGAATCTTAATTTTTAGTTTCAGTTTTAGCATCTGATTTCAGATGATTTTGATTGATAACGAACCTTGGTAACCTAGGAAGAGCTCCCTAGGAATGTGCTTTTTACCTAATAATCCCCTGTACATAGACAACGCACAAGCCACATAGAATACTAGAAATTAGAATAGAACTTTAGCGTTAGCCTCATAGGGGCTTATCTGATCATTCTGATGATCCGCCATGCCCGCACTTGACCTAATCAAGGCTGGTTTGAGTTGAGAAAGGCCACGGCGTCCGACGCACCCCTGTCAAAACCGGCTCCGAAATGCGCTGAGACTGAGATTCAATTTTTGTGTCCAATACATCTCTGCTGCAGCTACCTTATCTAGTTGCTGTGTACCACCAGCACCTGTATTGTACCAACCCCGGGTTCACCTACGTATTTGAATCGGGAAGATTTTCCACAAATTCGCAACTTGCAACTTGTCACTTCTCAACATCACCATAATAATTGGCGCACACAAACCTGAGAGAATATCTCTCTCACCTTTATACTTATTATTTGCAAACACGAATTCTTGCGCATTCTTTGTGCTTTGTGTAACTTCTTTGTTCCTTGCCATCCTCATCGTCGCCGGTCCCGCTGGTCCGCAATATCTCGCATTGGCTTTTCCCATAACTCAATTCTCTTGAAGGGCGATCATAACAGCGAGCTTTTCTACTTGACACATTCGCACACCGTTAACTCCTTCCCGACCTCGCTAAATCGCAACCCTGGCTCTTCAACCCAAGGCCTTCGGCGAAGGCCCTGAAGCTGTGGCCAAAATGGCCCAGCCAACAGTCCTCCAGCCCGTCGAGGAGTACGAGTATGTTTTCCTTTTCTTCAGGCCTATCACTCAATGATAGACGCCAACATGATGGTTATACGGGATACTAACTTAGATTGTTTCACTAGTTATGAGTCTCTGCCACCTAATTTCTCTCTAGCCCAAAATATGGTCGCTGGCGCCTTCGCCGGTATTGCCGTAAGCCCGATTACTTTTGCCTTTCGGGGTTAACCCGTGGTTGCTAACAGGATGCCAGGAACACACGGTTATGTACCCAATTGACGCGATCAAGGTTCGTCACGTTTAATCCTATCCGACTATCCGACTATCCGACTTGATACTGACTAGGGATATTACAGACGCGAATGCAGATACTTAACTCAGCGGAGGCGAACGCAGTCTACAAAGGCATGGTACAGAGTACCATGCGCATAGCAAGTGGAGAGGGTGTACTGAAGTTATGGCGGGGGATGTCAAGTGTTGTCGTCGGAGCTGGTAGGTTCTCTTAAGAGACTGATATAGCTTCATTTCTCACCATCTGGACTGTTAGGGCCTGCGCACGCAGTCTACTTTGCGACATATGAGGCTGTTAAGCATCTTATGGGTGGCAACCGAGCTGGTGTACACCATCCACTGGCAGCAGGTATGCTACTAACCTACTTACCTCCCCAGCTTGATCCTCTTCTTCGACGTTATATATAATCTCTAACCTTTACCCTTTTTCTAGCAACAAGTGGGGCTTGCGCAACCATAGCCAGCGATGCGCTTATGAATCCCTTTGACGGTATGGTAGATGCTTCAAGACATTAATTAGTGGTGGTTATCTAATTTGGAGCATAGTGATCAAGCAACGTATGCAGATACAAAATTCGAGCAAGATGTACCGCTCCATGATGGACTGCGCCCGATACGTCTACAGAACAGAAGGTTTATCGGCCTTCTACGTCTCATATCCGACTACTTTATCTATGACTGTACCCTTTACGGCCCTCCAATTCCTCGCATACGAATCTATATCTACGACAATGAACCCTAGCAAGACGTACGATCCGTTTACGCATTGCATGGCAGGCGCTGTTGCGGGTGGTTTCGCAGCAGCTCTAACTACACCAATGGACGTGATCAAAACTATGCTACAAACCCGAGGTACAGCCTCCGACCCGGAGCTTAGGTCGGTGAATGGATTCATGGCAGGCTGCAGGCTATTGTACCAACGGGAGGGTCTACGCGGGTTCTTTAAAGGAGTTCGGCCGAGAGTAGTTACCACAATGCCGAGCACAGCTATCTGCTGGTCGGCTTACGAAGCTTCCAAGTAAGTGTATTGCCGTCCAATTCTCTACTAAGTTGTCTATGCTTATAATTATGTTACAGGGCATACTTCATCCGTACCAACACGTCATCATCCGCGATGGGTTGAGTCAGGCAACAATCCAACAATCCAGTTTTGTTTTCTTGAGGTATCAGGGTATCGTATCCATGAAAACTCCACAAATCGGGCTCCCTTTATTGCCGATCCTCCCGCCATCAGGATATCTCCGAGGTACAAGACCGAGCCCGAAGCTGCGAAGTCTTGTTATCCCTAAAATTTGTCTGACTTGGGCCACTTGGGCTGACGTGCCCTGTCGCACAAGAAAAAAACATTAGCCTCATTCTATAGGCTCACCGAATCCCCCGCAGGCGTCATGTGAAATGCAATGAAGATGATTAGTTTCCTGGATTACCTGTTATCCATTGGAGTTTTGCGTGGGGTCGTTTCCCGTGGACTTCCGAGAGTTTCCACCATTTCCGGGCGACGACGCAAAAAGATATTTCACGAGCAATCGGGAATAAAATTTCTAAAAACGGGTGGAGAGAGGGGAGGGCCGGGCGGTGAAAAGGGGGGGGTTATGTGTCGGGGTGTCTGGGTAGACACTCAAATCGAAATGTACATATCAACTTGCTTTTTCGTACCAATGTCCTCGGATATCTGCCTCGTAGGCCCAGCCCATAGGTTGGGGAGAGGATCGAAATGAATGATACTGGCAGGAGTTTTGCGAGAGGACCGGTGTTCTACTCAAGTTCCCTGATTTCTTTTTATTCCCACAACCTCTTTCTTCAGTTATGATGCTCGAGCAACAATTCAACAGCCGATGCTCGGTGCTAGATGGATGGATAGAAATCATACCATACGCCGATACGTACGTACTACGAGGCTTACCTATAAGGAAACGGAGATCTGGTTGATCTAGTGGTGGCAGCGGTGGCAGCGGTGGAATCTACTGCAGATTTGGGCTTAAATTTCCGCGCACAGATATGTCAGTTAGGATCGCGCAGTGCACTAGTGCCGTACGACACAGATGGATAAAGATGGGACGAGACGGGACAGGATGAGATAGGATAGGATAGGACTAGCTGAACATTGATTTCACGTAATACGTGCGGCTGTGGTTATCCCGTGCTGCTGATCCGAGATATCGATGCGAGACCGAGGACTTACTTTCATACCTACATATGGTCTCCCTTGGATCTGGTGTTTGCTGAGATGTTAACCTACCTATATTTGGTATTTGGAGGATAGGCAGGGAGGTGATTTATATGTATACCTGCCTACCTACACACGAGCCAAGACTGTATAATCAAGTATAAATAAAGCACATTAATAGGTATGCATTTGCATATGTAAATTCGCTAGATTAGTCCGGAGTCCATAAACTCCAGCTCCGCTGTGAAGTGCCGGCCGAGACTCGAGAGGTATTGTATTGCCTCGTATGTAAGTAATACAGTCTCGGCCTAAATATACACACATATAATTCCACATTTACATGTAAGGGGATATGTATAATGCAAGCAAGCCGTGTACGTAATTACCTAGGTAGGTGGTTACTACTTGAATTAATAAATATAATACATACTCGAGATAATTTGAACACGTCGACGAGATGGCGTGCAAGTGGACAACCGGATCTACCTACCCGCCAATAAAGCAATTCTAATTACAAAATATACGACAACACGCATGTCTTATATCTATTAGCCTAGGAACAAGTCTCGGAACCCCCTAAAAAGCATAATCATATTCACTCACAGCCACAAGACAAGGTTGAAAAATCGCGTCTCTTATACTATACTATACTATAACTAGGTACTTACTAAAGTACGTACGTATGTACCTAATGTATATACACCGCCAAGCAAGAACAAGGCTTCGACCGCTCCCTTGACTAAATGAATATTGGTTTATTTTACTCAACTTCCTTGTTCCTGCTCCTGCTCCAAGCCTTCTCGAACTCGATCTTAAACCCAAACGAACTCCACAAACTCCAATCCGCCTGTGCCAGTGCATGCAAGAATTCTTCATCTTCATCTTCGTCTTTGTCTTCTCTGTTTTCTCTAAGAAAACCTTACTCTTCTTTAACCGAACGGGAAACCACCCGGGAAACCACCGCCTCCCGAACCAAACTTGAAGTGGAACTGCTGGCCGCCGCCGCCTTGTTGGAACATGAATGGGTGGCCCCCCTGCTGGAATGGATTGCCCTGCTGTTCGTGAGAATTCGGGTCGTCGCCGCGATCGAATCTTTCACGGAGCTCGGGGTTACTCAGCACCTCGTACGCCTCGTTGATCGACGCCATCTTCTTCTCAGCCTCCTCCTTGCTCAAACCCTGCTTGGCCGCCTTGTCCGGATGGTGAATCTTGGTGAGTTTCCGGTAAGCTGACTTGATCTGTCGTTCGTCTGCGTCATGCGAGACACCGAGGACCTTGTAGTAATCTTTTGTTTTGCTGCGCTTAAGAGCGACCTGGGCTTTCTGCATTAGGGGGTTGATGATGTTATTCTTGTCCGGTCTGACTTCTGCTGCTTTCTTCAGAGTTGCGATACAGGGCTCGAAATCATCGGCCTCTAGTTGCGTCTTGGCTTTATATAAGAGACCGTACAGAGAATTCTCATCTAGTGCTAGAGACTTTTGACAATATGTGCTGGCCTTCTTGCTGTTTGTCTGTAGAGTAGTTAGCAACATGTCGTTTTCTCAAATTTAAATAGGTAATGGTAGTACCTCGTAGTAAGCCTGGCAAGCAGTCTCGACTAATCTGGCCAGTAACACATTGGGAGCGCGTTCCGGGATGATACCAGCCTTCTTGTGCTCCTTAATCTGCTCTTCGACCTCGTTAATCAGACCCGGCCCATCACCAGATGGCACTAACAGCTTAACGCCAGTCATAGGCTGATTCCTTTCCATAGCCTTGTTAACTTTTGCTAACGTCTTATCGATGCTCTTTTCTTGCTTTAATAACTTCTTGCAGGGCTTAGATTCGGGATCGGAGTGCAGACACCTCTTGATCTGCGCTATACCCTGTTCTATATCTCCTAAACTGTAAAATGTAATGGCCGAGATCTGTAGATAAGGAGTAGTGTCGCCCGGTTTCATCTGCAGGATATGTTGTAAATCGCCTATCGCGCCTTCGACCTCTCCTTTCTCGAATCGACACTTGACGCGCAGTTCTCGAAGGTTGGGAGCCCGGTTTGCGACGAGGATGGCATCGCTGGCCTGACTTATACATTCGTCCCAGTTTCCTTTTTTCGCGGCTTCTTCTGCCAACTTAGCGGCGCCCTGTGCTTCGACCAGCTTCTCGAGTTCGGAGGAGCCTTGCTTCTGCTTGGCTAAGAGGTAGTGTTCCAGAGCTCCATCCCAATCAGCACTTCTAGCCTTTAACTTGCCCAGTTGCAGATGCGCTCCTTCGAAGTCCGGCTTCAGCTGTAAGACTTTGTTGAAGTCCGAAGTAGCCTGCGACGTGCGACCAAGCGAAAGGAAGGTGGTAGCCCGTTTGAAGTACGTTAAGTAGTCGTTTGGATCGCGGGCGACAGCGGCATCGTAGTACGTTAGAGCCTCGTTTGTTTCGCCTTTAGTTAAGTGTGACTGCGCCGAAGAGAGGAGATTCGAGATAGGGGTGTCGGCGGGGATATCCGAAGCAGAGAGGGCTTGAACGAGACCGGTAGAAGTGAGCGCAGTGGCTGCGAGAGCCAGGGCTGATAGAGGAACAATCATGATGATGCGATAGACAATTACAAACAATAGTCTTCGATTGCCTGTTGGCGCGGACGCCGTCAGGGGTTTGTTTGCCGGAGCAAAAGAATTAGGTATGTGGTATTACAGGAAAGACAACGAAGAAGTAGGAAGTAGAAAGACGGAGAAATGTAGAAACGTGGAAAGTTAATGAAGGTATAAACGACTTAAAGATTAACAAGTGGCTACTACGTGTATCTGCTAGTTAAGTACCTGGAAAACTAACGAGTTTAGGCTGTTACTGGTAAGTACTCGCTAAACAAATGTATCCCTGCATGGACAACCTGGCCACTTCTATGTAACTGCCTTTTAGAGGCGACATGAACAAACCCGGCGCGAATCTTATTTTCTATGCGGACTGCATACATACCTATGTACGTACCGATCATGCGCCACAATAAACTATTTCCTAAAGAGGCAAGAGGGGCTACAGGACCCGACGGGAGTGCAGCCGGCCAACGTTTACCCCACCAATCCCCCAATGTATCCCTGCCCGTCGCGTGTATTCGACGTGTACATGTCGACGTCTCCAAACTTGAGCTTATCAACAACGTCCAGGAATAAAAAAAAATGAAATAAAAAGTTAATTCTCCAAGTCTACACCATCTTCTCTATCAATTTATATAGACGCAACCAAAAGAACCTCCCCCTCCCACACGCAATACAATGTCACACCTCCCCCCCTCCCAAGCAATATTCTCCCCATCCGTCGCCCGCGCCGCAGCCTCCACCGCAAAAGACTGGTCCTACATCGACACCTGGCTACGCAGCATCTACTCCAACTCCAACTCCAACTCCAACTCCTCCCGCGCCTCCCGCCCTCCCCCCTTCGAGCGCAACCCCGAAACCCTCAAAGCCCTGCTCGCCCTAGCCACCGCCAACGAAGCCGCCGACGAGCACCGCGAGCAGCTCGCGCGCGTCGAGGAGGCCGCGCTGGAAGAAGTGCGCTCCGTTGAACGAGAGCGGGAGGAACGGCGGCGGAGGATCGACGCTCAAAAGCTGAAACAGCAGCAACAACAACAACAGGGGGGACAGGAAATAAAAGAGGCAGAAGAAGCTCTCGACGGAGACATCCTAGCCGCAGACCTCCTCTCCGCACTCGAATCCTCCCTAAGCAAAGACGGCGCCGCAGCCCTCGACGCCATGGCCTCTATGGCCGTCGAGCTAGGCGTCGCGTATCCCACCCCCGAAATCCTCGGGTCCAAGTTCGCCGAGCTGCAGGGCCGAGCATTCGAGCTAGAAGACGGCATCGAGAGGATAGATTTGCTACGCCGGTACTTAGACCGGGAATCTGCCCGCGCCGAGGCCTTTCTCGCCGAGCTACAGCAGTCTAATGCCAATACCGATTCTAGCCTTAACACCCACAACGATAACGACAGCATCATCGGCGGTAGCGGTAGCGGTAGTGGTAGCAGCACCAGCATATTCACACTCCCCCCTACTCTCCCCAAGCAAAACCTCTCCCTACAACGCCTAATCAAGAGCACATCCAGTCACCTCCCCGACCTAACCCACCAAGTCCACTCTCTAGAAAAAAGCATCGGCCTCCCAAGTCTAACCGTCGATGACGTGCGCGCCGACGAGGAAGCATACCTAGACCTACTATCCCGCAAAAAGGATCTCGACGCGCAGGTCCGCGCCTTCGCCGGCCTACCCCCTGATATCGACGCCGCGCGCGCTGAACTAGAAGCTTTACGTGCCGAGCTCCGGAACGCGACGGAGCGGCGTGACGAGGACTTTGAGAAATTAGTTGAACGGGAGAGTCCAGTGAAGAGTAGGAGGAGGCCTAGACTAGACTAGACTAAATCAGATTATACTATCCTCAAGTAAGCCTCAAAACAGCCGCAGGAATACTCGTCTCGGTATATAATGCAATCCAATATTTGCATAAAAACGCCATTAATTATTACTTATCTACATATTCGAACTCTCAGATATCCCCGCTGTACACAATCATATGATAACAGTACTCGGTACAAGACATAATAACCTACCTAGAATGAATCGCTTCTTCAAAAACCACCTTCCTTGTAGTAAGTAGGTCACCCCCTCTACGATAACGTAGATGAATGACTGCAAACCCCGACGACATAACCAACTTCACTTCTATTGGGGCTGCGATCGTTTCCCTCTGCCCGAGACGGACGCGCCTAGTCGTCCAAACTGTTTCCCTAATCCCGAACGCTTTTGTGGCGGCGCAGCGGGCGGCGTCGAGTCTTTCGGTGGTACGGTCGGGGCCGGCACGGGGCGTGGGGGCTCACGTTCTGTGATACGTAGTCCGCCGAAGTCTGGGCCGTCGTCGAGGTTACTACCGTCTAGCATCCTCTGTGCCCGTCTCGCCTTGTCCTGTACGCTCCTGAACTTTTCCAAGAGCTGGTCCCACCGTATCGTATTGTCTTCGCGGCCCTTCCCCAACCTGTTTGGGCGGTCATAATTTGAAGCGTTAGGTGTAATGGCAGGACTAAGAACGCATGAAGAATAAGTGTCATGGACGCTATTGGGACGAGGGTGGTGGCTTTGGTAAGAGGAGATGGCTTCGGCCACTGAACCTTGCCAGGGGATTGTCAAAGGAGTAGTAAGATGGGGTACATACGGTCGAGGCCCGATCTGCAAGTATCCTATCGCGCTTACGCTGTTCAACCTATTCTTGAGAGCCGCAAAAGCAGAGGACTGCGGCAGAAGCATCAAAATTCCATAAAGACATTTATAGAGGTATGGATACTTCTCAGGTTCGAGAAGCTGAAGCCGGAGATCTAGTAGTCCGATAATGATTCGTTAATGTATATAGTCAGAAGCAGGACGAATATTAGGTAACTCACATGTGAAGACAGGAGACTCAATCAGTTGGACAAGCTTGTCGATCTGGATGAGAATTTGGACTGTCATCTCTAGCTCCGCACTTGTACATGTTAGTAGAATGTCCAGTGATGATGCCCCCCTATTCTACAACACTCACAAAATCTGTAAGAGATTGTACGCAGCTTCGTATGCCTGAGCGAGTAAACATAGGGAGAAGGTTGCAACGGCGTTATAACACCAGGAACGGAACAAGGCGACGAAAAACACCTGGCCCTCCTATAGGAATAGTCAGCATGGGCCTAAGCCAAATTACTGGATGTCTGAACAACGCTACCTTCGTCTCTAGGTTCCGTAACCGCTTCCTCAAGTCGGCTAGCTCCGGCGCCGTAATTAGGTTATTGTTGAGATTCTGCACCATTATGCTGGCAAATTCAACGTCCTCTTCTTTCTCTATCGTCTCGGCTAGAGTACGGTATATCCTTTCAGGGCTTAAAGTCATACATAATTGGCGTATGATCAGGTTTCCTCGAGTCTCTAACAGTTTTCTATCAGTAGAAAAGAGTTGTAAAAGGCTGACCATAAAATTAGAAAAGTAGTCGTCTTCGCTATATCTCGATATTTGAGATAGTAATTGTAAGTCCTTGGTAACGACAGCTTCTGCCGGGTCTGAAAGCGTCTTAAGGAGGGCAGGGAATGTTCCGTCGTTGAACGCGACAATTTTCCTTGGTGCTTTTCGGTGCAACATAATGAGCCAAGTTAGTGCAGCAACGCGGGTTGCCTCGTGGTCATTCAAGAATAGCAAGGTGAGAGAATTAACTGCGGCTGCATAATCTAAGTCTGGCTGGGACTGGGATGGTTGGGCGGCGGTTGGTGCCTTGCGGTTTTGAGCTGGTGTAGGACTCTGTAGATCCGTTTCGCGGTTGCTCGACAAGGAGGCGCGCGTACTAGACGCTCCTTCGGGGCGGTCGGCAGCAGGTACAGATGCTCGTGACGTCGACGGGCCTGCCCCTTCGGTTTCGTCTGTAAGAGAGACAACATATTCCATCAGTGATGTATTCACCCTTGTCGCAGCCTGGCGAATCGGCTCGACCCCGCTAGCCATCGCTGGGAGGAGATGGGCTAATATTTTAGGAGTAAACGGTAAGACTTCTTCAGGGCAGATATCTAGAAACGATACTGTCCATCGTAAACTTTCTAGAACGCTGTCTTCTTCTATCTCAGCATTAGTATTTATAATCATATCATCAAGCCAAGAGCACTTACCTAGGGGGGAATCAAGGGTCGCGGTGAGGATCTCAAGGATGGCCTTATAGTTAATCTGCACATCTTGTCCCGGAATCCAGTCATCCTCACTGCTAACTTCATCATCATCCTCGTTGGCCGTAGTAGAGCCCGCTTCCTCGGCGTCATCCGCTGCTAGACGCATACTACCGCTATCGACAGAGTCCTCCCGCTTCCTCTTTCCCTCTCCCTTCGACTTTCTGCTCTCGGCGATACCCTTCTTCACTCGGGCAATTCTCTTAATCTCGTTCAAGAACTTATCCATACACGCCTGCGTTGCCGCATGGACGTCGGCATTATTGCCACTGAGAAACTTGAGCAAGCCACCCAGAAACTCGGGCAGGTACGTAACCAGTTCGAGATCCGGGATCGAGTCGAGTAGAGTAATCCAACCGACAAGGAACGTTCTAGTAAACGGGTTCATAACCCATATCCGTTCCTTTAAGAGGGGAATAAAATCTGGAAGTGAGAAAGCTGTTGGGAGATTCGGGTTAGGAGAAACGCCCTGCTCAGAGTCCTTCGCATCATAAGGCGGCGGAGGTTCACTCTCGAGCACGGACACGTAAGTAGCCGCTGACTCGGAGACAATATCCTTGATTAGACGATCGAGAAGTTCGGCGCCGTTTTTTACAGAAAGTTCTGAGTCTGCACCTAGCTGTAGTAGAGAGAATCGATGTTAGGCTAAATGAAAAGAGTTCTCGGATAGAGGCATCGAATTACCTTGCATAAAGCGTCAAATATATGGTTAAAATATTTCAAAATCTCGCCTTTGGCGACCTTAGCGATATTGTACATAGACTCGCAAGCATAATACCGAACGCGAGCATCTTGGTCGGTGAAACAAGCTAGAACAGGCGGTACGATAACCTCGAGATATCTCGGTAGTTCCTTAACACAGGTTAGATTAAACAGAAATAAGGGGGTTAAGAAACGGCGTCCCGGAAAGCATAGCACGGGAGAAGAAGAAACATACTGAACCGAGGGCAATGGCAGCAGCGGCCAAACCTATCAAGCCTCCATTTCGTGCGTGGGGTTGATGGACAGCATAAGCGTATTCGTTACATAACTGCTCAAGAATATCCTTAACCCTTTTGTAGTCCTTGGCCGCTACCAGCTCTCGAATAGAGCGTTCGAGTCTATGTTTATGTTGGTAAACTCAATTCAATAGTATCTACAAGTTCAGGGGGTATGGAGCATACTCGAGGGCACCGGTTTTCCTCTTGTCGTATAGTTTATCGTTAAGAAGGCGCTGGACATTGGGTTCCATTGCTGCGTCTTCGTCTCGGCACGCAGGTCACGTTACCATGCCGCACCGGGATATGGATAATGTGGTTGGGTGGTTCATCAATGGCGCTGGGTGGAATATGTGATGGATTATTCAAATTCAAGTGGTTGGATAAATGGACAATGGACAACTGACAATTGACAATGGACTTGGTAGAAAAAGAAGGACAGAAAGGCAGCAAGCCGGATTACAATAGTGTCTGGATATTCTATCAAAGTATTAGAGCTTGCTGTAGTCCGTAACTACGTTAAGGTAACCTAACAGTGTTCAAGAGTTAGAGGGGTAAAGGTCCGGGATTGGGATTGGGAGGAGATGACGAGGCTGAGGGGATGAAGCATCAATGATGTAGGTATGTAAATGATGTATGCGTACCAAATAAAATGTATGGGGGGGATTCTCATGTATGGGTACTTGGCTGCACTTTCATGCAAGGATTAAAGTTTAGCGGGGGGTAGCACTAACCAGCTGACCGTTAAAGGCTGACGAGGCTGAACCTTATCTCTAAGAAGGTACAATACATACCAAATTCTAACAAGACAGCAAGAGCACAAGCAGAACCTTAGAGAAGTTGCTCAGAAGTATGTACTTGCTTATCGGTGGGATGTGGCGTCTGCGCCAAGGTCCCTAAGCCAGTGCGCTGGGACAAGCTCAAAGCTGCGAACGTTGCAGCCGTTGCAGCGTTCATACTGAGACACCAATTGCAACACCTAAGGCGCTGTTAAGGTTAGCCTATAACAACGGCCAGATTCAGGCGCATAGCGCGCTTGGATTGAAATCTAACCAAAATCAACCCGTTCGATTTAGAAGCACGCATTTCCCCAATCATTAACTTTATTTAGAAACACGGGAGAGCAAGCCAACAAAACATCTACCTAACCGATTCCATTAGTTACCACATTTTAAACGATATACGATGATATTTCGTGATATTTATTACAGCTATAAAAGCCATAATTACATAGGTACCTAACTCTTTTCTATATCTTTCCTTATGATATATATGCGAGGTACTTTAGATATATAACTTCGGTTTTTACCAAGTTACAAATTATATTCTCCAAAGCCTCCAAGCACATTACGGCCGAAACGTATATATAGCCAAGCGGTGATGGTATTACGAGTCCTTAAGTTTTTACAAGGTCAAAGCACTTAAAACACATTATCGGCAATGAATTAAGGAGGTGAGGGGGGGAATACCGGCATGCCGAAGTAGCCCGGCCGTGCAAAAAAAGAAAAAAAGAAAAAAAGAAAGAAAAAAAAAAGTGCCTAAATCAACCTTGTTCGTTGGGAGTCAAGAAGTCGTTCGATTTTTCTATATCTACCTACGTCGGCTTCTGTTGGCTTCACGGGCTATATCTTTCGTCGGCTATTCGCCAGGGGTCAGTCAGTCGGCAGCAAGACATGGGCTTCTGTTTGTGTACATAACATACCGAGAGTCCCGACGGTATACATAGGTAGGTAGCTAGCCATCTTTACGGTCCGGCCAATGCGAGACTTTTTCCTTTAGCCGCTGCAGCCACAGTCACGACAATCCCATCGGCTAGCCACTCGAGTAATATGTGAATCGGCAATTTTCCCAATGGCACTGCTGCTAGGATGGAGAATACCAGCCCTAGATATATTAAATACATGCCTGCTAGGTATAATCTAAGACCATGGCAGATCATCTGCCGTGTAAGACACTGCACATGTATAATGACGTTGGAAAGATGCTACGCACTTAGTCCTGGAGTTGTACTGGTCGACTAGATCTTCAGATGAGCCCAATTTATCTGGAGATCGGCTACTGGGATAATTAACTGTTCGTTACCTATTTAGATAGTTTATATGGACGTATTCTAGATAAACACTATATGTGACGGATGCTACGGCTTTATGAGAGGTTTGCTGGACAGCAATATATGATTGATTTTATAACCCTCCGTTAGTCAAACCGGTGATGTGAATTCATTCGTGCGCTAGACTTGGGCTTCAATTTTGTTGGTGAATCCGTATAAGGGCGTATTATTTAGCATTGTCTCTCTCGGAGCATCGTTACCGTTATGTTTTCTATCAACTCTCATATTTTATCCTTTGGCTCTCCTATTCTCGTCGGTTCTATTATATTTTTACTACAACCCCTCATAATACTACCTATATCACATCTCATATAGTTAACATCATAAATACGTTTTTTCTTAAAAGGTAATTTAATTGTTCATGAATACGTTATCCGAGTCAAAATTGACGTTGAACAGCACAAGAGAAGCAATCCCGCTTGCACATCCCCTTTTTAGTTAAGCCGCATCAATTTGGAGATACCCAGACCCGATCAGTTGGTACTATGTATAGGTAGATAGGGATGTCATATTGGATACAAGTTTAATCTGCTACCTGGGCTGTTTCTAAAACGACCTTGTTGGGGTACCTATTTCGTACCTAAACACCACCCTAAAGTTGGAATTAAGTATATGTTGATCTTGGTAACGACGGTAAGATATGTTCCCCCTCGGCCGGAGAATTCTCGAAGCAGCCAATCGTGAAAGATGAGGCAATCCATCCAAAAACTATCCTATCATACTCGGCTAAGCATACGTAGCTTACCAAGCCTACCTACGGCGTTGAAGAAAAAGGAGAAAAAAAGCCAGGCTTGGCTTATTCCGATATATCCCGCTTCCCGTCCACGATCATGTGCACCACAATGATGACGTTGATGCCACCGCATGATTACCTACTCACAACTCCTTTTCCGCAGCTCTCCCAGTCTAACGCGGCTCAGATTCCCATCTTTAGCCAACCGAGATAGCACCTAATGATCTATCACAAAGGGGCCCGTCTAGATCTTCAGTTCCTGACATTTATTCGGTGGAGCTTGCGCCACTATCGTCTCCGTGTCTAGTCGTATGGGTCTGTTGATTGGACCGGGGGAAGCTCCGGATCCTTTTACTTTTCCTGGCCACCGTCATTTTTCTTCTGGCTCGAATCACTCTTCCGCCAAGATTCGTCTGAGTTATCGCCCTTCTGATCCTTGTTATTTTTGGCGGCCATATCTGCACGCCTTGCGAATGGATCCTGCTCTATGGTGAGTATCTAAACCATTGTTCGGAAGTGGTAGGTGTAATACGGTCTTCCCGCGGGACTTGGCGATCCGCGCGGCTGATTTCTCGTCCATCTTAGTTGGTCCCATGTTGTGGCGATCAACGTCCCGAAGACTTGATAACTGTATGTGGAAGAACGACCAACCTACAAATGGAGATATAAGTGTGGCCGAGAAGGACTAAACAGTAAGCAAAAAGAAGAAGCGTGTCAGAGGTTGAAACAGAGAGGTGAGGTTAGTATATATAGTCTAAATTGTGCCCTCAGGAAGAGACCGGTTGACCAAGCTTCCCGAATCCGAACCAACCGTCAAGGGTCACACCCTACTTGCTTTCCTGCACTTTTCACTGAAGATATCGTGATCATGCACATGAGGCAAGCCTAGTCTCTTCCGCTTCCAGCGCGTCACTGGCCGCAGAATCTTTCTTGGGCGCCAAGCAAGGAAGGGAGGCTGCAGGAAGCATGCCGGTCTATGTAAGACTGTAGCAAACAATAGAGTAACTAACACGACGTAGGATCAGATGCGAGGCACGCTTCTGCCAATCTCGTACTTGGCCCCAGATAAATAGTGTATCAGAGCAGAGTATAAGATCCAGGGGTCCATATTGGTCGGTGAAGGGCCGCACGATGTCCTCTTCCTCTCTGCCGTGTAGCAGCCGCGGATCTAAACTTACTTACCTAGGTATATTCTGCGAGGCCGGGGCCAGATTCCTGCAAGAAACCGACGGGAGCAACCGTGTATCGACTTACAACGCACATTGCCGTTTGGCGGGCCAAGTCTTCCGACCTCGCAGGATTCACGCGGCTGTCAGGGAGAGTATTTCTTTAACCGCCGAGAAACAAAAGCGAACAAGGCTAACACAAGACCGAGAACCGTGATAGGCGTAAGTAAGAGAAGAGGTAATCGAAGCAAACCACCACTAATATCTTCTCCGCGGCCTCAGCTGTCTATACTTGGTTATGCATATTGGAACTTGGATTAAGACGCAAGGGGACAGTGAGCGTTGCACAAGAGCATTAAATCAATCTATATGATAATTGCCAAATCAGCTCACAATAAGGCGGCCTCTCAGGCACGCATATGTCCCTCTCGTCCGGTAAGGCAGCAAAGTGGTTGACTTTCTTTTCCATGACCATGGGAACCTGATTTGGATGAAAATCCCTAAAATAGCGCCGCCCACCGCGCTCAATTTTCTGACTAAAGATAGTTGACAAGTCGCAGACAAAGTTATTAGACCTAGGTTTGATTTACCTGGCTCGATATCGTATTGGTTCGCTACGGGATGCTTTCGTATTGGAACCCGAAAATTATCAATTTTCCATTCATCCAGAATGGTTAGATGGACCGACTGCAATATCGCCAGGTTTAAGAGCACCATCTCTCGTAAGAATCCGAACGACGTTGCATTAGGTTTTCAGAGGGTCGTAAGGCATAACGTCTGAGAAACTTCTCCAACATCATACCGAGTCAACCCCATTCCATTTTCCGTTGGTTGGTCTCCGTCACGGGAAAACACCGCTACCTATTTACAGGGCTTATCAAAAGCTACGACAAAATGGGTAACACCATGCTAAAATATTAATGGTGGTGTCCATGAATTGGATCATCGCCCTCGGAGATGATGACCTTCTGACACTTGGCAAGGATGGCTGCTTGCCTCGACACTTCGGCTAGCGTGCCAACAACCTGCTTATTACCATCCACGAAGCCGTATAATGCATATGGGATACCAACATCGTTACAGAAATCCTGTACTAGCTTTTGCGTGCGGCGGAGATTATGACGCGGGATCCTGGGGAATAAGTGGTGGATAACTTGGAACTGCAGGCCGCCGTGGAAAAAGTCCAGCCATTGGGGGCATTCAATGTCCATGGTCGTGCGGAGCATCTTCTGGGGAAATGATTCGTGGGGCCCCATATCAGAGGTGCTCATCGCAAAGTGGGAAAGACAAATCTGCGCGTGGACTGGCATGGGCACCATATGGCTGATCAAGAAGAAGATAATTCGATCCGAGTTGTTAGGAATCGACTTGTACAATACTCCATAGAAGTACCAGGTAAGGAAACAGAGCTGACCAGTTATTTCGAGCCACCCATGCCACCAAGCAGGTCCTTTCTTAGGTCCTCTGCGAGCAAGCAAAAAGTCCCAGGATAAGCGGTAAAGGTTCAAGCGTCCGAAGAGGAGAAGTATGTAGTACGTGTAAGGTTGAATTCTGAGCATGAATTTTGCCACAGCATCGTATTCCATTACGCGGTCGTAAAAAGTGGAACGCATCGATGTGAAGAACCGGTGAGACACGGCCATGAACGGCATATGTTCGATGTCCGGGTCATGCTCCGGTGCATTTGTAACGATGTGGTGCACGTTATGGTTCCGCTTCCACCATCCTATCGAGAGACCACCGAAGAAATCAGCAACGATGATGCCGATAACCGTGTCCGTGTGGAAGTCATGGGTAATACCCATGTGGCCAGCATCGTGGGCCGTGAAAACGAGTTGATGCCAGAATGCGCCTAGACATACTGAGCTCGCAACGTACCAACCCCAGTGCAAGAAGAGGAAAGTGAGGCTGAAAAGGATTGAGTATCGTGTGACCTCGATTGCATACGCCCAATAATTGCATTTATAAAGATCTTGGGCCTTGATTCGCTCGCCAAGCTCGCGATACTTGGCCACGATGGCATCCTGGGTATCAAAGTCTAGGGAGGGATACTTTTCCAAGTCTAGAGTCGTCTTCTCCCTGGTAACGGTGTCGAGGTATGACATGCCATCATCATCAGGTTCCACCGAAGATACGGAAGATGTAGATGAAGATTTCGGTACTGATGCATCGACGCCACGTCGCTTTCGGATCACGGCTTCTGCGCTGTCATCGAAAACCGGGGAAGGTTCCCGGGAACTTGGGCTACTCGACACATCGGTAGAAATGACGTCGCCTTCCTCAACCTCGTCCTCAACCCCGTCGCCGTCCAGCAATGGTCTGAATTTACCGCCTTGGACAGGGGGTATGAAGTTGGTCCACCTTCCTTCAATTCTACCAATTCGATAACGGTTCATCTGCTCTCTTGTTTCGGAGGAATGGAGACTATAGTAACAAGACAGGTTAGAGACAGATGATTCTAATGCAATGCACGTATAAGGTTATACAGGCGAGGGCAGCACTAACGCAGTGACTTCGTCGGTAGCATCTCGACCAACCATGTGTAGGATGGCCTTGTCACCACCCGGGTGATACGGTAGCCACGGATCGGCCTTGAATACATATTGGTTGGCAATGAAGATGCGTCGTCCGTCTGCGATTAAACCTTCGATCTGCCTTCTCGACAGTACCGGGTATGATTTTTCGGCCATTGTCGTCCACCAACCTCTTTAGGCTCTTAGGTACCTAACGTATCGTCGTATATAGGAAAGGGACGCAAAAGGTCTAGCTCGATGTTCCGATGGCAATTTTACGCAATTTTACGCGACCATTTCAATATATCGCGAAAAGGAGGGTATATGGAACTATGAGGGGTTGTACAAGAGATTAGGCACGTTTTATCAAAAAGAATTAAAATCGGTTGACATTAAAATGTTCAAGTTTAAGGTACGCCCCTCTGGGCTCTGGGCTCTGGGCAGTCTCGGACGTACATACGGATTAGAGCTTTGGGAGCTAAGGAAGAGCGGTGGGAACCGAAAAATGGGGGTTAAACTCACCGTCCCAGCGTCCCTCTCCGCACGTTCCGTTTGGGTTAATCCCCATTGCCCCTGAAGGCCTGGCCAATGAAATAAGCCAATTGAGCCACGACGCTTTCCCCACTAACCCTAGCAAAAACTTGGGAGTTAAAGCTAACACAGCCACAGCCACAACAACAGGTAACTATCAACATTTAAGAATTATCTTCCAGTTATTACTCGTGCCACGCCCCACTTAATTCTGGTTTCGCAAGCGTATACCAGTCTTAACTGGTGCTTACCACTATTATCCACACATTACAATTATCCCCAGATTTTTTAACTTTTATAATAACTTTTTAACCACACATATATATAAAAAGAAAAAAATAAACTTATTTAAATTAAAATTCATATAATTTTACTATATATTTTAAATCTTAATAGGTATTTTATTTATTTTATTAAAAATAATATAAGTAAATTTTTAAAAAGTATTAAATTTTAAAAAAGATTATAATAATTTAATTACGTAATATTCTATAATTTTAATTAAGGTAAGTTTTATATATAAATTTAATTAAAAATAAAAAAATTATTTTATATTTTAATAAATTTTATTTATATTTATAAAAATATATTTATATATAAAATATTATATAAAAAAATTAAGAAATAATATATAAAATAATATAAATATTATAATTATAATTATTTTAATTTTTTATTATATTACTTAAATTTTAATATATTTAAAATCTTTTTTTCGAACTATATAACTTTAAAAATGAAGGTTATATGAATTTTTATAATGATAATGGGGATAATGGTGATGTGTAGATAATAGTGGTAAGCACCAGTTAAGACTGGTACACGCTTGCGAAACCAGAATTAAGTGGGGCGTGGCACGAGTACTGGTTAATAACATACACACTAACACATCACATACCTGGATATATGCACAATTGTGAGGAAAATCGAAAAGACATTAGTTGAAGATTTTTACAACTGCTTAAGACTCCATGTAAGAAATCCTTATCATCAATGCACATGCGCACAATCCCAACCGATCCAACATTTGCAAAAGCTAGGTTCGGACTCTCAACTACATATCTAGGTTAGCTCATATGTAACTGCGTGGGATGACTCGCAAATCACATCCCTGAAGTCGTATGACGCACGAGTACGCTAAATTCCGAAGCAATAGAATATCTTTCCATAACTCAGTCTCCTCGAATCAGAGGCTTTTCCTGAAAAATCGATCAGTCACTTATAAGAGTCCTTATTAAGCTACTATGTACAGTATTATATTATCGTTGAATACAACGTTGAGAGTAACTAATGTCGAGGTCGTATATCTTTATGTAAATAATCTCACCGGTGTTACATCAATTAGAAGATGATATGTATAGTCCCCTAGTTAGACCCAAAATACTCAACAGGCCATAATCATCCGGGCCAATTTGAAATACGAATGGCTAGTTAAGTCTTAGTTCGCCTATCATTCAAATAAGCTAAATATTGGCAACGGTAGGGATATTTTACCTTGGCAATATGATTTCCTTTGTAATTGTAAAATAGACAACAAGTCATTCATGTTTACCCCACATTCAAAACAAAAAAGGGGGGAGCCTCTAGGGGTAAGATACCTACGGATTGCTTCGTAGTCTATGTTAGTCTTATATTAATAGACAGTCCCCGTCTATGCCGTGAAGCTTCCCCAATGGTATGAAATGAGACCTTTGAATATCAACTGGATTAGAATAACCATGATGTTCGTTTCGATTTTCGAGTTCTCCTGCTGGCCAGCAAACGTATAGCTCCTCTTATACTATTACATTAAAAATGTGACTTTTAAGACATAACAATTAGCAAATACATCACAACCATGGCCCTAACAACACGATAGCTACGCATTACACCAACCGACGTAGTCAATAGTAACGTCGTAAATGTACATGCAGCCTTACATGTGCTACACCAAGCGCTCGAATAGAATACCCTATTACCAGTCAAGTTTGTTATTAAGTCAAATGCTATATCTCGACGAAAATCAAGAAACCAACTTGCATTTACAGAATGCCTTAGCGCGCGCCCATAAAGGAGGGCTCGAGTTACAATGTCGGACTCGCGAACCGGATCCCGCGTCGCGGCATTTCGGGGGGTTTCCGCCAGAGGGAATAATGGTAGCAAGACTGAGGAGGCATAGAACGAAATAAATAAAAAGTTAAAAAAAATAAAAAAAATAAAAAAAATAATAATAATAATAAACTCCTCGTTTCTAAAGACTTCATCCTGGACCCTGGGCAAGAGCATCAACAGCGACCAAGCATTACCTCTGCAGGATCACATCCCTTAAACATACATAATCCAACCCAGACCTAGCCCTTTCAAGCATATCTCTAGTCTATAAAGGGGGGAAGGAGGATGTAGTCATTCTATACTCAGTGCCGTCTATATTTGCCGTAGCCAGGTTAGTATGTCAACCCATACGGCCTCCGCGATGGCTTACGGAGGGATACCGGCCTCGGGGTAAGGGGGGTTGTAAAATGAGTATAGTCTTACCTACTTATTAGTGTAAGGGTGAAGTGTGCGTAAGCAGACGACGATCTTGGAGTATTGAGCTCTAGCAAGAGCTGCATCGACTTAGCCTAGCAACCCTCACCTCTAGTGAAGATGACAAGGTATCTATTCCAGAGATAATTATCTCGTCCTACCACGCCATCATCCAAACCAGCTCAAGCAGGATCCTTTATATAAGCAAGACGTGCCTTCAAGCTTTATCACAAAATCTGATATAACGCGTAGGATCGTTGAGAAGTGTATAGATGAAGTCGAAATCAAATTATGTTTATATAGGCCTAGATATATTCCTATTCCAGCTGACCCCTATATCCATATCCGTTCCTTGCCTCAGTCCCATTGCTTGTAGCCCACACCGTATCCTCAGACCTCCCATGCCAAATAATCTTGAAAAGTAGTTCTATCCTGACCAGAGATTCTTATAAGGAAATAACAATAAAATAAAGGAAGAAAGAAAAACCGTGTACGAGCGTTGTCGTCTTAGTGTTGAGCTGCTTCTCAAGAACGCCTATAAAAGACGTTGGATCTCAAGACTATACTGAAAGTACGCTTGATGGAGGCAACCGCTCAAACATACTGCGACCGTCTCCCATGCCGACTCCCAATATTACTAATACTATCACTCGGCGCCACACTCCCCGCATCATCATCATCCCAGACTACATAACCGCTACCAGCGTGGCTCTCCGGGCGTCTCACACTCCGTGATCGATTGCCCCCAGACCCTTTAACCGAATACCGAGTTCCGGCTTTAGACTGAGGTCGCGGGGGCGAGGTCCGTGTGCCGCGAATTGTGCCAGCTGATTTATCAGTGCGAGCCGAGACATACGTCTCGGTCTCTGCCTCGCGCGGCCGCGACGACGTAGGTGTGTGCTTGGAACTGACGTACGTGCGCCAGTCTGACTCCGAGTCGGGCGAGTGCCGCGAACTCGCGTGGCTGCGGGAGTCGGGGGCGGGGGCGTGTCTGGAACGGCCTGTGTTACTGCGATACTCTGATTCCATTGGTCGCCTCTCGCCGTGTTTCGATTCGGTACCACTTCTGTGCTCATGCTCGTCGATCATCAACGGGCGTCTAGACGAGGATACCTCGCTGCGGCCGCGCGACCGACTTCCGGTAGTGTAGTGACTTGAGTAACGACTAGCGCGGTCGTCCATGTCTTCGATCGCTCTGCCTCGCGGACTGCCGGCCTGAGAGTGGCCACCATTGTAGCTGCTGGGGGGATAGTACCGGGGCCGGTCCGGAGATTGGTCTGGGTATGTGGACCGTCTGGTAAAGGGTGGCATATCATGACCCTGGAACGCCATAGGCTCTTGCTCTTGTTCTTGCTTGTTCTTCATTGAGTTATAGGTTAGCGCGCCACCGACAGCAGCGCCCACCGCCAGACCGAAGACGGCACCCAGGACGGTGGTAGTATTCAATCCTTTTGGGGCCTCCTCAGATGGAGTTTCGATGGTTGATGATGTCGTAAAACTTTGTCGCGCCACGGTATAGGACTCGCCGCTGGAGGCGCGGCTGCCCACCGTGGTGCTAGGCCCACTAGATCCGGCGATAGACCGTGGTAGGGGAACCAAGGGAGCGCCAACGTCTAGAGTCCAGTCAAGGACACGGCTGGTTTCCTGGGTAGAGGAGGATTGAGACCGGCTTGCCGTCGAGCCCGCACGGCTCGGGGCGTATTTCTTGGAAGAATTAGCATGGACGACCTCCATGATGTTTCCGTCAAAATCGCCGATGATAGCGCGGCTCTCTTCGTCTGGATCCGAGTTCTGTATGCGTAGATAGTTGACGCTGTGGTTGCCGTCCTTTAGTTTAGGGTTCGAACGCAAGGCAGCTCCGTGAAAAGCAGCAACGGCCGAGGGTGATCTCGCCGAAAGGACTAGGCGACAAGGTTGCGCAAATTGTGAGTCCGGGTTGGTATTCTGCTTCACTTCGAAGACCGGTTCGGGGGAAGATGAAGAAATATCGCCAAACACTATTGAGGTGGGAGTGGAAGATATATAACGGAGACCGAGGGGTTGAGCCACAGCGGCGTAGAACGAAGCCGAGGGGGCTAGGTCTTTGACTTGGACAAATGGTAGGACGTGCATATCTCCAGGAGCTACTGGTCCGTGATAAATTATCAGATAAGGTGGAATGGGACGTTAAAACGACTAGGTAGTCGAGTTTGAGTGACTCAGAACACAACTGGCTCTGGTGATAGCAGTATGCACGAATACTGATCGAGAAGACGGGAAAGCGTTGCAAGGGAGATGCAGCTAACCCAGCCAGCAGCGATGTGGAGCACACCTGAAGCTATAAGCAACGAATGGTAAGGTAGAAATCGTAAAATCGAAAAGCCGAAGGTAGTATATTAGGTGGGACAGGGTGGAAACGAAGAGTGTTGTCTATATCCCAATCTAAGTGTGTAGGCGTCTCGATATGCAAGCCAAGTATAGCGTATTTTAAATTCGAAAGGGGGAATTCATAAGTAAAGATTATTGAGTTGATAGAACTCCAAGTTTATTAGATATTTCGACTTCCGTCTAAAAGATTAATAATTAGAATTAGAACGATGATGAACGAAAAGAAGTTGAGAAACGAGCAACTTTATGAGTAAAAATATACCAACCTCAATACCCACCTGGTATCATGGCGGGAATATTCACGTGTGAGCCGCCAATAGACGAGCTTCTCCCAAAAAGACGATAGTTAGGTACTGATGCAGGAGACATCTTGACCTGTCTTTCAGAATTTTCCGGTAGGTAATCCACCCCCCAAATAATCCGATGCAACTGGATACCTGAGTTAGTCTAGTTGCGTCTATCTCACTCATTCATACACGTGTATTGTGATAGATTGAATGATGAACAACCTGGCGGGGTTTTTATAGTGGCAAGACGAATATCCACCATAGCTGCATGTGCACGATGGCCCATGAAAAAGATTCACGATCCATGGTTATTGATATCGTAGAAATATAACTCAGCTGAACCATGAAAGATACGAGATGGATGGCTTGAGTCCGAATGGCACATGCTGGTCTTCATAGTGATGTTGCGATGCAGATAGCAAGCAGGCTACTTGAAATGACCATCGTTTCTATGATTTTTTTTTTGGCGGAAAAATGACGCTGACTCTTAAAATGCCTACTATGGCGGCGGTGGAAGAGCTGCCACGTTAGATTTGTGCCCTATATTGAATCGCCGCATGCCTGGGACACCTTCCGACACGAGCTTGAATCGAAATAATAACTACCAGCATGTCCTAGGTGGTAAATGGGTGGTTACCCAAATACGAATAGTTGATTGGACTAATAAGTCTATATTATAATAATAAGTTGGTTGAGGGGAATATCAGACTTGCAGCAATGTGAAATAGTTTAGTGGAACAGGTTAAGTGGAATAGCTGCGTGCAAGAATACCTATACATACCTATCTACATAGAAAGGTAAAGAGGGTAAGTGACTGCCCCCTCCGCGGACCAAACAGAATAGCACTTACCCTACTAAACTACTCCAAACTCTTAATGCGGATTCTCCACAACCCCGTTCGATTTTTAAACTCTCTATGGTTAGTTACAGTTACACATCGTGGGACTTGACAGCACAAATGTCTAACTAGTACACTCATGTACAGACCAGCGTGGTGTAAGGTGGGTAGGTACACGTAAGGACCAGATAAATCGATTTTAACAGGCATTCCCAGTTTGACCTTGGCTTTTAATTGCGTGGTTCTGAAACTAGGTTCCTATGGAGTAGGTATACATACATAGACCCATGATTGGAGATAATGTAGGTCTAGTATTACATCCCCCCATTTCCTTGCTGCTGAAGATTCGTAGATTCGCAATCCTGACCGAGACCGACGTCAAAACGGCCAGGTGTGATCGACGCATAATAATGTTATCTCCCCAGACGCAGGTTTAACCATAGTGTAAGATCTTCATCTTGCACCCCAATACATTATCCATCTTCCAACCAAGCATCACCAGATTAAGGTATCCAATGCCTACCTAGAAGTAGATCAATAGTGAAGGGGATTATAAGGGGACGCTGCCCCCATCGAACCGGTGCCCCCATCCTGCCTACTTTTATCGCTGACGCCGACGTCCGTTCCTAGAAGCGGATGGTTCAACAGCAGATGCTCCAATATTTAGCTCACTCTTCCGCAGCTTAATCCGCTTGAACCCATCTGATAGGCACGGCGTAAAACCGACATATTGTTCTGTTACAAAGATTAGGTCTGCTCTCAGCTACGCCACGAGGACCTCGTAAAAGGCGGGCTACACGTCTAACGGCTTTGGCCCCAAGCACTTGTCTTGCCCCATGGTCGACGCGAACCCTGACATCGGACTAGAGAGGTGAGCTAGCATGAGGGGTAATTTGTTAAAAAAAGGGAAACAAAGAAAGAGGGCTGTGGGCCAAGTTGAAGTGGCCCACATAAGACGGCGAAAACGTCTTGGATCTCATGTTGAACGCCTGATGTTTTGGTTGCAAAAACAGAGACTGAACAAAACCCGTAGACCCAAGCTCCAGGGATACCTGCGTCCGCCACCATGTTGTATGGCGGGTTTCGCAAGGCACGCCTGCTTTATCATTCATACCTAATACGTTCCACTACCTACCCTCCTCTTACATTCCCCTTTTCCTCCTCGAGGGGCTCAGCTTAGGAGACTATCTTAGAGGATGTCCCAGACGTCCTCAGCAGCGTGGCAAAACTTGCTGCATGCAACACTAGCCGAAAGGCTGTATTGGCTGATTGAGATCTTCTCGTCCACATACTCGTCGGCGAAGTTATCTGGGCCTTTGGCCATGGCACCCACGAAGACACATATGCTTTCCTTTGGTCCGAGCGTCTGGATGTAGTCTCGTACACGGACCGTGGCCGAGTCAAAGCTTAGCGTGATCTTGCGGCAATTTGGTGGAAGATGATCTGTAATCGGGTTCTGGATGACTCGAAGGAGTTTCTCTTGCGAATTTGTCGAGCGGATAGATAGGCGATGGAGCAGCTGAACCATCAAACCAGCAAATCGCTTGAACGTTCTAGGAATGCGGACAGTAGGCGAAACCTCAATGAGAACACCCTTTGCGGTCTGAATATATATTTGCAGCTTGCCTGCTTTGTTGATGGGCGAATCCAGAAGTGTAAGGAGACACTACATCAATGGGACACAATATCAGCATGTTGAATGCCAACCTAAAACTAATGACTTGTTGAAAAGTAAGCAAAATACTGTTCTGTAGCATACCTGGTGTGTAATATCGGGTCGGGCGTCGCTAATGTCTCGGTTCATCTTGCGCATTACTCCTATGTGCTCGTCGCTGTTGAGAAGCGAGTACTTATCCTCGCGCTGCATACCGGCACGGCCAGCACCGCCACCGTGGGAGGCCTTGTATGTCTCTAGACTAGCATTGGATAAGACTACTATGAGTCTCTGGCTATCTTTGTCATTGGAAGCAATGGGTACGTGCTGTTCGGCAACAAGCTGAGGGAGAGCCGGAGGAGGTAGAGATTGGGTGCCTGTGGAAGTAGCCATTGTTGTTAGAAAGTTTGTTTAGAATTGTTGTTTAGAATTGTGGATGGGCAGAGAAAACAGAGGATTGTGTTTGCAATTGTGTTTGCAGATGCATGAACTCCCGAGGGGCTTTGACGCGGCCAAAGGGTGTCTTTAATCCAACATATCACAATGGTGTGGACGAGTAGACGAGTCGCAAAGTACGGGCAGTACGGGCGTGCGGCTGAGTTGAGGGCACGGCTCGGAGCAACGTATATGCGATAGGTGAGACTTAGGTAGGTACCAAGATGCCCTTTCCCGTCTCTTTCCCTTTATCTAGAAGCAGCGGGAGGGAGTAAAAAGCAATTGTCAAACTTACGAGGTCGCTTCCCAGCGCGATATTCTACTGTGGAAGGCATGGTCGATTTGCAAAAGTAGTAATACGGGGTAATAAAGTTCTTAGTTCTTAGCAGAGTTTATCAAATGCAAGAGCAATATAGCGTATAGTGAGCGTTGCAAGCAGTAGTGACAAATAGCTATGTTTCGTGAAAATGTTGTATAAAGCTAAGAGTGAAGAGTCTTCGACCGGACGGAGAATTGAAGTGAAGAAATTGTTAAAAAGGATTCGGGTTAAGCTACGGATGTGGGGAGGATTTTTGTTTGTACATATCGAGTCCAGTCCGGCCTGCATCCTTGGCTACCCTTAGACCCCACCGGTATAAAGGATGCTATCGATGAAGTGACTTCCTGCTTGCCCCGCTACAGGTGCTACCCACTTGCAGTTGCCCTTGCTGAAAGCTTAAAGATACAGCACGTTTTTCTAAAAAGACGGTTATTCAGGCCACGGTTGCTACCTTATCGCAAGCACTTAAGCACGCTAAAAGGAAAAGCAAACTCCCCTTTACTGCCACAAACTAATATGTAAAAGTATATATTTGCACAGATAGGATTAGATTACGTAAAGCACCGTTTGTTTAAATATTGCCAAAGTGTTTCTAACTCACGTCTGCATTATCTATGCTTCCTACCGTCTCGGCCTATGTAGAATCGGGATACCGGGATATGTAGGTGGCATCATGTGTTGGATCCAGTTACCAAACAGAATTTCATCGGAGTACGGGTTCCACTAGAAACAACACTATATACATACATGTATGATGCAAGCCATCGGCTCTATCCCCGGACCCGACCTCCGACTCCGTAATTTTCTACACTCCAACATAAGATGTTGTCTTTGAAACCCACCAAAAGCAAGCGGAGAGGCCCGGGCAACGAATAAACGGTATAATATTACTTCCGGGTACCGCAAAAAATAAGCGAGCTCGCTTCTTCCGAAACGATCTGTCAGATTTAAAGGAATATGGAAGTGCTTATAGTTTAACCCGTAGGTATAACCGAAGGAATGGTGAGCCTTACTCAGCCTGCGCCCCGGTTCCTACGAATAGGGCTTCAAGCCTTTCGGACAAACTTAACCGGCTATCTGCAGTTAGAACTTTCTGCAGGTCATACGAGTCCCGTCGCGGGGAAGCTTTCTAACTTCTTGGGATGCAAGAAAGACCTGAGCTCCAGCAATCAAATTGCAAATTATATTAAAATAGCCCCCTCACGCCTCGTGATAGACTAGGAAGGGATGAGTATTCCCGGATAGTATAGTTGACTAAGCGGTGAGTATGGCCATGTAAATATTAGACGCTAGGATTATAATAGAGGAAAGGTGTTTAAGAGTTATCCCGAGTACGCGTGTAAGCTGACATACCCCGGGTTTATAGAATTGACTGCGTCGGCCGAGAATAATCCTTGCATATACAAGCGATTATTCGCCGATCGAGATGCATCCAAAGGTCAACCGATAGTTTACCGCTGTATCCTCTGAATAGTATATATTTTATGCAGGTTGGGCTTGGAACTTTCCTGAGTAAGACCAGCATGCCCGACGGGGGATATCCTGACTCGATAAGCAAGCAAGTGCAGGTCATTTATCATATTTCAATTGGCTTTTCGGGTTTCTGAGTTCGGCCCTGAACTTTTCTGCTAAGTATCAGCTAGGGAAGTAGATGGCTATCGTAGCCAGGTATACCTATTCGCAATCCCGGGTTAAGAGAAAGGGGTCTAATAAGAGTAGCCGAAATAGATACAGTGTGAATAAGCAACATTGGTAGTATATATGATGAGCTAAGTGCCTCTCTACACATCGCGTATGGTCATTTTCGCTTGGTATTGTGGCATGATCAAGTAGAAACATCCAATAGAAAGTTTGGTAGTAACATTTACGGTTTATATTAAACGACGATGTCACTAATTAGTACGTGCCAAGTATACTCAATGTCAGAGGCAGCCCTTGGTATAAGACCACTACGGAGTGACAGGTGGCTAGCTGGTGGATAGCTCATATATCATATATTTCAGAGTGCTATTAACGCCTATCCTTTCCTAAGTCTAAGAGGGAACTAAGGTTCCCTTATATACAACATAATGAATGACTAGCTGGTAGATAGCTTCAAGCTAGATCTCAGACCCCTTATCACGTCATACACCTATCGTAATCCTTGTCATCTGACACTCGAAGTGCTGCTTGACATATATAGCATTAGTCATCAAAGTGTCATGATGTTAAAAGGCTATTGAAGCATGACTACGTCGAATGTTGAAAATATAGGCAACATGAATATTAAGGGTACAATTGCCAAGCACCACGGTCTACAAAACGTCTCTTAAACGTCTATGCAGCTTGAGTCTACCAATATGAGGAAATATAGACAATTTAAACTAGATATGATACTTATAAAGAACACCCAGACAAGTATTCAAGGTAACAAAAGGGTACGATCGTGTTGGTATATATCTGTACCCAGTATGATGTTGTACGCATTTACCTTGAAATAAGACACCACGAGAAAAAATAATTTAGGTTACCTAGACTTGGAGACGGTTTCGGGAATAATTGTGAGTTGTGCTATTTACAGATTACGTTGCCAGCCCTTCCAGACAGATTACTTTTTAAAAGACTGACATGCCACCTACCACTAATTTTACTATTAAAATGACATTCCTCAGTTCCGCCCTATATCCCTTTAAGAAGTCTGGTAATTTCTTCGTTAACAACAATAAATTACAAAAGCTTTCACCTGTAAATAATTCAGTATGCCTCCCCGTAACGCTATTATTAGGCCTCGCGCCTCGTCTGCAGACCTTGAAATTATAAACGACGAGTTACAACTACCTGTAGAACCACAAGAAACAACCATTCCTAACCCACCTGATAGATTCGAAGGGTTATTCTCAACCACCGAGGCCTTAGAATCCGTATTACGAGACTTTTCGAAGGCCTACTGCTTTAGCTTTGCGCGTAATAACCAATCTGTAAATAAGGTCTTATTTGCAGATTAGTTTTTCCAATCGAATTAAGCCATGTTATTTTACTAGTAAAGTTGGTGGCAAGTGGCATGCCAGTCCTCTAAAAAGTAAACTGTCTGGAAGGGCTGGCAGACCAATCTGCAAATAGCACAACTCATAATTATTAGTTCTATCTGATGGCATCATGATGAGTGTGAACGGTATTTGGAGGATACTAAAGAATACCAATAAGGGGTTCTCGGTATGTTTAATCCAATACGGCGGAACACTGTAAAAAATAACGGCTATTATTATTGGAGTTTTTAAGATAACTATTGGGCGAAAAAAGAAAAAAATAAAGGGCACCTATGGGGTTCGAACCCATGATCTCTCCCAAAGTTTGCAACTTGAAGTTACCCAAAGGGAGCGAGTTTCCACTTCTCCAAGGCACCGCTACGTTATTTGATTGTGATATCGCAGATCGGAAGTAGGATATTTAACTTGCTTGTTGTTGCCCCGGTACCAGATACGAGGTACCTGGCAACCGGGAAGCTATCGACAGTTGTGACGAGATGTCAAGACCCGTGCACAGTCTAGGGCACTTCGGCATCAAAACGTCATGAATCACCCCAAAGGTAAACAACAATACGTATCTAATCATACCTTAATCTTCAAACATACCCCCTTTATTTATAATATCTCAACACTTAGGAGAGCTGTATGGATGAAGAAAGACTGTAACATCGGTCGTCTTACGGCTCGGGATTACGCAATCTCTCAGCCCTATGCATGATAAGTGAAAAGTTTGTGTAATATCAGTTGTGCGGCTTCAGAATTAGTTTACTTTGGGGTAAAAATAGCGACTCATTAGGCCTTTTACCGTCTTGTTATAGTCCAGGTATCAGTTTTTAGAGATGTGTCGTAGTGAACCTGTAAGCTACAACAAATGAGTCTAGGTATGATATAGACAAAAGTATTAGTCTATATTTTTGTAAAATCAGTTTTATACTTCGTAACCACTACCTAACATAATGGATAACCACCCTAATGGACGGATATTCGTACTGCATTTCCTATATGTATCAATTCCTACAGACTTACTGCATTACCCGAAACAGCAAATATTCACAGGAAAGAACACAAGTTTAGAATATATCAAGTAACTAACTCAGTCACTTTCTTAAAAAAATAGCTATATCGTCTTTCCAAAGACCAAAATCAACAAGCTCCACCTCCATCCGAAAAGCGACCCATAGCGTACCCATTCCCAGCAGGAGGAATACTCTGCAAGTAAAGCATTCTAGGCGCAGCAACAGGAACTAATCTTGATTTAATAAGCTCGACAGTGGACCAGATGTCACTCGAAATCCAAAAACAATTACCCCGAAGCCAATTTCTTCAACTGCGTGACTGCAACACTACGTTAGCCAAGGGGACAAAAAAAGAAGGAACAGAGAAAAACAACTAAAACTAGGTACTCACGATCGCCATTAAACGTATCCGAGTCGCCCCCATACTTATACGCATCATTAAACTGCCAAATGGTATAATACGGCCAGCCCCCCGGCAACGCCCCCGCGCTACTAGCATACCGCGCAAGCACAAGCGGATTCGTATTAACGAACGCGCTCGACCCGCCCGTACAACTCGACCACCACGACGGATTCGTGTACAGCAGGGGATACCGCCCCGTCTTGCCGTGATACGTATCGCTAAAGTCCCTGATCCACGAGACCATGGCGCTGGTCGACAAGCCCGCACAATCACCTTCTAAGTCCAGCATTCCCGGCAGCGTGATCCCATCGCCCGACCACCCGCCGCCGTGCGCGAGGAAGTACGTTGCTTGGGCGGCGCCGGAGGACGACGCGGGGCGCGCGAAGTGGTAGCCGCCGCGGATGAGGCCGGCGTTGGTAGCGCCGGCGTAGTGGCTGCTGAATTTGGGGTCCTGGTAGGTGGTGCCCTCTGTAGCCTGGTCTCATATGGTAAGTTTCGAGGGGGACATATTTGGTTGGTAGATATAGCTAGGTACCTAGGTAGGACTCACTTTGATGATAACGAAACGGGCTCCAGAACTATATGCTGCCCCAAAGTCTACGCTCGACTGATAATGGGAAATGTCGAAGCCTGGGACAGCAGCAAGGGCAAGGCTGGCAAAGCTAGCGAGGCCTAGACAACTTGTAATGAAGGTCTTCATGTTCATGATCATTAATGAAGTGTCAGTCTTCTAATGCTCGATATTCTGAAGATATATATGTAGACACCTGACTTGTCGCTACGGCAGGCTTTATAGTTCTCAAGACGACCCGGAGAGTAGCTAGGTACAATCTACTAAACCCATAGTTATGATGAGGGGCATGACATGGATAGATAGGGGTTTAGAATATCCTGATAGAGATGTGGGTTTGGCAGGTAGGTAGTATAATTCAATTGTTTGGATGCGATTGGTTATTCAAAGCTGGTATTCTTTCAGCTCGACTTGGAAGTTGTCGATCCTACTTCGTCCGGGAAAATGCTCATGGATATCGTATCATGGTCTGAAATTTGTATATGCACGATCATGATTTTGGCAAGTTTAGAAGAATTCTCTTCTAGTCGAAGAGCCATATGAGACCATGTCTTGACGCCGTAACTTCAGCTGCTTACTATATCGCCGTCCTGTCTAAGTTGAAAACCCAGCTAGTGGTGTTTCAACAGGAGTTCAGATGTCGTGATTTCCAAGATTCTGGAGCAGTATGATATAACATCCGGACGCACATGTACTACTTAGCTGCTTGGCTGCTTGGCTGCTCTTAAGGAGGCAGGTGGAGCAATGGTTTACCCACTTGACTAGAAGAGCTGAGATTCTTTCGAGCGAGCACGTTGTAAACCTCATCTATGCTCCTTCCGAAAATGGTAGACGCGGCGTTCATCCGGCCGTATAAATGACGAAACCGGGTTGTTAGTGACATCGCTTGATTAGACTACTGATTTCATAATGTAAGGAGAATTTGGTCGGCGAGTTATTATATTGTGAAGTCGAAATCGCGGAATGCTTCCGCACTGACAACATGCGTTAAAGCTGGTATGTTTCGGTCATCTCCTTATTTTGATATCTGTTGTAGACAAGCGCTCTTACGCGAGGGCAAGTGTAATATATGGGGATGGCAATGAGATCTAGGGAATTGAACCGTCTTCCTTATACTTGTCGATATAATTGTTTTTGATTTGGTGTAACTATGAATAGTTTTATGTAGTATGGGTATAGTTATGAAAACATTCTCTGATGAATTCTATTTATAGTACGTATGAGAGAAGAAAGCCAACAGACAAACAGGTGATCATATGCAGGAGAAAGAGATGTAAAGCACGACAACCCGAGTTTATACCTAACATAAGGTACAAATGGAAGCTTCAATGCTTCTATTCATTGTAGGCCGTTACTTTAAACTACGAGTGGATCCCACCCTACCGCTGATCTCCTATCGATAACTCCGGTGGAATCTTTTCCCTTACAAGTCCGGCCCGCAGTGGGTGGACCTGGGCAGCCCGTTATCGTTATCGTATCCAAAATACGTACCGCCAAAAAGATTTTGGGGCCGTTGGTGGGATTGTGGAACGAAATAGAGCTGCTATTAAGTACTCGACGACGACACGACTTTTGCGCTAGACACAATACCAATTGGGCCAAGGGAACCCGAAGATATCGCCAGCGGAGTTGGAGCGGAACACCAAAACAATGGCGTCTGAAGTCGCAGCCGCGGCCGCTAATGTCGTACGGCGCGCCGGCAAGGAAATGCACGGCATCGTGGTGTCCGCCGGGCTCATGGACAAGACGGTGAAAGTCAAGCTGGGGGGTCTGCGATGGGAGCCGAGAGTGCAGAAGGTTAGTATTGATGACTTTTAAAAACCCTATATATATACTACTCTACCTTCCCCTTAGCCGACTAACCAACTCTCTTATATATAGTTCTTCAAAGAACCCCGATTCAAACTAGTCCACGACCCAGCCAACTCCGTCCGCCAAGGCGACGTAATCGCCATCGAGCCCTCCTGGCGCGTCTCCCAGCACGTCCGCCACGTAGTCAAGCACATCATCGCGCCCTACGGCGACCCCATCGAAGAACGGCCCCCAGTCCCCACCTTCGAAGAGCGCCTCGCCGAACGGGCCGCCAAGCGCGCGGCGAAAGACGAGCGTCGGGCTCTGAGGCGCGCGGAGCAGGCCAAGATTGCCGCGGAGGAGAGGGAGGCGTTGCTGGAGGAGAAGAGGAAACGATTGGAGGAAAGGGAGAGGGAGAGACTAGAGAGGGAGAGACTAAAAGGGGCGGAGACGACGCTGAGTGATGTTGACTGAAACGAACGAATAAATGAATATCTTATCCGTCGGAAGAAGGAAGGATGAAAGAAAGAAAGAAAGGGGTTTATGATCTAGGGCGATAAAAGCCCGGGCTAGCTGGCCAGCTACGATGACCGAACTGCGACTGTGACAGCGAAAGATAACTGCAGTTCCACGCGGTAAACCTGTATATACCGGAGTCACCTGCATGTAACATACCTACATATATGTACAACCACTATTCAGTAACGGCTCTAGTTTACTGCCATGTGAAAAGATATATGTCAGTCACATCATCGACATAATTCATATTGAACTGAACGGATAGTCTCGTCCTGGACCCTAGGTATCGTATGCCAACCCGTCGCTGCCCTCCCCAGAACGCCGATGTTACGTACGCACACACACACATACAGCCCAGCCGACCATTTCGGTTATTTATATCTATCCTCTCAAACAGTCCCCCCTGATCGTGACGAGTATTGACTTCACCCGCCACGCTCTCCAAACCTCCTCGCCCAGTCCTCGTACTCCCTAAGACCCTCTTTACTGACGCTCGGGCGGATATTGCGAAGGCTGGCTTTGAAGTCGGCTAGTTCTATGGGCCGGATCTGGTCCATAGTCATGTGCAGGAGAGCCTCGCCGAGCGCGCGCAGGGGGCCCATTGCTGCGTCCTTTGCCAATGCTGTGATATCTGAACCAGAGAAGCCTATATAGATGAATTAGCATGCCATTACAAATAACATATAACTGCTGGTTAATATTACCATCCGTTAAGTCTACCAGTTCTGCAATATCAGCATCCGTAAGACTATGCTTCTGCTGGCCTAATAATGTTTTTAATTGGGTAGCCCTGGTTTCTGCTTCAGGCAATGGTATATACTGGCGCCTCACAAACCTCCGCCTTGCTGCTTCGTCGATCGCCCATGGCAGGTTGGTAGCCGCTAGCACAAGGACTCGATTCGGATCGCCTCGCTCCTTATTTGTCCCGCTATTGTTCTCGCGTCCCGCTGCGGCTCGCTGTAGATCGCTCCACTGGATGAGGAATTCGGTCTTGATCCTTCTCGTAGCCTCGTGCTCCCCAGACCCGGACCGTTGCGAGAGAAGCGAGTCTATCTCGTCTACGAATATGATACTTGGTGCCATCATCTTGGCCAATCCAAATAACGCACGTACGAGCTTCTCAGACTCGCCGAGGTATTTACTCGTTAGACTACTCGCCGATATGGAGAAGAAAGTAGACTTCGACTCTGTCGCGACGGCACGGGCCAGCATCGTCTTCCCCGTCCCTGGAGGTCCAAAAAGTAGCATGCCCCTAGCTGGTTCGCGAAGGCCCATGAATAGGTCCGGTCGTAAGAACGGGTATACCACCGCCTCCCTTAATGCATTTTTCGCAATTTCTAATCCGGCAACGTCGCTCCAATGGACCTCATCTCCTTGCACAACAATTTCATTGAATATTGCCTTCGCGGCTGCCTCATCTACACCTGGAGGTAAATTCTTCATTATTTCCTTTTTCGTTCTTTCCCAATCGTCTTTGGTCTTATCCCCTTCTTCGGTAGCTGAAGTTGTCGTGGACCGGTCTTCAGTATCCGACGTTGCGAGCGATTCCTTCTGCTTACCCTTAAGCTTCCTACGAGAAGGGCTCGCCCGATATTGATCGTCGCTAGACGATGCTTCCTCTCTTTTTCCATCATAATTAGATATTTGCCGGCCGACTCGCTTTCTAGCGCTATTCGGCTCGAACACCTTATCATGTGTCAAGGGTTTTCTCTTTATTGAGCCACCTTTAGAACTTGTTCTAGGGGTGGTTTCCAGAGACTCCAAGACTCGAGGGGTAGTATTGTTTCGTTCATCATAACTTAAGCTGCCCGTTTTCCTTGGCGTCGGTCTTCGCTCTGTTCGGATTCCTACAGAACTAGGCTCGTCTCGGTCTTGAATGGTTAGAGCTCCCAAAGCACTCGATGCAGCACCGAGAGCGAGAGAGGATGGGGCAGGAGACGAGTAATCGGCCGAAATTTGCATCGAAGCTTCAGGACTTGGGCGGGATAGTACAGATGTAGAACTAGAAGCCTCGGGGGAGACTACCAACCTTCTCGTGTGGCTATCCCAATGTCTTGGAGTTGGTGCAGAACTCTTTCGCCCTTGCTCGTAAGACCGCCGTGCTTCTAGAAGCCTCAATGGACTGGTTGAATCAGCAGATGTCCCCCTCTCAAGGCTACTCCAAGCCAATGTGGCAGCCTTGCTGGCCCCAGGGCCTTTGCTTATCTTGGCTGGTGTATGCCGGGATGATTTTGAAGATTTATCTTGTCTACTTGTCCGCAGCGTCGTTCGCATCGTGTGCTTTTCCGGGCTAGGCGATCTCGACGATCTCTTCCTCTGGGTGGATACGCCATAAGGGGGGAGTGAAGGTGGCGTAGCTGCCGAAGATGATAGCTCCTGGTCTAGTATCGCATTACGGAGTCCAGCAACTGCTTGCTCCGATGACTTTCTAGAAGGGAACGACGGTCGTTTAGGTAGCGGTGGTTTGGACAGTTCTGTATACGTTATGGCGGGTATTGTTCCGTCACCAATCCATCCTCTTTCCGGCGTGTTGGTGTTCGACCGTGTGCCCAGGCTTCCTTCGGTGCCAATACTCGATTGTGTAAATTGGAATGTTGGGTCCTCCTCTCGGGATATTCGAAGGGCTTCTAGCAGATCTATTCTCTCTTTACACTGCACCTCCAACTCGCGCAAACTTTCCAGCAAGGCACGTTCTGTCTCGGATTTGGGGGAGTAGTTGCCCTGTTTCTTATTCGTTGTGTTCTGCCGTATCTGGTCGAGGGCATTCCTCCAACATGACATCGCCTCTTTCTCATCCCCCTAGATGTAGAGCAACATAGGTAATTAGTTTTATCATATATATTCGTCGACTGGCGGTGCTAAACAAAGGGGGTCCTGGTCAGCGCGTGTACATACCTGGCTCTCATAGTAGACAGCTGTCGAGCACTTTAGATAGGCTTCATCGTATGTTTTTTGGAGGCTAGAAACGCTGCTACTGGGCCACATCCTTGTCTTACGCTTGCGTTTTTGTTGTTCCGTCTAGTACGAGGGTATGTGATTCTTTAAACGATATCGCAGACGCAAGGGATGCGGAGAGAGAGGTTTTATGATTGCATAGGATAAGACATCACAAGAGTAACCTCCTAAAGCCATGTAACGGACGCGTAGGAGGTTTGATATTACAAGCGCAAGTAGTACTTTAAAGCCGGATCCAGAAACGACGTTGAAGATCTTAAGTTCAGATTCACGGTCCGGGCCTTACTATGTACATATTTTAGAAGGACCCAGTGACGTCGCGTTGTGATTCTTAGTGGGGTTTGATGGCCCAAACCGGTGTGGCTCAGGAGCTTTATATAGTGGGGCCTCACTAATATACATACAAAGTTACATACGGATTACATACACCTATAACCCGCTGGCCTATAACATTTGTACCTAACACCAAATTTACTATGTATCAAACCGGACCCCTTTTCATCTTGGTTCACTAACCTCATCAACCTACAGATCAGATTGGAAAAGATAAAATTACACTAATCAATCCTCCTCTTCATCCTCATCCCGGGGAAGCTGTAATCCCATCATACCAAGAATGTTACCTGCAGGACCTGCCATTCCAGCTTGGCTCTTGAAGCTTTCTAGCAAATTCTTGGCGAGGTTATAGTCAACATCAACTTCGTCCTCACTACTCTCTTCTTCGTTGTCGACTTTTTGTTCTAGAGTAGCTTTTCCTTTCCCCTTAGAATCATCTCCACCTTTTGCTTTTATTGCTTTCAGGTTTCCGGCCTGAGGATCAAGTTTTAATGCGCCATACTCTTTTAATTCGGCTTCCATCTGAGCAGCCAACTGCTTTATTGCATCATCCTCGTCTTCTTCGATAGTAGTACTGTGTGTAGCAACGGATGTTGAGGTCCCGGACACTTTCTCCGAATTCGTAGGCTCCACAGCAGGCAATCCCATCATCTCCCTCATCATCTTCGAAAACCGCTCTTCTTCAAAACTGACTTCCTTATCCTCATCGTCACTATCTTCCTCCTCATCCGACATATCATCATCTTCGTCCATATCTTCCAATTCGGCACCTTCTACGCCGGCACTTTCGTCGTTCAGGAAAGCTTCAAAACGGGATACGATCTTTTTTAAATCTGCCTGCGCCGAAGGATCGCCAAATTCGCCCTTCGGTCGGCTTCGGGGGCCACGGTTTCCTTGCAACTCATCTTCGAAGTCTTCAAAGTTGATGTCTAGCCAAGATTCGTCATCCTCTCTGTGCACATCTTCCCAAGTTTCGATGTCTTTGTTAGTCGGGAGTGCCTGGGCCCCGTCTTCTTCAACATCTTCGAGTAGCATAGCAAATTCACGCGCAAGACGATTATCTTTCGTGTCTGCATTAGTAGCAAGCATCTCGAAGCCGCTTGTTACCTTCATGCCCATCTCTAAGCTCGCTATATTCTTTTGAGTATCATTTGCGTTAGAAATACGCTTTTCAGCAGCCTCAAATGCAGCGCTCCATATCGGAGGGGGCGAGAAACGCTGAGACTTGAGCTGTGCGAAAAGTATCTTTGTGAATTTGATACTGACGGTCACAAGGTCCTCGGGTGGGAAATGTATTTTCGCAGAAGGTGACGTGAGAGGCTTCATTGTGACTGGGTCTCGAAGGTAAAACGCCTCGATAGCAGGGGCAATCGTCGAAGGCTTTTCGTGCAATAAATAAGCAAGCTTTCTAGGTATAGTAACTAGCGAACGGTGTATCGAATCTGTGATTTGCCCAGGGTACTTCTCTAACCTGTAGAAAGCTTCGGCTTCGACTAATGCGGAATGCACCAGGGAGTTAGAATTCGACTTGATATATCGAACGGCTTCGGTTAAGGATAACGGTCGCTTCACTCCCGAACTTGCAGCTAGGGGAAGTAGTTGAAGGCTTCCACCGTGGATCCATGATCGATTGCTATCTATCTCCGGGCTTAACCATTTTGGTAAGACGTTGGCTGCCTCGACAAGTAGAAATTCGCCATCGTCGTCGAAGATTCTAACCCAAAGATTAGGAAAAGATTTAGTCAGTTCTCGAAGTAGGTAGACAATGAGCCATTCATCCTCGACCGAGTCTCCGTAGTCTGTGGTCCCATGCAGGTAGACCAGATCCTGATCTCTTTCGATACGTAGTTGAAAGGAATCTCGTTGCCATATGTATTCTTTAGCAATACTATCGTAGAGCTGCATAGCTGCTTTTCGAATATTTTCAAGCTCTGAGAGAACGTCGCGTGATTCAAGTTTACTGTCAATAACGAATAATAGATATTCCACACAGTTTTCTGGTAGTCCCCTGGGGAATTCGCTGAACCCTCCCTCGGAGAATCCAATATTGCCTTCAGAATCCATCGACCGAGATTTATTGGGTACCAAACGCGGGACGGCAGAGCAGATTATCTCAATATGGTCACTCTTAGAAATGATGACTTTATAGTTAAATGCTCCCGAAATATATGGTGTTTAGGTGGGCAACAGGGACAGAAGTGACGAAGAGTCAAGTTGATAGGCGAGTTTTGTAACAAGAACTCTATACTGGTCGATAATGCGAGGCTAATATTAATGAAGTTATGATATAATCATTAGATCACAGAGATTATGTGGGTAGAGTTTGTTGTCTAGTTTGAAGCTATCTTGATACATAGTATATGCTAATACAAGCACCTAACATTACTGACATATCGGGTAGTTTAGTACGTTAGCAAGGGTTTCGTTGAACCCCTGCTATGTTGTGTATTTGAAGAAACTAAAAGGCAGGTGGGGCAGGTTCCTTGTGAGGTACAAAGTACGGAAGGCACGTTACCAGGGTTCGCGCCTGACAACCGCGTCTCAATTGTCGCGTCAGGGTCTTTATGAAATTGCATTAATTACATTTACATAATGTCATGTAATTAGTCCATTCCGTTTGAGACTCTCTCCGTTTGACCATATACCATTTTCCCCGTTGACTGTTACCCACAATGACCTACCCTTTCTGACAATAGCAATTGTCTTACCCCGGAGGATTCGGCCTTCTTCTATGTAAAATCTAAGACGAGCCCCTCAATTCAGTCGGCACAGCCAACCTATAAAGCAAACGAAGCAATCATGCCCCCCACATCTACGAAGCGCTCTCGTCGCGCTGCATTCGACGGAGAAGAAGAAGAAGATGGGGTTACCATCGCCCAGGCTAGTTCTAGTCTGAGAAGTGAATCCGTAAGTAGACAATCCTATCCCATGATGCAAGTATACCCCCGACGAACTGCGATCTGACATCTTGTATACAGCACCGAAAGAAGATCCGAACCTCCAATGCCGGTCCAAGTAGGAAATCAGCTTGGACGCCTCATCAAGAAAGTACTTCTAGCTCTGATGAGGACGAAGCGATGCAGGAACCCGAGGAACATCCAAGCCCACCAGCTGCAACGCAGTACGAGATGATGCGCGACGCCGGCTTTATACATCTTGAAAATACCGATTTAGATGATCAACGAGCAACACAACGTCTAAAGAGCCGCCCTAATATTCTTGGCGAAAACCAGGTAGCCCTCAATGCTATCATCGAAAGCATCACCTGCTTTAACTTCATGTGCCACACAAGACTGCACGTCGAACTCGGACCCCTGCTTAACTTCATAGTGGGAGAGAACGGAAGCGGCAAGAGTGCTATCCTAACGGCAATAACTCTATGCTTAGGCGGTAAAGCTAGCGCGACGAATCGTGGCGGAAGTCTGCGGAGTTTCGTTAAGGAGGGTCAAGAGAATGCCGTTCTAATCGTCAAGATCAAGAACCAAGGTCCCGATGCGTACAAACCGGAGCAGTACGGGGAATCTATAATAGTAGAGCGACATTTCAGCAAATCTGGCGCGAGCGGTTTCAAACTAAAATCCTCTACTAATAGGATTATATCGACCAAGAAAGGCGACGTAGATGATGTCGTTGAGTACTACTGCCTTCAAGTCGATAACCCTCTTAACGTACTCTCCCAAGATAATGCACGCCAATTCCTTAATGCTGCTAGTCCTGCCGCCAAGTACAAATACTTCGTCCAAGGCACCCAGCTAGAGCAACTCGACCAGGATTACCAACTTCTTCAAGAAACACTTGAAGCAAATGAGACAAGACTTATAGCTTTCCAGGAGAATATCGCGTTTCTTAAAGAGAAGAGCGAAAAGGCTGTAAAGCTAAGAGACGCACTCACAAAGAGTGCGGAGATGCGAAGACAATCCAAGGTTTACTCGAACCAGTTGGCATGGGCCCAAGTCATGGAACAGGAGGCTATTCTACAGCAGAAAGAGAACGCCATACTGGCATCCCAAGAAGAGATCCGCCAGTGGGAAGCGACGATTGAAGAGAAGACAGGAATCCTCGAAAATATTGACGATAAAGTCCGAGAAGCTAATGAAGCATTGGACTTACTTCGCCAGGAAGAAGGTCAATTTAAGGAGAAAGAAGAAGAAGCGAAGGCAAACTACGAACGTGCAAGGCAATCAATCGAGACAACTCATACGCAAGAGAGGGACATCTATCAGCAACTCAACAATGCTTCCCAGAAGGTCAAGGAGTATGAGAGGAAGATCCGTGAAGAAGAGCAGCGTCTGGAGGAAGTAAATGGCGGTGCCCTCGCCGAAAAACAGAAAGAATTGGACGACGCAAAACGTGCCGTGGAAGATATCAGAGAATCGCAGAAGGCCCATGCCGAACGCAACTCTAGCCTCTTCAACGAACGTGACGAGGCCCAGAAGAAAGCACAAGAGTCTGAAGACTTGGTTGGACAGAAGCGGCAGGAAGTTTCAGCTGCCGAATCCCGTTTACGCACTCTATCCCAAAACCGCAGCGACCCGTTTGCAGGTTTCGAACCTCAAGTGCCCCAGCTTCTACGGCTCATCGAGAGTGACAGCGGATTTTCGCAGAAGCCTATTGGCCCTATCGGCACCTATGTTCAGTTAACCAAGCCCAAGTGGTCGTCGATTCTTGAGAAGACATTCGGAACAAGTCTCAACGGATTCGTCGTTACAAGCAAAGCCGACCAGGCCCGATTATTCTCACATATGGAGAGGCTGAAAATCCGGAACTGTCCCATTTTCATAGGTTCAAGAACTGTGATTAGTAACTTAAGGGAGCCTGATAGAAAGTTTGATACGATATTAAGGGTATTGAAAATAGACGACCCGCGCGTGAGGGATCAATTGGTCATCAACCACCTCATTGAGCAGACTATCTTGATCGAACAACGAGAAGAAGCAGAGCGCGTCATGTTTGACGGACAACCACCAGAGAATGTCGCAGCGTGTTTATCCTTTCACGACAAGAGAAGGGGCCACGGCCTGCGACTTACGAACCGGGGTCAGGCCATATCTACCACCCCGGTTACGCCTAGCAATGATCAAAAGCCTCGTATGAAGACCGAGGATGTAGAGTCACAGATCAATTACTTCAAAGAATCCCTTGAGCAGCTTAGGGTGGAGTATCGGGAGTTGGAGATGTCCAGAAGGTCCTCCCAACAAGCCGTCCAGCGTTGCATTCAGGCTATTTCTCAGCACAAGAGGCAAGAAAACGGTTTTGAGAAAGACTTGCGCAACGCCCAAGCCCGAGTTACTCACATCGAAGAAGAGCTCGACAAGTTTGAGGGCGTCGACAACAAACTACAAGGATATAGGAATGACCTCCAAGAAGCTATGAGTCAGAAGGACCACTACGGCAATCAGTATGGTGAGCTAGCCATGCAGAAGCGGGAGATGAATAAGGGGGTAGAGGGCATGAAAGAAGAACTCAACAAGGTTAAATTAGCCACTCGAGATCACAAAGCCAGAATCACCAAGGCTGAAGATAAAGTTAAGAGGTTCGAGGAGACTCGTCGCGTAGCCCTAGTCGAGAAGAATCAAGCTTACGAAAGTCTTGACGTGGCGAAGGAGGGCAAAGCCGAGGCGGAAAGGTCCAAGAAAAGACAGGAGGGAGTAGTTGCCGACTATATACGACAAGCGAGTGATGTCGCCGCCGAGCGTGCTTATATACCCGAAGGGGAAACTGTCCGAAGCATCGAGCGCAAATTTGAGTCCATCAAGGAGCAGCTGAGGAAGATCCGCAATCAGCTCGGCGCATCAGATGAGGAGATTCAGAATCGAGCCTCGCAAGCAATCCAGGAATACCGAGAGGCTAAGAGAAACCACAAGAACCTCACTTCGCTTGTGGACGAACTGAAGAAGGCGCTGATGGATCGACTACGAAAGTGGAGGACATTCCAGCGTCTCATCTCTGCACATGCCCGATGCAACTTCAACTACCTTCTTAGCGAGCGTGGCTTCAGAGGCGAGCTCTTTCTCGACCACAAGGCCAAGAGGCTTCGAGTTCAAGTCGAGCCGGACGAGACGAGGAAGAGTAGCACAGGTCGAAATACGAAGACCCTATCTGGTGGAGAGAAATCGTTCTCGTCTATATGTCTTCTTCTTGCCATCTGGGACGCAATGGGATCTCCCTTACGATGCCTCGACGAGTTTGACGTTTTCATGGACAACGTCAACCGTGCTATTAGCACAAACATGCTCGTAAGTTCCTATGTCTCTGTGAGTGGCATCATCTTGCTAACCAATGCCGCAGATTACCACTGCTCGTCGCTCCGTCGGCAAGCAATTCATTCTCATCACCCCTAATGCTATCGAGGGCCGTGCAAAGATTGATAAAGACGTCAAAATCATCAGGCAAGTTTCCATTTTTGAGTTAGCATCATGGCATATACTTGATACTAGAACTGACAGTATATTAGGCTCACGGATCCACGACAACGGCTTCTCGCCGACCATTAATATAACTCGGTTTATCATTACGGTTATAGAAACTTCATGTAGGGTTAGTACAGCATCCATCCGGCGGCTAAGGGCATTCGGTGGTTGTGTCTCAGGGAATCATGGTGTTAGAGCGTTTTTGAGATGACTTCAGGCCCTCGTGCCAGCATGGTATCAAGGGGGAAGGAAAAAGAGTAAAGGTCTGGACGTAAACTAGTGTTGGCTTCATTGCCGTTTCGAGTATATTGTACAAATAGAGCCGAGCTGTTCAATGTGGATTACGCATATATCTGCGACTTGATTACCGCTGTAGTCTTGATCTCGTTCCGTAGACGTTGCCAGCCTATAACCGTTGCCAATAGTAATTATATACATTACCTACCAGTTTTCTCTATCAGGTACACCTTCAGACGTCTACCCTCCCAGAGGCTGTACTCAGACTTCCTCAATTTAACTTGCTTATCCCAACTTATCTTATATTCTAACACCCTTGCTCCTCAACACATTCACACCCGCCGACGCCGTAAACCCAACCCACTGGGCGACGCTGCCCAGGGCACCACCCACGGTGCTCGTCTCGTCGAGGCGCCGCTGTAAAAAGGCGCGCGTCTCGCCGTACCCCGGGGATCGGTCGTTGGTCATGAATAGCTCGGATGAGGCGTAGATGACGGAGAGCGTGCCGCGCTTCGTGTACCAGGACGGGTCGACTGATGTGTCGCCGGAGAGGAAGTAGATCTCGTCGGCGAGGAGGGCGAGTTCGTGGAGGGAGGAGGGGATGTGGGAGGGTTGGGCCATTAGGGCTAGGGCCTGGCAGAAGAGGGGTTAGTTAGTATAGGTATCGTAGATATAGATGTCATGGGTCTGAGCAGAGAAGACTAAATAAACTCACCTCCTGCCACCGATGATTAACTTCCGAATTCGACACCAGACGCTCCCACGTCAATCTCTCCACCTTCTCGGGCACCTTCAACAACTCCCCCCCTCGCTCCTCCTCCCCCTCGCTGCTGCCGAAAATAGCTTTGGCCCGCGGCGCCAGGGCCTCCCGCTTCGTCACTAGGTGGTACCGGATCAGGCCGTACGGGCCGTCGGGCACGACGTTCGTGCTGATGTCCGGGTACCCGGCGTCGCGGGCGCCGAGGGCTAGGGCGTGCTGGGTGAAGCCGTGCTCGGGGACGTGCGCGTAGGCGGCGGAGAGGATGGCGCGCTCGGCGGAGTTGAAGGTGCTGGGGGGCGGTGGGTGGTCGTAGGAGTGGTAGTGGTGGTGGTGGTGGTGGTGGCGGGGGAGGATGGGAGTTGTGAGGCGGGTGGTTTGGCGTAGGAGGGTTGCTGCCAGGCGTGTTGCTGGTGCCCGTGACGGGGCCATGATTAAATCTCTAGGGTATGCTAGCTAGCCAGATCCTTGGTTTATACGTTTCAATTGATTAATTGGTTGATTGATTGACCCAATCGACTAGAAGTCAAATCGTGAATGAAGCTCGAGTGCAACTACGTAAGTGACGATCTTTTTTTTTTAGAGATGAGATTCGCTATGTTGAATCGCTCCGGCTCCAGCTGTCACGGACCGTTCGGGCTGGTCCGCAAAGCTTTGACCCGGACATCTCCCGACTTTTTCGGGGGATAGAAACTTAGTGGTGGACCCCCTGGCAGCAACTAGTGTAAGTCCCCACATGGCTCTTCTTTATGTACCATGGTACCGATTATAGTTTACATACATATGAGACCTCGGTACTTAGACTTCAAAGGGACAAAGAAAAAAAAAGGAAGAAGGAAAAAGGATATTCTAGACCTAATACGGAATTTTTGAAGAATTTTTTTTTCTGTTTCGTTTTGCTTTTTCCTTTTCTGCGCATGGGTAAGGCCGCGCGACGTTGGGTGGCCTGGCCTGGCCCATCCCCTATGCAGGTATCATCCCGCTCTAAATCGTCAGCTCCGAGAAGCGTCCATGTGTGATGAGATTCGAGAAGACTCTGCTGGTTTCAGGTGAAGTGGTCAGGTAGTCAGTAGTAGGTTGAAGACTATTGATATTGTCAGGTTTATAGGTAGGTACCTAGCATTAATAACATTTCTATTAGTAACACGGGTTGTTCTAGAAGCTATAAGCTACCTGGCTACGTCTTCGTCGTGGAGGTAATTATGTGTTTGTACCTTACAAGTACAAGCTTGGTATTTATTAAAATAGTATTTATTAAAATGGTGTGGGTGTTAGTGAAGCTTGTTATGGAGGTGCTCTTTTTGATAGGTAATCGACGATGGATCGAGATATTGTTGCGAATCGCTTCCCTGTTCTGCCTTTCCATTTCCACGGCTTCTTACCAATGAATAGACCACCTCCAGCATATATAGTAATAATCCTTTGCATATGTATGTAGTTCATGTTAGCAGCCCTACGAGGACTCGGTAAACGACGGCCGGTCTTCCTATTGGATTCCCTATTTACGGAATGGCGGTGATGTGACGAAATATCCTCTGAAGTGGGTAGCGACAACCAGGGGCGATGTGACTTGGCGTTGCCATCCTTACATACTAAACGATATAGAGGTTCATGAACGCACATCATTGTATCCGTAATAACAGGTACGGTACATACGTAGTAGAGCAGTGCTGTAACTAATGACACGACAACTTCGCCAGTTCCCCGGGAAGTGGTAGCAGTGAAAAACGCCACAGCGCCTATTCCCCGCCAGTAAGATAGGCATCGGGGTTTGGTATTGGGTACCTCTTTGGTAAGTTCGCGTGCTATGTGAACCTATCACCTATCGTTGCCTCACGGCGGAGCAGGGGATTAGCAGACATGAACCGTAGCCCCCCAGGTCTCCTCTTGTACATAGCTACCAGTGTATCCATGTATGAGAGGGGTCAAGGCTCTGAGTACGGCGGCTTTGGTCAGCACCCATACAGAAAATCTATTCAGCTATACCTATGTCTTGCATGGTTGTCCTAGAGGTAGATATGGAAGTGACGGCAATATCTTCAGGGTTTTCAACTATAAGCAAGCCATAAGCATCGTAAAGTAAAGCGCCTATCGGCAGTAGCATTGTGATCGAGGACAAACATTATATGTCGGTTCCCAAGCTTGTTGTACATGCATAGTATGGGGGAGGAGAGATGCGACTAATGACCTGCTTTTAATAGGCAGATAGGCAGGCTTTAGAAGTGATGCTACGAAGCCATGTTCCCTTCTAGCTAGTAAGGGAATAATCTAGTAACACCACGTCTGCTGTGTCACCACCTCGTTGCAACTGAGGACGAATATTGGCTCCTGGTCCTAGAGAAGCGGCACTTTGCGAGCAGGCAGGACGCCAATCACCATTGGAGCGGCCTCTGGGTGTGTGAATAGGGGAAACTCCTTATAGCCTAGCAGCCTAGCCACCTAGACGTGAATTCGGCAACGATGATGCTACCGCTTTTGTCCTGATCTGATCTAGCGATCTGTTGACAATGACTGTCATTGTACCGGATGTCTCGAGTGTTAATACTGCCAGCGGAGATGCAGGGGTATTTCCGCCAGGATGCAACCCGCTTGAATCAGTCTTATTCTTTTACATAGTATGGCGGTGAACTAGAGCAGGCTCGCCGGTGAACTATACATACATACGCGTTGCTCTTCCATCGAACTGCGTAGCAAGTTTTAGAACCTGCTAGGATTTCCGCTGCGATCTGGGTTCGTGTCTATCCGCAGTAGGAATGTTGACGCATTATGGGGCTAGGATTCCCAACTCATTCAAGTGGCTAACAGTTGCTTTCCCACAATGGGTGAACATTATGCATTATTCCGGTATCATTCTCGACGAAAACGGATGGTTTACTATCCGCTAACCTCCTTCTGAAGAACAAGGAGCTCGGTCACTGCGGCACAATACTGAAGACGGGATACGAATTACAGTTACGATTTACACTAACGCGCTGTCGTATATGTAACCTAGGTAATCTACTAAGGAGAATATCCACTATCTATATACTTACGAATCGACTGTTCGGAGAAGCTGATGGAATATATAAACGGTCAAGGCGATGAGTTAGTCAGATATTGGCGTAACATCTAGGCCCGGCACCGCGCGCACCGACTAATACACACTTGAAAACTCTTCCGTATGTACGGCTATAGAAATGTAAGAACTTTCCGCGTAAGAAAATATCTAAAGGCATCGTGCGGAGGCTCGGAGCCGAAAAGTAGAGAGACTTGGTTCGCGCTGCAGCCGACCATTTAAAGGACCAACCCTGCATTTTAATGTGATAGATCAGAAAAAGAAGAGGGAAAAGAAAAAATCTGGTAAGCCCCCCAGCGTCTCATGGTGACTAGGTAAACCGGCCAAATTTTGCGTCTCGAATCGCAACGAACTGCCACGCCTGGCGGACAAAAATTCAAGTATCAAGGCTTTTGAGGGGGCCAGTCCACTGGACGCACTTATTATATATTAATAGACATGCCCGATAGAAGCAGGCTACGGTCCTGTCCTGTACGATGGGATGCGTGTGTGTGTGCACTTTGCATGGTTTGCGTACCCAGGATGTGGATGTGACTGTGACAATGATCCCAGATGTTGGTACATACATAGTATGGGCATACCATGGGAGGTACTAAGGAATGTAGACTTGAGACATGGCTGGCTGCAGCGGGCCGACCTATCCAATGCGGTGGCCGCGGCACCAACCGCCGTTAAGGCTTGCGTGCATCGACCATTTTATGTTTTGCACTACCTACTCGTACATACGCAAGAAGGGTTGAAAAACTGTAGGGGTCGTCTTGTGGGAATATCTCGTATGTATGGATCGGAGGAGCTAGATTTGGTCGTAGATAGAACAAGAAAAAAAAAAAAAGAGCTAAAGGGTAGAGTTCCATCAAGGTACCGAGCTTGGGCCATTGTGGCCGGGGTTTCCGGAGGCGATGCCATCTCCAGAAATTCCTACATGAGATATCATGGGTATATACATTAGGTAGCTATAGTAAAAGACCAAGGTTATGGTAGTTAGATAATTAAATACTGCCCCTTTTTATATAACAGGTATAGCATTTGAGACTTTACTTATACTACCTTCGTATGGATACTGTATTCCACACATAGTGTATCTTACCTTTAGGACATCATATGCTTAGGCGTTTATATGTATCTCGTCGAAGAAATATATGTAGTCGGATAGGCACCTGTGGGATGACGGCAAGCGCCAAGGTCGTGCGTTCTTCAGGGATTTAAGAGCGGGAACTATTTAATCCTTGCTCCATCACTAATAGAAACATCCACATACATATACATGTGCATGTACACGATGTGCTTACCCGTTGGCTTGACCGTAGTATGTTGTGCTTCCTGGTGTAAGGTGTGTAAGGTATTCCCTATGTACGAAAAGAATAGGATTGGGTTGCCCTATGCACGTCCTAAACATGGCGAATAAAATAGACAAGGCTACCTATAATATCGTAAAATGCCCAGAGATCGTCAATCTCAGACATGAAATATATATACATGGCATTGGGTAAGATTTGGATCGGGGTTCTCGATAACGGATTGGCCAGGGCCTTCTGGCGATACCCCATACGTCCACAGTATGACATATGTAGCGTCGATAGTTTCCCGTTCTACAGTAGGTAGTAGTTACGGTAGGGCTAGGTAGCTTGTCAGCGTTCCGTATGTAGGTACTGTAAAGTAATACGTTCGGACTCTAAGCCGGGCCTATCTACTTATCGAGAGAAGCAATCGAAACTTACCTCACGATCGGCACCATTTAGACATTCAATCCTTGAGTATTTTACTATATAAACCAAATACGCCCTGGGCTTTACTCCAATTCAGGGTTGGTACCTACATAGCTATATAGTGGTGGACGGATTTGGGTCCGTGTTTAGGGAACCGTTCTTACCAAGCAAATAGGATATTGGATTGACACGTGCTTCTTACATTAAGCAGAGTTACCTTGCATTTCGGTACATAAGTTAAGTGTATCGACTTGTAAGACCCCGGCATGTCTTGCCCGACCATAGCCAAATCAACAAGATATGTAAAAGACTAGATAAAATTTTACTGATTTAATCTTTAGCTCTGCGGTATGTTATGACTGATATATGGCAAATTTGTTTGATAGCTACTTGTTTTGACCATAGCTGGCCTGGAATTCTCATATGACAGTCTGAGAAAGCGGCCACGTAAGCCTCAGCTAAGATACCCGGTTTATATGTATATTCACACATAGTATAATGGATACTTATAGTATTAGGTGAATATAGTGTGGGCGGTTAGGTGGCAAGCGTAGCTGAAAAGTGGAGGTAGACATGGAAATAAAAGGTATGCCATCGCTACCATTTAATAAGGTAGATAAACTAAATGTATTATTTTAGAGGTCCTTATATATATAAGTGCTTGTAGTAAATGGATCTGGATCTCTTGCTATAGCACAAGGATAGCCTGGATCTTTAAAATAGGACAGATACATAAGATCCCATAGGACTAAGTAATATTTAAAGTATTAATACTTGAGTCGATAACCAAATTTGATATGTAAACGTTTAATGAGTGAGCACTTAACCACGGTATGAAGTGCGGTTAAACACGGCTAATGGAAACTGTATCGAATTTAGCGACAAGGGTAGTAAAAGCATAACATATGCATTAGTGGAGAATAATCACGATTACGGGGCTAATTTTCCTAGTCCGAAAAGGCCAGTTGCCCTAAAATGGACCAATGACAGCTAACAGTTCAGCTGACTCGGACGCGGTAATCTTCCCTTCCTATTTTGGGGGCCGCTTTTTCCAATCGCGTTGCTTTCAGCCCAATTCCCATCCCATCCACACACAACCAGCAATTCACATCGACCGCATCTCCCCAGATTTTTTCCTTTCCCTTTCCTATTCTCGTCGATATTGGGGACTGGTACCCTCTCCTGCAGCACATCACCGTTCAAGTTCAGGTACGTACGTATGAGAGCCGCCGACCATCTGGTCGCATATGCACACCCATCTAACCCCCAAGCTACCCTTCTGTTGTTTTATTTCATTTTTTTATCATTAATCCTAGGTATTTTTATTTATTCCCCCAACCTTTTATTTTGCCCGCGCCTAGCACCAACCAAGTCGCTGTACACACACATATCGCGCGACACCAGCAAACAGCACCTCGCCTCGCCTCACCTGACATTGCATTCAGAAAAGAGATACACACGGTCGCGTCTCTAGCCTCTAGCCTCAACTATCTATAAACAGCATAGCAGTAAAGCAGCTAGCGTCCTCTCGGGTGTACTGCCGCGTGTCTACAAGAATAGCTGCTACCTATTAGCTGGTTGCTTGTTGTTACAGATAGTGGGTAGGCTGGAGTTGGTGTCGCTGCCTGTGGTGGTCACTTTTTCTCTTCCTGCATGCAATACATACATACATGCCTACATCCTACATACCATACCATACCACACCTACCATACCTACCATACCATACCCATCTACCACCTATCCGTATACGGGTCCAACCTAGAGAGGCGCTCTGTCAGCACTGCCTATTGTGCAATACGAATGCAGAGGCGCTGAATCACACCCGATACAAGCACTCTTGTACCTCATACACTCTTGTCTCTTTTATTCTCTCAGGCCTTAGTCCCCCCCTTTTTTTATTCCCTTCAGCTAGCGAGGGGTCCAAACCTGTTGCTGGTTAATAATCCCCCCCGAGAGTTTCGACACACTCCTTGTCACTTCGAAGGCTCACCCCTCCAATACAGATATACCTCTCTTGCCGGCATTCTCGTTGGTACACTACTGTCGTCGGAGAAAAAAAAATCTTTTCAGACAAGGCGGCCAAGCTCGACAAAGTGCTTTCTGAACATATTTAACTATGGGTAAGTCCACACCACCATCTTGATATCTTCGAGCTACACAAACGTCTATACAACGTTGTAGATTGTTTTTCTACTCACCGGGTCTCGCGCGTCTTCCGAGTCCTTCTCGTTCTTCCTTTCTCCTTCTCTTTCATAACCCATTATCCCTATCCATCATATCCACATCCCACACTACCTATCCAACTTTGTACAGGCGTACGTACGTACATACATAGATACATACATACTACCTCCTGCACTCGCATACTCCCCCGGCTGCCAAATCAGATCCTGCCCTGGCTACCCGTTAACGGTATTCCTTACCCCAAAATCTTGCCCAGAGGCATAAAACAAATGCCTCTGCGACGTGTTACTACCTCTACCTTCACGTCTGGCTTGTAACAGCCCACAGCATTACCCGCTCCCATATTCCTACCTTCTCTCAAACCCCCCCACCACCCAATCACACTCTTCCCTGACACCCTTTGCTCGGTTCACTCCACCGGTTTCTCTATCATCACTGCCTGCCTACCCGCTGTGCCGTTTTATACAAGCCGCAACCCATCCCGAGGCCTTTAATACGCCGCGTTCCCTCCCCACCCCCGTCCCTGGACGCTTTCCCTTCCCGATCCACTAATGGTCTGGCCTTCGAACACCTCCGTATGCGACTACGGCACGTCAGATCGCTACATTTGAAACTTTCTAATTTAACCTATTGTTCATAAAAAATTGCTTCTTTTCATATTCGCTCTTTGGGATTTGGCTTCTAACTCACGACCTTTTGAATAGCTGATTCCGGAGATACATATCGCCCTGTGAAGGTAAGCAAAAATCAGCAGTCAATTTTCTGAGTTCGGTCGGTTGGAATCTGGTATCCCAGCCAAGTCCCAGAATTACTCGTCTATCACCTTCTTTGGCGGGTCGGTTGCTTTTTTGAATGACGGCAAAACCTTAAATGAAGAATTCGTCCGTGCAAAGGGTAAAAAGTTGTGCCTGACAGCTTCTCCCCACGCTATCTTTTGCTTTTTAGCTAGAAAGGGGCACCAAGACGAATCGAGCCGACTCTAGCATATAAAGTTTGCTCCCTCCCCGAGGAGCCGCGTGCAAGTTTTTGAACGTTGTACCCTCCACTGAATCGAGGGATTTTCTTACCACACCTCAGCAAAATCCGCCCAGAGAGAGTCTAGGCCCCAACAATTGATTCCGTCGAAGCTCGCTGGCTTAACGGCGTGCTGATTTTTACTTCTAATGTCATTTATACCCCACCTAGATGCTGACGAGTCGCAGCGCGAGAGATCTCGCTCTCCCCGACGTGGCCGTTCGAGGAGCCCGGGCCGCTCAGGTCGCCGCCGATCATACTCGCCGCGGAGCCGGTCTCGAAGCCGGGACGACTATCGTAGATCGGATAGACGATCGCGATCTCCCATGACTGGAGCTGGGGCGCCAGTTGGAGGATCAGGTTCGGGTTACGGTGGACCACCTCAACGGTCGTACGAGGAGCGTGCGGCAGCACGAGAACAGATGATGAATAACATTCGCGAGACGTCGCAGCAGGACCGACGCGTCTACGTCGGTAATCTGTCCTACGATGTAAAATGGCACCATCTCAAGGATTTTATGCGGCAGGGTAAGTCATCACTTATCAGAGTACTAATCCCCAAGGAGTAATTTCGTGGCTAACGGCGGTTTGTTTTATAGCTGGAGAAGTTCTCTTCGCCGATGTTTTATTGCTTCCGAACGGGATGTCTAAGGTGGGCTTCTACACGTGATTCATGGCTGGTTTTCTCTTTGGTTTCTTCTCCTCTGGCTCTTGTTGGAATTGATGGATTGACGGGTTGGGACATTGTCCACGGGTTTTTGTAGGGATGCGGGTAAGACAAGACATCCACTCCTCCGAATTGAATTATTCAAGGTTGCTAATACTGTCTAGAATTGTGGAATATGCTACAAGGGAGCAAGCGCAAACAGCTGTCCAGACTCTCAGCAACCAGAATTTGATGGGACGACTCGTCTACGTTCGTGAAGTAGGACACCCTCCGATGTTCATTGTTATGGTAGATACTGAAGGCGGGGTTAGGATCGAGAAGCGGAACCACGATTTATCGGCGCAACCGGAGGCCGCGGTGGCTACGGCGGCGGAATGCAAGGGGGCTACAGTGCCGGCGGCGGTGCTGGAGGCGGCGGAGGCGGTAGTGCCTACGGTGGTGGTGGTGGTGCCGGCGGCGGCGGCGGCGGCATGGGTGGTGGCAACCGCCAGATCTACGTGTCCAACGTTTGTTTATTCCCGCTCCTTTCTCCCCCGCTACTAATTTAGGTGGCTGTTTGGTATTAACTTCACATGTAGCTTCCTTACACCGTAGGCTGGCAAGATCTTAAGGACTTGTTCCGCCAGGCTGGTCAGTTTTCCCGTTAAATTAACCAATATGTATATGTTGCGAATCTGGTGCTGATATCAGGTGGCGATAGCTCGAAATGGCCAGGTGATCCGAGCCGATGTCCATCTGGGCCCAGATGGTAGACCGAAGGGTTCCGGCATTGTTATGTTTGAGCACCCCGAGGATACGCGCAACGCCATCCAGCAATTCAACGGCTTTGAGTGGCAAGGCCGTCTACTCGAGGTTCGCGAGGACCGTTTTGCCCACCAAGGTGTGGGAGGGTACGGCCGAGGCGGTTTCGGCGGCCGCGGAGGCTTTGGCGGCTCTTACGGAGGTCGCGGAGGCTTCGGAGGTCGTGGTGGCTTCGGCGGCGGTGGCGGCTACGGAGGACGTGGAGGTTACGGCGGTGGAGGCGGTGGTGGTGGTGGACCCGCTGGTGGATTCGATGCCGCCAACACTACACCAGCCGCTCCGAACCCGTTTACGGATTTCGCTACCTCGGGAACTGATCCAAGTGAGACGATTTATGTCCGAAATGTATGGCCGCATGATCTCCCTACTTACCTCTTGATTTGTTGCTGACATAATCTTCGCATTAGCTTCCTTGGTCTACTAGTAATGAAGATCTCGTTGAGCTATTCACCACAATCGGCAAGGTTGAACAAGCTGAGATCCAGTATGAGCCTAGCGGAAGATCCAGAGGATCTGGTGTGGTTCGTTTCGATAGTACCGCGACTGCCGAGACCGCCATCTCTAAGTTTCAGGGTTACCACTACGGAGGCCGGCCCCTTGGTCTCAGCTTCATAAAATATGTAACCCCAGGCGGAGGAGACAGCATGGAGACGGATGCGCATGGTGGTCTGACCCAAGATCAGATCATGTAAAACACTACACCTTTCCGGTGTGTATTCTCGCTCTACCCCGATCGTGGGCATCCCTAGGTTGTCTGACATCGCTAGTATCTCGATAGTTTCCATACGATAACTATCATATGGAGAGTATCGATCTTCTATGGAGATTGGGTGGGATAAAATGGGCGGGGCCATGTCCGTTTTTGCATATCTGTACTATCTACTTCGCTCTCATTTTCCGTTTAGCACTCTCTTTGTCTCTTTCTATTTCTATTCAACATGTATCCCTCTACTGGAAGTGGCAACAAATCCGAGGTACTCATGGCGAGGAATTGCCGGGGATTAAGACCATCATTTCGGCGACGAGCTCCTACCATAACAAGTAATTTACGAAAGAGGAGAATGACTGACCTGTGGTCCTCCATCGATATGACGCGACGCGAGGGCGAGCGGTCAACGCTTCATGTTGTTTCGCGGGACACAGAAAAAGGGTTATTTTCTTATTTTATTTTCTTTGGGTTCTTCCCCTTTTTCTTTTAGCGTTATTAAAAAGGGCGGCAATGATTGGGGGGTGGCTTTTTTATTAATGAGACGCCCCTTACACTATTACACCTATATGGAAATGAGAAAGCTTGAGACGCAGCAAAAAAAGATTAGATTGTACCTCGCGAATAGCAGTTCGGATTTTTCGGGACGTGGGTTAAGTGAGACTGTTGTTGGCCTGGCTTGGCTCGGGCTTGATCTACTACTACTGGCCTGGAGGCTTTAACTATAAGGGCAGCGGTTAAGCTCGGTACCGAGGTTCTTGTGAGAGCGAGAGTGAGAAACTCGTAGGATTGATTGATTGTGGTAATTTAATGTGTAGGCAATGTGCAGTGCAGGTAATGGACACGAACACGAAATATCGGGCGGCTTGGTGTGTGCGCGTACGTGTGTCCCGTTGTATGTCGCATGGCTGCTACGGTACATAGCAACAGACAGGCTAGCCTAATGTCAAGTTAAGAGTGCTAGTTGTATAGGATGTAGTGTCCATCATCGTCCATGCTTGACTTGATATAGGCGAATGGATATGGCATGTGGAAGAAGCCTTCTCTCATGGCCGGAATCAGCATTCCCGATTGTATGTTATAAGTAGCGTTTCGACGAGGCTATAAATATATTCCCACAAATAGGAGTAACTTAACCTATGTAGAGTAGTAGTAAGTGTCCATATACACCGGGAAAGTCCACGTCAAACTCGTAAAGCGTGATTTATCTGATGTAAGTGATTTCCAAATATATACCTATATATATATGGTTACATACCGTAGAACTTAGCTATAACTCCATGTTAAAGTATCAACAATATAGGTTAACTTGTAAGTACCTATATATTTCTCTGGTCGTGTGTGCCTATAATAACTATAGAGCTTATTTACCTAGTTGAGATTTATTATAGCACGACGTTTTAACTCTTTATAGAAGAGAAGAGAAGAGGGGATAAGACTGAAATGTATGTTTTAACGGACCTAAGGTCAACATACTTGGGTAACATTTGTTTATCCCAAACAGTGTTGGAGCTAACCAAAAGTACTTCAAGCTTAATAGTAATGTGATCATCTATTTCATAGTTTGAGATTAGCACCGGCACTAATACTGATACTGTCTGCACCTATGCCAATGACATTGCTAATAATATTACCAATGCCCTAACAAAAAACAAAAACACGGCCCAAACTCCACGTCCGTTTCCTCAGCCCATCGTGTAGTTATGTTATGTTAGTTTGCCTTTGCTAACTAACTCTCTTATGCAAACACGGTATGTATGCTAAACAAGCAAGAAAACACCAGCAGAACCACTTTTAGACCCAAACCCCCAACCTAACTTGCTAGTCCATCACATAACCCCCCGCCGATCCAAATGCGCCTGCTGGAACTGCTTCAGCATCGTCACCACGCCCGGGCCATCATCGCCATCGGTAGCATTACTACCCTCGCGACTCAGCCCGTGCCTAGGCGAGCCCTCCCACGTAGACTCTCCTAACCGCGCCACGCTTTCTTCGACATCACCGTCGTCTGTATACGCCGTGTCATGTCGACGGATAACGCTTCGCGAGGGCCCATCTTCGGTCGATTCCTCGATGATATTCGTGTCGCCGGAAGGCAGGCCGCGCTGCTGGCGCGTACGTTGCGGAGTAGTCCGGGGCGCGATGAATGAGGCGGAGGGTTGGTGGTGCGCATCGAGTAGCATGGAGGCCATTGGCGAGGGCGCGACGGCTGGGCCGAATCGTGGTGTCCTGCCCGGGATTGGTGCTCGACTTCTAGCTCGTTCGCTAGGTCCGATGCGCGAGGAGTGCATGTCCGCGGCCAGGGTAGGCGACATGAGGCCTGGGAAGGCCGGTGGAGGGTGGAATTGGTGACGTCCGACTGGGCCCACGGCGTGATTTCCGGGAAGACCGGTCCTAGGGTGGTAGACGTAGTTATCCAGGAAGCCGTGGACGGAAGCCTGCATCTTCCCGTGTTTGGTAGCGTAATAGTCCTCCCTGGCATCATTTATATTACCAGGCGGCTGCTTCGTCGTGCGCTGGTCTTTCTGGAAGTCGAATACGGCGAACGAGCACACGTAGCCTAGCCCGTCGACGTGTATTGTAAATTCGCGGAAGAAATCGATGATCTGATCGCTGCACTTTGGCAGGCTGAAGAAGAGCACCAAGGGTGTTACTAGGACACTGGTGATTTCCTCGAGGAAGATGATGATTCTGGACTTGTAAAGTTCAGAAAACTCAGCTTTGACCTCGTAGCTGTGGAGTCTACCTTTCCACTGATCTGGTTGGTAATGTGTGTACTCTATGACGCTTTGCATCGCAAATTCGGGATCGAACACGTCGTTCTCCTCGGATATCATCCCTCGAGCGACAGCCCATGTCGTTGTTAGAAGCGCAACGAAGGCGAACGTATTCATTCCCGGGAACAGTTCAAAGTCGACAAACATCTCGGGGTCGGAAAAGCCCACGATGGCCAAAACGGCAATAAGCGCACCAGAAAAGAACTGAATCGTTCGGGCCGCTGATTCTGTCTTCTTCTTTGGAAACTGATCTATGTAATGTTTCGCGTAAGGATACGACATGTTTAAGCGTTCCTCGAACAGGTGTGGTAGCTCGTTGAACTCGCGGAACTTCCACCTGGCAAGCGGTGTATATTGCCTCGCTCCTAGAGATGAGGTATTGGTTTTGAATTCCTAGTAAATAGGTAGGTAAGCATAATGCAGTTCATGCGTCCGATCGAACGATACTCACATTGTAGTACGTGAAGATGAAGTCGACAAGGAGGGCAGAGGCTACAAACGGAGCGAATATGAGGTTCATCACTGCCGCAAATGCAAATCTCGTCTGCATTTCCCTGCTAAGATGTCCACGATGATCGGATTTGAGGACTCGTTGATGAACCTGGCCACTCTCGTTGAAAACCAAGTCTAAAACTCCGAACTGAACCGTCCACTCTAGAGATTTGGAGAATAGTTGCCGATTTCGTAGAAATGGAACCGGGGCTGTGAGATCTAATATGTCCTTGTTGAAGAGAGCAATGATATAGTTCTCTCTTCTCATTAGCCTGTTTGCAATATCGTGAGCATCGAGCCTTTCTTTCGATTGGCTTGCTATGTGCTGTCCCAGCTGCTTAGACAAGAAACGACGTTGCGATGGTGTTATATTGGTAGCTGTCTTCACATTCTCGTCGCGAAGGGCGGTGATCTTGGCCACAACATCCTGCCACGAGACGGTTTGCATGTCTTCCTCGGGGATTTCTAGAAGGTAGAGGAAGAAATCACGTATGTGCATCAAACGCGGTATGTCAAGAATCCACTGGATGCTCTTCCAGACAAAGTAAAAACTGCAAACCCAGAGACTCAAGTTCCATATTCCCCACATGTGCTTCGTGCACTGGGGAATCATGATCTGCGACAAGCTCTTACTGTCGCGGATCTTACTGTAATCTATACACTGCGATAACAGCGTGAGTAAAGTCGCAACGAAGATAACCTTCAATAAATGCAGGACCCTGTCGAGCAGGATGCACCACATTCCCGCTCCTAGGTAATAGTCGTAGACATCCCTGATGAAGACGTCTAGATTGGAGACGTTAGCCCATCTAAACATGGCCTTGTCTTTAGGGCTGCCTGCGAATCCCGGACCCCTCACAGTGCCACCTCTCTGGGGCTGCTCGCTAGTCGACGGACCATATTCTTCGTCTTGATGTAGTCTCTGATGCGCCTGCGCAGTTTCCCACTGCGCTTGTATCCTCCGGTTTGAAGAGTGGCGTCTGGTAGAGTTCCGTGCTCGTTGGGGGCTTGTCCTGTATTGGTTTGGCTTAGATGTGGTGGCATCGGGACCTTCTACCAGGAGAGAGGCGGGAACGTCATTATCCATATCATCCTCTTGCGTAAGCCACCGCGATCTCGCATCGTGCGGGTTTACTCTTGCAGCGGTACGACGAGCTCTACTTGCGGCTGCGACAGGGCTGCGTGGTGCGGAGATGTGGCTATCGTCGAGACTAGGACCACCGGCATGGTCGAGGTCGTCGTGTTGGAAATGTTGGGCTAGGTTCTCTTCGTCTAGGTCGAGGCCAGCTCTACTTTCGACATCGTCATCTTGACCGTTTCTAAGCCGATCGTACAAGGGTCTATCGTCGCCGGACGGTACGAGGCGGGAGAAGAGGTTTGGTGGCATCGTATAGGCTCATGGGTATATCGAGTAGTGTAGTTTAATAGGGCCTGTGTCTCTTCCTTAATCATAATCAAGCCGACTGCATAGGAAGAGTAAGGTATATATATTAAAAGAAGAAACGTTTAAGATGAATGCCTAAGCTACATGTACCTGGGTAAGGTTTAACTTGTAGCATAAGGCAAAGGTTGTAAGCTCTAACTTAGAGCTAGAAGCCTAGAACCATATGAAGCATAAGGACCTTTTACTATATGCCATTAACTATGACATAGAGCATCAAAGGTCCTATGATTTAAGGATGTCTGTAAAGAAGAGGCTAAGCATCAGGTGTGCCTTGTACTAAAAATGGTGAATAAGTTGAAGTTGGTCATTCGGACTCTGAACTGTCAAACGGACCTTATGACTGAGGTTCACAGGCAGCCGCGCGCCTTCATGGGTTAAGAGGTAGGTGCATATGTACCTGTCTGCCCGACCGTTAATATCCTTATCACTATCGTTATCGCATAGATGAAGTCATTTGATTCGATAAGGCGTACCTAAGGTACCTATCAAACTTGCACTAATTTCTCCAGCTGTCAGACATAATTCCCAGGTGGCGCCTCTCACACAGTACATAGTAGACATATTCAACAATACCACATCCTACAATATCACATCCTACGATATTCGAGATACTCCCTAACAATTTGGCCCTTTTTTTTTCTGGAGTCTTATGTCTTAGTAATATGGAAATGAGAAATGAGATGACGTAAGTTAAACCAGCCCGGGATCATCTAAAGTAATTGGAAATATGAAATATGGCCTCAGATGGCCTCGCCTCACCCCGTCTACCTGGACATGATGGGCTACCGTCGTCGCCCGCGAGCGCCTCATTTCCGGGCCGATCATCAAATCCGCTTTCGTCCAAGGTGACATCCGTTCTATCTACCTCGTATGCCGATGCTGAGTTCCGCGAGTCTCTGGCTTTGCTGGATGAGCGCGGCATCAGTAACACCGCCGACACCCGGAGACAGTTACGGCTAGACGTCCAGAAAGAGGTCATCGATAGTAATGGGAAGATAATCACAGAGTTCGGCCGGGTAGCCGAGCAATTAAGGAGGATCGGCACCACTATTAATAAGCTCAACAAGAATTACCAGGAGATGAGAGGTCATGCCACAGCAGCTCACGAGTCGACCTCTTCTATGCTCGAGGAAGCATCTTCTCTCATGACCCAGAAGAAGAATATAGAGACGAAGCAGCAGGTCTTAAAGGCCTTCCGCGAGCACTTCCTTCTATCCGAGGATGAGATCGCCTCTTTAACCTTAACGGCTGAACCCGTCGACGACCGCTTCTTTGCCGTCCTAGCTAAGGCAAAGTGTATCAGGAAAGACTGCGAATTCCTGCTCGGTTTCGAGAGTCAGACCTTAGGCCTAGAGATCATGGACCAGACATCCAAGAACTTGAACTTGGCCATGCAGAAGCTGTACCGCTGGGTCCAGAAGGAGTTTAAGACCCTGAACCTCGAGAACCCCCAGATAAATTCGTCTGTGCGCCGTGCCATTCGCGTGCTTGCTGAAAGACCCTCTCTCTTCCAGAGCTGTCTGGATTTCTTCGCCGAGGCTAGGGAGCAGATCCTATCTGATTCTTTCTACCTCGCACTAACCGGTACATCCGCAGCCGGTACCAAGGATAATTCCGTAAAGCCCATCGAGCTCGTAGCTCACGATCCGCTGCGGTATGCTGGTGACATGCTGGCGTGGACGCATTCTGCTGCTGTCAGCGAGCGCGAAGCCCTCGAAATCCTGTTTATATCCGATGGTAACGAGATTGCTAAGGGCATCCAAGAAGGCCGGGAGAACGAACTATGGATGCTGATGGGCGACGAGGCAGACGGGGCAGACGGGCCTCCGGAATTCGACGCCGTCAAGGCCCTGAACGAGCTAGTCGACAGAGACGTCTCCGGCGCGGCGCGTATATTAAGGCAACGAGTTGAGCAGGTCATCCAAACCAACGAAGAGACTATTCTGGCGTACAAGCTAGCTAACCTTCTCGCATTCTACCGCGTGACATTTTCTAAGCTTCTCGGCGAGGACTCAGTCCTGCTCCAGTCGATGAGCAACTTGGAATCCGAAGCGCTACGGCAATTCCGCTCTCTAATGCGCGACCACATCACCACCCTCGAGGGCGAATTCCAGCACACGCCGTCCGACCTCGGACCACCCGAGTTTCTACAAGACTGTCTAAAACAACTAACGGCCATCATGAAAACCTACGAGACCTCGCTAGCCGCAGACGGCGACCGCGAGGCAGACTTCGAGCCCATCCTAGCCGAGTCCTTCGACCCCTTCTTCGCCGGCTGCTCTAACATGGCCAAGAACATCGCCGCACCATCCAACTCCATATTCCTCATAAACTGCCTCCTCGCCGCCCAGACCGCATTCGAGCCCTTCAAATCTTTCACACGCACCCGTCTCGAGCGTCTACGCTCTACAATCGCTGACCACAGCGCTCGCCTCGTCGAAAACCAATACGCCTTCTTCCGCGCCGAATCTTCCCTCGAACCCCTATTCACTGCCCTATCACCTCTAAGCGACGCGCGTCCCTCCGACGTAGCCAAGCTTCCTTCTCTCCCGGAACTCCAACCGGAGTCCCTAGCGCGCGCAGCCCAGGGCCTAGACGACTTCCTGCCGTCGGCAGTCATGGACGCGCTGGAAAACGTCAAGAACCTCCAGGACGCGCGGCTGGCGCGCGAGGTCACCGAAGAGGCGGCAGATCGGTTCTGTGCCGACTTTGAGCATGTCGAAGAGCTGCTTGTTGCGGCGGATGAGGCGGCTGAGGAACGGAGAGGAGCGGATAACGGTGGGGATGGAGAGGAGAGAGCGGAGTTCAGAGCGATATTCCCGAGGACGACGGGGGAGATTAGGGTTTTGTTGTCTTGAGGGATCGGAGGGGAGAGGGTTATCTTGTTATACCTATATGGGGGAAAGACCTATAAGGGGAAAAGGGGGAAGAAGTAAGGTATATCCGTGGTCTAGTCCGTATTGCGTGTATGGTTTGGTTTGGTTTGGTATATTACTATGTAGTTTCACGACAAAATAGACAGACAGGAACTCGAACTAGAAAATTAGACGCGGCATGACATCCATGGTATAGCAAGCTTTCTCTTCGCGATTAACTATATCGTATTATATCATATATATATCTATATCTCTATATATGAATATATATATCCATCTATAGCCACATAGTCGCCAACTATTTAGGCACCCATCTATCTATCTACCTAGGTATGTAACCAGTATTCCTCCTACGTATGTACAAGACCGGCAATTAAATACATCAAGGCCCACGTATATCTTCATCTTTCTCAATCGACTCAAACACATCCTCCTCCTCCTTTATCCTTCCCCTTTCTACCCCGTCATCCCTCTCCCCTTTCCCTTTCCCTTTCCCTTTTCCTACATCAACTTCTTCTCCTTCCCCCTCCCCCCTACTCCTCTTAACAGGCCACTTCTCCACATTCGCCGCACTAGGCCTCCTCGCCCGCTTCCCAACAATCTCATCATCGTCATCGTCAACAACATCATCAAGCTGCTTCAGCGCCGCGGCCAGCCGTCGACGCGCCGCGATCTCGCGGTCGCTGCTGCTGGGGCCGGGGCGGTAGAATTGCCGTACTACGCTCACGGTGGCGTGGTAGCATTCGTAGAGGAGCAGGCGCGCGGATGCGCTGGCTGGGTCGTCGATGATGGCGGTGGGGGGGTGGCTTTGGTGGTGGTGGTGGTGGTGGAAGCCGTGGATGAAGTCTGCGGTAGGGTCTTGGCTGAAGATTTCGCTGAAGAGAGGGTCGCCGAAGATGCTGTTGCTCCAGTCGCGGAGGCCGGTGACGGTTATGCCCTTGTCTCCGGGGGTTTGTTCTGGTATTGTTTTCTCGGATATGTCTTCTTCTGTTTTGATTTTTGCTGTATCTTGGGTTGGTATTACCTGTTTGTTGTTGTTTTCGTCCTTACTTATATCCTGTTTTGAAGTCCGTGATACCAATACGTTCAACTCGTCGGCAGCGTCTAGTATTACCAGCCGGGCAGTAGTTACACCGTCCAGGAGATGGCTCAGTCTATTAAAGTAGCTTCTGATCGGCTCGTAGCTAATCGTAACGGCCATATCCTCGGCGTCTCGTAGTACGCCCTCCAGTAGAGAATGAAAAGTTTGTTTCCACGTTCTCGAGTTACGAAGGCCGAGATTAGCTAGTTGCGCCGCGTGTAAGTCGGTGGGCGGCGGCTGTGGACTGATAACCGCCGTAGCCGGTCCGAAAAGCCCGTTTGGTGATACGAAGCTCGAAAGTTGTCGTACAAGTTGGCCTTTTTGAAAGTCTATTATACTTCTCTCGGATGGCGTTAAGGGTGTAGGGAGTTCACGGATAGTGACCCCTCTTGCCGGCTCGAAGATGTTGAACGAAGAACCTAATTCCGTTGACGAAGGGACATGGGTGACAAGGACGGGAAGATACTTGAGCACATCTCGTCTCAAGCTTATTTCTCTCTCAAAGCTACTCTCTATTTCGTCCTTCACTGGTGCACCTTGAGCGGTTTGATCAGAGCTGATATTTCTCCGGGCTATATTCTCAACCTTCTCAACCTTAATAGGAGGCTCAAGTACCCCTTCAAGAACCCATTTTGTAACAAGGGTCTCTGAAAGATTCAAGCCCCTTTCAGACCGGAGTAACCTCAGTGTCGGAGGCGGTGGTAGGCTGAGAACTAATGCTCTACCGTCCGAGATCTTAACGCTGAAAAATCTTAGGAGTCGACAGGACGGTAATGGGCTAACAGACTCGACGGTAATGTTTGGCAACGCTTTTTGTATTGCCAAGCGCATCGATTCGAGCGGGTTGATTCGGTCCATGGGGGATACAGGAAACGATCGCTGGGCCGGTGAAACAGAAGATGGTTGGTGACGCGAAGGAAGCCATCTTGTGGAACAGAATAGGCCGGGTACTTCAAGGCCCCCTTTGTACGGACGAGTTTGAGCAGGAGACTCGGGAATGTGGAGTGAAAGAAAATAGCCACCGGGGCCGACGGGGCAAGGGTCGACTGGTGCTGCTGAGGCCACCCTTGAATTTGGGTGCATTACTTGTACTTGCTGCATGTGCCTTTCTGTGCCTTTCTATAGGGTAAAGTACTATAATAAGGACAAATAATGGCTCAAAATAGAAGGTTGAGACGGGTGCTTGCTCTTCGGTGAACGATAGGAATACTCAAACCGGACATACGCCGAGACGAGAACCTACTTAAATGAACTCGGCAGCAAATTGCTGAACCTGCAGTTCGGCTTGACAACCCCAGATCTGCAAGTCTATGAAAAAAAAAAAAAAAAAAAAAGCAGACAGCTAGGTAGTTTATTAATCTGCAGACGTTGGCGTCTAGGATATACCTAGGCTCTTAGACGACTCTGGGTAGCAAACAGACAGGACAAGGTAACATCCTAAAACAGTGTGCAATACCGTCGATATAAGAGCCTTTATACGAGGAAACGGAGGCCATATACAATCAGCTGTCTCGGCATAGCAAGCTAATAGACGAGCGTCGTCCGATGGGATCCGCAGGACATGTTCAGCCCAAGGGCAAAAGAGCGGTATTACACGATACGATACGATACGATACGATACGATAGGTATAAAGGGACGACAGGAATATTCTAGCGAGGCCAATATGAGATACATCAACAATCAACGGTTGTTAGCGAATAAGGCGTGGCGGCCAGGCGAAGAGAGAGACATCCGACTCGCGGCTCAGAAGGGAACTAAGGTAATAACAGGTAATACTCGCCTAAGTAAGGCGCAAATAGGTCAAAGGAAGTGGAGCTACGATGCTTGGAGTGGCTGCAGCCATGTACATTATACGTTTATACGTCGAAATGGACAAAGGCGTATTATCCATTGCCTCTAGGTTAGTCTCTAGGTAGAGGGTGAAACGACGAAATATGATGGAAGTGTTCCACTCAAAGGCAATAAGTATCCGAACGCCAAGGCGCCAGGCGAGAGATTACAGACTTCTCGAAGCCCAGGTGCATTCAGATTCCCACGGCTGGGAACCCTGGCTAGGGTGCGGCAAGCAAGCGGGCTAAGAAAAAGCTCATGAAGAGCGGACGGGTTGCTGCTGTGGGACTTCATTTTAACGTAGTCCCACGTGTTAGTTATATCGACTATGTATTCTATGACGCCAAAGGCTAGATAGGATGAAGACGGGATTTGAAGAAGCGGAATATCTACCTGCTACATATCGGCCATTGGGTTTTGACAAGCGATGTGTTGCATTGGCACGGTGGTTGTCTCAGCATTCATTGGGTTTGCGGACCAATACAGCGGTGTGCGTAACAGAGTGCGACGAGGATAACGTGATGGCATGTGCCTCGTGGGAAAGGAAGATGTCACTGTGTGTTAGAAGAAGAGATACCTACATAGGTTGGTAGGTTGGTGGGCTGGTGGGTTGGCGGGACGGTTAGTTGATGATTAGGTGATTAATTAGTTGCTGGGCCTAGGTTTAAGGGTTCAGGGTTAAGAGTAGTCAAACTTGGTTAGATCTCTTCTTTGGTAGTTGTAATGAGCAACGTGGGACTTTAGGTTTGAAAGGTTGGCGGTTTGATTAAGCTACTACGTATGTGGTAGGTCGAGATGCAGCAGCAACTTACACCTTACGCTAGAATTAAGAGGATGTGCTAGGTTAAGTTACCTACTGTATGACTGTATGAGGTAGTGTTATATCATGTACTTCGGTATATTAGATCCGTACTACATACGCTAACTATGTATATAATAGAGGTTTCCCAGCATTGGGTACGTGAATTACATGAATTACATGAAGTTGCATTAGCAAGCGAGACGGGGAATTTCTGATTGGTTGCCAGTAAGCGAAAATGGCCGAAAGTAGTAAGGTCCCGAGCCTTAATTATGGGCCACTCCGTTCCGCCCTTGCACCTGAAGCCTCCTTTCTAATGGGGAGTCCGCGAATCATCCCCGACCCATTCACATACTTTACCAGTCTGATACTTTACATACTATGTAGTACATACCTACATACGTAGTAGTATACAGGTAGATAGGTATAATACTACCCATCCACCCCTGTGCTGCTGCTTTTGCTATTGCTGACTCTACATATCATTCCATTCCATCATCAAATATGACCATCCCGCTTCCAAGCACCTATGTAATTGTAATCTACATTCGATCGACGATAGGCACTGCAAGTATGCTCATGTAAGAGAGACGATGCAATGCTTGCTTGGCCTATCACATCTCCAACGGTATTCGATATTTCTCGAACTTATCTGCAGTCTTCTTACATGTATCTTACGGCCTCGCGAGATATTTCACCACTACCTACCTACCTACCTACCTACCTCTTATACGGAGTCCAGTGCCGCAAAATCTTACCTACTACATACTTGCTCCAAGTCCCCATCTTAGGTAAACAAACCTGTCCATTTTTAGGTACCTATACCTACATCTTACACGTAGAATCCCATCCCGGCCCGGCAACTAGATTACTTATTTCGTAAATGTGTCATGCCGTCTCGGCTCCTTCGATGCGAGGTGATGTGCGGTGCCGGCAGCACGGAGCAATCCAGGCCTCCATCATCCCCGCGTAATTTACGCGTATATGTACGTATATGGCAGCTGGAGGCTCGAGGCATCGCCATTCTTGACTTTCACTCGCCAGGATACGTAGTAGCACCCATTTACCCGCGCCATGCCGGCTCCTTCACCATCTTTAACGCGGTTTACAGAAAGCAAGCAAGCAAGCAAACCAATGACAGCTCAACCATGGCGATACTCGCAACGACCCGTATTTGTGTTAGGTAGTTTGTCGTCGATTTTGCCGCAAACAGGGCTTAGCGCGGCTGTGCCTCGGTCTGCTCGGTGAGGGATGAGGGCTTCGCGTTAGAAAATAGGTAAATGTCAGAAAGTTTTCGTAAACACGGCCTGTTCCTTTATTCCTGAGGGATCCTTTACGTATTGTACGATCCACACAGTTTCTCTTGGGTACCTAATCGAGCATGTTGTCATTTTTAACTCGGCGTGTCCGTGCCCTAATCCCTTCGTTGCGTATTTTGTTTTTAATGAACAGGCGGTATCAAGGAGTACTAAGCAGCTGATCCCAGTAATCACAATTCGAATTCATTGGAATGTCACAAGAGTACGGGATTTCAGATAGTAATAGCTAGCTACCTCGTAGCCCAATCTCTTGGTAAACCAGTAGTCTATCATTTTTATAAACCCGTCTTTATAAGTTAGCAAACTCATAGCGTTCAAATATGGGTAAGCCTCAATTTACGTTACCAAGAGAAAAACCCAATGGTTTATTACAACTCTATCTAGTTAGCATATAGGTAGGTAATAGGCAGGCAAGTCCTTCAGATTCTTCCATAAAACTACAAAAGAAAAGTGACAGTCTGATCACCCCTCGTAATTGATCCAAAACCCAGTTGAAGAACTTAAATATGGGATGAATTTTAACACGCAACTAGGCACGAACATCCCATGGACGTCGGTCGTATTATTGTGACGTGTTAGTCTCCTGTCCCTTAAATGTTCCAAGTGATTGTATGTGGCTTAAAGGCAACGGCCCTAGCTTCACGCATAGGCGTGATATCATGATAATACCAGACGACGTTATTGGCGCAGATCTACCTAGTCGGCGAAAGCTGCTGAGTCTCCAATAGCCCCTAGAGTAAGACGCCAGGTCAAAAGGTTGAGCGAATCATATACCCCATCCCAAGCAGACGAAAGCGACTATGAGTAGCTGCACCTTCCAATATTAAAGATGCCATTGGCCTAGAGTATGCGTTGCTTGAACCCTTGAACCCTTAAACCCCATATAAGCAGCCGGGACGTTCCATTTCCAGGCTTCGATCGTCGATGGAGCCAATGTGACCCTCCACGAATGGCATCTTTGTCGGTGCCGTGAAGCTAAACGGTAATCTTAGGCGAAAAGTCCCTGTTTATGGCTAGGATAGCATGTCTTCCCCACATCCAAGATGTCTTTGTAGGGTCTTAATCCGGGACGTGCTGCCGTTGCCAAGTCGAGATAGGCCGAAGACCCGGTTCTCTAGATTCCAATGTAACGCTTCCTAGCCAGCGGTAAACCGACGAGTTTAACCCATCAAAGAAAGGCTCGCTTGCTAAAGATTCTCATTTGTCACTTCCATATAGAAGAATGGTTACATCCCGAGTCTTAACTCTAGACTAGGATGTTGACTGACATACCGGTACTCTCGGGCTCCTTTGAATAGGGATTCAACCGGTGAAAGCTTTATCTCGTTTGTGATAGTATATAAGGCCTATTCCGAAAGTGGTATACTTTGAAGCTTTTTAAAGTCGATTTGTTGATATAAGTGGGATGTGTACTATAGCTAGTTCGACATATTACGCTCGGGCACCATCCATAAGTAGCTTATGGGTATGTCTGCATACATGCCGGTCTTGTTACCGGTAAAACATGAGGGCTGAAATTCAGCTGTATGGTGTGGATACGGGAAGTTAAAGCCTTTGGGTATTACGTTGCATTTGAATAGTATTTTTGACGACGTGGGTCCATTAAATAATGAAATTCACTGGAAGGGATAATGTTGCTATACATAAGCCTCTAAATCGCTCAAAGAAGCATACCGAGTGGAAGCGTTAGCTACAGTACATGAGGCTATTCCCAACTTACTACATACACTATGTATAAGGGTGTTGGGCTTAACTGGAGCCCACTAAAAAGGCTGCAACAAACATTACATAGTAATCCAACCATCATGTCCATCAAGTGGATACGGTCCCATTCACAAATCGATAAGATCTTGAAGCAATCAACCATTTGCGATATGCAGCTAAACTAGTAAAGCCACCGGTTCCCTTCCAAGCTTTTTTTTCTCTTGAAATTTAAGGGGCTTCGGCCGCGTAGAGCTGCGGGAAACTTACAGCCGCTCGGCATTCGGAATCGAGGGAATTATGGCGCCCCTTAACGTTGAAGCTGGTGTCGCCGACGTACCCGGGCTTAACGTCGCCGACTTGTTCAACGCGATAGTCGGGTAGCACGTCCACACTAGCAAAAATGCATCCCTAGTGTAATCTAGGTTAGAGGAATTTGTATAATAGATAAGCCCTTATTCTTAAGGGTAGTCCGCCAGAACTATCAACTAGCCTTGGCAGGCTGATAGACTGCTTGCTACATCTATGTACCACCCCTTTAGAATTGCCAGAGACGCTTTCTTCCCAATGAATAATTATTACTATCTCATATACATTATTCGGTAGCACTGGTTATAACTTATATGCTAGTGGCTCTTTACCTCACGATCATCAGTTACTAGGTTAGTGAGGTCTATGTTAAGGTGAGCCATTCACCTGTGCATGGTAGCATATATATCAACTTAATGTGATCTTCATGAATGCAAACCATTACTGAATAGGAGGGTATATTGATGCATTCTATGAAACTGAGTTGGTATGCCTTGAGTCTTGTGCGACGGTACTATCCGAAATGAACCATCCAGATCTTAGGTTTATAAACGCGGGATTTGTAAGTCTTCTTGTAAGACGGACTATAACTATTCCCCATAAAGTTATTTCAGCACATCTTTTGAAAACTGCTAGCTCCGGCGTATCACTAGGTAGTATACGTGTCGTTACGCCGACCATCGTGGCGAGCGTGCCTCATACAGCCAGCCCCCGACAACTACTTCGTGGATTATAATAAGAGCCATCCAGAATAAAGGATAATTTTAGTACGTATAGCCGTAGGTTCCTATAGTTAAGTAGCTTATACTTCCTCGCCCAACAACAGAGTTGTTTCCTTACTTTTTGCTCCACCTCATAATAGGCACGCTCCCCCCTTTTTATCCCAGGGTAACTAACAATGGTACATAGATCACGCGGTTAGTTCCTAGGGGCCATATTCACAGCTTTTATTATTCTTTTTATTTTCCATTTATTCAATTCGACCAAAAGTTTCCTTACGAAAGACGAAAATGGGTATTTAAATCAAGCCGCAGAAAGACTATTAACTCGGACCCTCTTCAACCCCTCCTCATGCAACCGCTCCTGAAAATTCCGTCCAAGCTCTCCATCCCGAATCAGAACCGTAAAATCCACCCGGTCCGGCAGCATCTCGAGCGGCGCTACGATCTTATTTATCATGCGATACCACTCGTCCTCCAGCAGCGGGTGTTCGAACGCCAGCACGCGGATCGTCAGGCGTCTTAGGCCCGTCATCATGCCTACGACGGCGTCGCAGATCTCCTTCCAGCTCTCGTTATGGCTCAGAGGAGACCCTAAGGTCTCCTTTTCTTCGAACCGCGCCCAGTAGTAAAACCCGGACCAGTCGAGCTCGATGGACCGCACGGCTTCGAGGCCCGCTGTTGGCGAAAGGACGAGAAAGCGGTAAAATGCTTCCATCCTCTCGAACTTGAAGTGGCGTCTGTATAATATACCTAACGTCTCCCAATACCTAATTTCTTCATGTTAACATCGGCAGTAGTCTTATTTCTCTTCGAAATGGGAAATGGGTTGGTGAACTTACATCCGTTTGCAGCTCTGGAGGGACGTCAGCATGTTAAACTCGGCCGTTACATCATCTGCCAGAAACCGTCTCTCAGCCCCGGCCTCCCTCCAGAGCGGTTGGTAGGCGCGTCTCCTATTCTGATCCGCCTCATCGAGCCTCCCCTGGTCACGCGGAAGTACGACGTGGGCAAGCTTATTTACCTTCCTCAGTATGCACGCGTCGTCGTCTCCAAGCGCGTACTCCCATATCGCAAGCCGTATCTCAGGCGGCATTTGCAAGAGCAGACACTGGCTTTGATCGGAATAGGATACGGTATTTGCCAGCCCTAGATAGCCGGCTAGTCGTGAAGGCGCCCATCTGAATCTCCGCCAAGCCTCGGATGTCGAGTTCGGAATCCATCCGCCTCCGTCTGGGGATTTCTGCTCGGCTATCGTTCCTCTCCGCCTCTGATTACGGATATCCCTCCACTCATAACAATATTTAGTACTTGGGTGGAGACGGCCCATGGTTTCGTGTTCTGTAGCCTTGGTCTTACGCCGCAATGTAACAGGGTAACAAGGTATGTATGTGTATGTACACACTAACGTCTTTACATAGATTAGAGCCTTGCTTTTTCTTCAATCGAATATAATAAACATCGAGTAAAATGCTTAAAGCTACCTAGAAATAAGCACTAAAGTCTCATTAGTTTTTATATATTTTAAACAAGTCCTGTCACCTGTTACCTGCTTGTTTTAATAGGCGGGTAATAAGGCGGTATCGGTCCGTTTTGATTATTCAGATTAATAATGTTAGTGTTAAAAGTTATTAAAAGTCAGGGGATGTAAAGGATGAAAGAGAGGGATGAGGGAATAATTACTCCCCGCACTCGATTGGTTGGTCCATCTACGTAACATTCAAATATATATAACAACATCTCGTACAGCTGCTGTCACGTCACGTAGTAGCATCGGCATCGCATTTTCATACCTTTTTCAACGTTAACTATACGAGATATAACTACCTACCTGTTATACGACGCATAACTAGGTATACCTATGCTTATTCTCCCGACGATATGCGTTGCGCGCCTAGTACCCATCGCCTTAAGTCGAGTCCGTAACTCGTAAAATAAAAGAGGATGTCATCGCATCTCGGAAAGGATACCGAGTAACCAATCATATCAATATTGATGTCTTATATTATAGGTAAAGGCTCAAGTCTAACCGCCGGCAGTGACTTAAACCGCCTCCAACGGGGCCGTCGGGCACTGTGCGTTGCATTCGTGGGGAACCCAGAAGTTAGGATTTAAGCATAATCTCCGACCCAATATTTGTGCGAAATAGGTTCAACTTTGATATAAAAGGCAACTCTCCAATTCTTGGACGTTGAAGTGATATTCGTTGCTTCAATAGGGAATTCGCGTGTCATTGGGGGGCGTTTCGTACCATTCTCTGATTGCTTGGCGTTCTGTTAACCGAACCGCAGTGGTCGAGCTGTCCGACGAGGTGTATTGAGCCAGCGTTGATAATCGATGACACGATGCAGGAGAGCGAGTAGGGAAATAACGCAGTTGTTGCTCAAAGAGTTGTAAACATGGTTAAGATGGAACCTCTGACAACATGCAACGACTCCTTTCCTCTAGGTTAGGTATCTCCGCGGCCTTGGGATGAGCCTCGTGGTAATTACATTGACTTAGACAGGCAGTTCTTTTTAGCAAGACTCCGAAACTCCCTGCCAACAGTGAGGTTACAGCATAGGGTAGAATAAATGAAGTTGGATTATCTCGCTTGATTCAACAATACACTCTTATAGTAAAAGGGGTGGTAGTAAGGAGGCGTATAACGTAAACAATACACAAGGTAAGCCTACTTTAATAACAAATTGCTTGTTAATATGCCCAGAAAAAGACCGACTGGGCACATAATTTACCATCGTTGCTTTGGGGTAACTACCTACCTTACAATTCTCGAAGTCTCGAAGTGCAACATTACCGCCTCTTCCAGTGAGAAATGCCCACTTGATAATCAACCAGCAAACAGGTATTCACCACCCGTTAACCTTTATAGAACAGACACCTAAGGCAGGTAGTCAAAAGAGGCTATAGGATTAGCTCAGCAAAGCTCAGCAAATCGACCTGGAATCCGGGGTAGGACTAATGCTGCCTACGTTACATCCCACGAGTATTAGCGTAGTTCCTTCGATGTAGCATCGCACTATATATCTAACTCTAATCCTTAGACTCTTCCGTCTGCGTACTCTTCTCCTGCTTCTTCTTCTCGTCGGGCCCTAGCGCCGACAGGTATATCTCGTGGAGATTATACCGCTTCAGAGACTCCCAGTCTCCGTCGACGACGCTCATGCCGCAGAATGTCTGGCATGGTTAGTTTGATTTTCTTTTTTTGAGAGAGAGGGGACGAGAGAGGGGACGAGAGAGGGGCAAAAATGTACCTGGTAAATGTCGATGAGAATAACCTTGTCCGGAGATGAGAGGTTGACCTTGTGGCGCGGCGCGATGAGCGATGCGACTTTCTTGATCACATCGTCGCGCTTGAGGGTGTTATGGGCGCGGAAGCTAGGCCGAATAGCGTACTAACTCAAGCTGTCAATGACTCCCCTCTTACGAAACGAATTGGGAAGTGAACCTACTGAATAAGCATCCCCATTAGGGACCTCCGTCTCTCCGTCCTCGCCTGCTGCAAGCTGGAAGTGCTTAGCCAGGACATTCTTAGCAACCTCCTCGAGGCCAGCCTCGGTAGCTTTCGCAGTCAGCGTGACGGGGGTAAACCGATTGATGAATCTCGCTCGCCGCTGTGACTTCTCGGTAATCGCCTTTGCATCCTTGCAGATCTGCTGAACGAGCGCGACGGGGTCGACAGGCGGCTTCGTCCGTATGAATAGCAAACAATCGAGATTCATGCGCATGGGCTCGAATACCGAGTCCTTCGATTTGCTCGCAGGTTTCATCCCTTGGATTTCCTTCTTGATGGATGATTCAATATCATCGTCATCCTCCTCGTCATCCTTGGCCTCAGCGGGATCTTGGCGTTTGATGTCGTAAAGCTTCTCGCCGTACTGGATATAAGTTCAGCATCGTAGGACAAATCAGTGCGATTAAGAAGTGTGAATACCTCTTCGCAGAGATCAACCATTTCTGCTAAAGCCTGTCGCTCCTTGCCTTTAACACACGTAGTCCAGATGCCCATGTCACCCACTTCCAGACTCCTGCCCTTTATGGCCTCGAGTTTGGCCTTCTGGTGAGGCGTCTGCCATCTGCCATTACTACCGCCCTGAAAAATGGTAAGATATTGAACATATAGGCTAGAGGCGGTTAGGTATATAATCTCACTTTGCTTTTTTTAACGGGACGACCGTCGGACCCATTAGAGGGAGGCTGTTTTCTCTTCTCAGAAGAATCCATGGCTCGGATGGGGGTAGTAAATTAGGATTGAAGGATGGAACTTCTGCTGATTTGACTCGAGCTATATTATGAATCGGAGTTTGATCGTGATGCTTGTAATTGCGATTTAATTGCAGAGGCAAGAGGTACATAACATAGCATAAGTTTATGATTATGGTGGTCACGTGGGTAACACGTGCATATACCACCTAATGTGGGTTTTTGATGTGGATATCTGGAAGTTCATCCTTTATGTATTATTTGAACCTAGAGATTCCCCTCTACATTAGATTTGCCTCGCCCTCTCCCCTTACTCAATGACCAAATATGAATAAAGGGTAACATGAGTCTCATAATCCATTCCCTCCAGTTTTAACCCAAGTCCATGGTCCTCTTATTGTATCCATCTAGTTATTCAATTATATCTCTAGCCTCACCCTATTATCATCTATAGGATTCTATCTTCAGCTAAGATCTATTCCAACCATCACCACTCTTCCAAGCGCGGAGTAACATATCCATATCATCCCAGTAAAATACAATACACTGAATTCCTTATAATATATACATAGGTATCATGTCCGTCCCTTGATTAATATTTATTTGTGACAGCCATCTTTTGTTCATAATTCCAGTTCTGATCTAACTCGTCATCCCACGTTAGACTTCAATCCTCCTCTTCGTAAATCTTAACATTATCCGCATACTCGCGAATATTACTAACGATAGAGTCTTCAATCACGGAGCCCTTTCCAGCTACTACGCGTAGGATTAATTCATTAAGCTTCTGTCGCCCCAGGATATCCACGTGGTCTGCCGTATTGGGCCCTCCACGAGGATTAAATCTTTCAGGTTCGTGAGGCATTTCCACGACGGTGACTTTAGCGCCTGCTGGGTTATATCGCTTCATACGCCAGCCCTTGGAGCACATGTAACCGCTGCTTAGAAGGTTTACTGTGCCGTCGCCCTCTCCCATAACGACACCATGATCAATTTCATCAACGGTTAGGGCTGTATCGATGGTAACATTTAAGTTTGTGAACGCCGGGTATTCCGGGCTGCGGTAGTAGTATGCTCGCTCAGTCGGTTTCCCCACGCCGTAAAAACAATAAATCTTCAAGTTTGGAGCTAGGGGTAACCGCGTCTCCAGGGGATTGACCCATTTGCGATTGTCAAGCTCATTAGCTTCTACCTCGGCAGTGGTATGAGCTACTCCATGAGAGAAGCTCTTCTTGACCTGATCTTGGTACCAATCATCGGTCGTGTCCATGAGATATTTCATTGAGTCGCTAACGGTGAAGTTTCGATCCGGCGTAGTCCAGTTAACACCACGACGGAAGTTTAAAAATGAGCCAAACGAGTTCTTCTGCCCGGGTTGGTCATCTGGTGCCCATGTTAGATTCCCCCAGACCGCGTCTCCGCCAAGCGGTAGCATAGCCGACATTCCCGGCATCGCTCGAAATATTTCGGCTCGTTCATCTTTGCTGAGGAACTTCTCGAGCCCGTATACCGCAAAGGAATTAAGCTGCGCTGTATCGCGCATCTCGCCGGAGAGAATGGCGGTCACATCTTTAACTGCACCCAGCATACATCCACTAATATTGATCCGGGCTTCGACATGACGCTCGACCCAATCGTCACCGCCTTTACCGCCTTGTGCAGATGCTACCCAATGGAAGAAATAGAATAAGACTTGGCTGCCCATACTGTGGGATGCAAGAACCACCTTTTGACCAGAGAACTCGTGTGCCAGCTCCACATAGCTTTTTAACCTCGTAAAGTATTGGTCCCGAATCTCGAGATTTTGATACGTCAAGCGCCAATCGTAAGCAGCCGTGAATGAGTTAGTTGGGTCGTAGCCTAACGATGCCAGATTCTCCACGATTTTACTCCAGATCCAGTACCCCGTAATGAAGAAGTCGGTCGCATCAAAGCCCTGCGCAGCTCTCAATTTGATATTCGGCGGATCTAATCCGGTTTTCTTATCCAACATGATGTGCTTCTTCCATATCTCCTTATCCAGAACCAACGCTCTCATCATAGTCCAGCTACCCCAGAGCCGCTTTCTAAAGTACGGACGAGAGATATTGGCAGTGCCCCAAGATTCGAGGCCTGTTGAGATGACACCGGGAACCAGAATGACGGGATGGTGAACGCTAAGCCCTTCGGTCCGGGCTTTCAGCCCTACAGAAAAGGAATCGTAGCTATCGACAAAATCCCGCTCACCTTTCTACAAATCATAGAGCTTATTAGTTTAGTCGGACCATTTTTGAAGGCAGAGACGTACAATAAGATCCCTCATATCCTTAACCAGACCCGCTGGTAACACATCAAGAAAACTGTCCACACTAAGATCACCAATCTCCGGAAGTTCAATTAAGTCATTATTCTTAGCCAGGAGGCCGGCAGCTATAAGACCGAACAAGCTACCCATTAAGAAAATAAATGTATTACGCCTCTTGCCCGTCTTCGGCTTACGTTCATGATGTATGATCTCGACCTTGTCGACCGGCTTATCCGGACTTTCGTCTCTCGGTGTAGGCGCCACTGATAACGAGGATTCGGATGAGTTATCGGCGGCGAGCGCCCTGCGTCGGAGAGTTGATGCCATCGTCGGGCAGGCCTACATAACCAGGCAGAAAAGCTCGGTGTGTAAAAGTGGACGGTGGACGGTGGAGAGAGGGGAGAGGTGAGAAGAAGCAAATCGGACACGGAACCGCAGCGGCGCTGTCGGGATGGGGCTTGATCGTCGATAAATGGGACCAAGCAAGCAACGTCAGCTACCGTATTGTCGAGCGGTATGGAACTTGGGGAAGAGAAAGGTTTGCTCTGTTAGGCTCGCGGGTCGTTCATGGCTGAAAGCTAAAAATAAAAATAAAAAAGCTGTACCTGATCAACGGTACTAATTTGTAGCAGGGGCGGAACATTTGAAGTCTAGAGTCTAGACAGAAACAATGGCATTGAAACTGGTAACATTTTTAACCATTTTTGACGTCAGTACATTAGATAGTGGGTCCCCGCTACCATGTGCTGCCTTCTTTCTTCAAGCATCAACCAATCAGCACTCTAGAACGGTAAGAAGGTTCAGAAGGTTTCAGGCCGTTGGCCAGTAGCGCTTTCGGGGTTTTGGTCTTCTGGTACCACTGCATGACAAGCATGGATTACATTTAAACTCCATCTAAACTCAAACCGGGCGGCCCCGCGGAGCTATTCCCATCCTAGAGAGCTCGAAGGACCCCCGTTGTAACCCAGTACGTGAAAACAATTCTTTTTTAGCTTGCATGTGAAAGCGGGCCGTCTTGTCTTGTCATCTTTTGTCTCAATCTATTACTGTAACGGACCATCTGTCCGTCTTAGTCAACTCGTGTGTTTCTAGTATATCAGCCATCATAAAGCCCCCCCCGGTTTCTCAGCGGCGCGCCTCTTAGAACTTACCTTCGACTCCATTCCGCTATTGACCCTGTGCATACCAAGTTTACAAGCCCGACGGACGATACCGATAGGCGCTTAACCCTCTTGGATCTCTTGGTACCGACAGACCTTCGTACCCAGCCCGTAGAAAAGCTATGGAAATAGCTCGCGCAAAAGAGCTTCCGGGGGAGCTCTTATATATACAATACGAACATGCACTAGAAGAAAAATATCTACCCGCTATTCGGGCCTTGATTTCGAAAGATCTCAGCGAGCCCTACAGCATATATGTTTACAGATATTTCTTGTACCAATGGGCTCACTTGTGCTATATGGTAAGCTTATGCACGTGTTATTCGTACTACCATTAGGCGTTCTACTAATATTCCGATGCCCCAATATTAGGCACTTAATCCCGTCGATAAGTCTCTTATGGGTGTCATTATCTGCAAACTCGAACACCATGCCTCGCACTCACCCCCGACTCATCGAGGTTATATAGCTATGCTCGCGGTATCGTCTGCCTTCAGGGGTCACGGCATAGCCACGGCGTTAGTAAGAATGGCGATCGATGCCATGGCTGAGCGCCATGCCGATGAAATTGTCTTAGAGACTGAAGAAACGAACATACCAGCTATGAGACTATACGAGCGATTAGGTTTCTTACGATCGAAAAAGCTCCATCGATACTATCTAAATGGCAACAGCGCTTATAGGCTTGTACTGCTCTTGAAGTCGGCAGACCTCGAACCTGGCCAGCAACCCGACTAGAGGCGGGATGGATTGCTTCGATATCTTCGCTTGAACTGGGGGTATATTCTGAACGGAACATGACTAGTATGTGGAACGTACGTATTCTTGATAGCGTTTCGGACTATCAGCAATATATTCAGTCGATGGATGACTACGAAGGAGTAGGACATGCGAATAAGGCGCCGCAAGACCGGGCTGTGGAATTTTGGATGACATTAGCATGGAAGGTCAATGCATTGGTGGCGTTAAATGGATAGGTAGTAAGTAAGCATTAGGGTCCTATTTGGGTCACATTCAGATTAGTACTTGTCCTTCTCAAAGTCTCTGATTATGCATGAAGCGAGCTTTCGATGGCAAAGGGTATCTAGACGAATTCAACTATTTTCCGTGAGAACTCATATTTCTCTATTTTCCTCGATTCTGGCTGTCTACTCCCACCTTACCCTTTCTTAAGCATAGAGGTACTATCGTATATAGAGGCCCTTATCTCCCAAGGATTGCCACGTGCTATGCCTAGGTAAGTGTACACATCTAATCTGGTAAGCATCATCCCGAGAGAAGCTGTTCAGATAATAAACTTACCAGGTTTGTAGTAAATTGGTCGGTCCCTAGCCTGGATGAGCCCGAGCTGCTTCAACTTCTCGGCGACCCTCTTAACGTCCTTCGTATCGGAGAAATCGGCGGTATAGACGCAGATGAGCCGGTCCGTCCTCTTATCAGTAGTCGATCGTGGCGCGACCTTGGCGCCAATACCAAGCTCATTATTTGCCGTGGCTTTGGCGACAGTCTCCCAAATCTCGTTAACCTGGAAGACAGAACAGAAGAGCATCCACTAGCATATATCAGGAACTAGTATCAGGAATGATGATTCAAGCATATACTCATATGTGATGTACTGACCTTTCCACATCTCACACGTAGCATCCTTGCGAGGTTGAGAATATCTTTGGCTGCGTCTAACCCGGCTTTCCGACACTCTCGAGTGATAGCACCTGGCTGGTTTCCGGACCTCTTGCATGCGTCGATGAATTCCGAGGCAAGATGTAGTCTTGCCATCCCGCCCTCAACCACACTAGGTAAGTCTGCACCAACCTCTTCGGGAGCTTCATCTTCGCCGCCAGGGATCATTTGATTACTTGCTTCATGTTTCTTTTTGCGATTGATGTATGGATTACAAACCCAAATCCAAGGGTCTTCTGGAGTTTCGTCTGTTGTTGCGGGCGGCACGCGTTGTACGAACTCTTCAATGGTCTCGGTGAGTTGCCAGGCGTTCTTAAGGCCGGCATACGGGTTATGGAGATGAGATATATCCACGGTTTCCTTCTTTTGCGCCTGCATCTTGAGCGGTGTATCGAGAGTTTGGTATTGTTCCCACCAAGCTTCAACGTCGAATTTCTTTACTTTGGCTTTGAGATCTGCCAGAACTTCGTCGTCGCCTAAGGCCGCGAATTAGTAATCTGGCGCGTTAAGTTAGATAGACCGAATATCTCCACCATAGAAATCAGAGTCCTCGGAACTCATGGTCGCAATGCAAAATAGATGAGTGTACCTAGGTACGCCAAATTGATGAAGAGTAGTTCCTACGATGAGAATAAGAAGAGAATAAATGAAAGAATTATAACAAATATTGTATGTAGTTATAACTAGTCGAAGTTAATTGTCAATGATTCAATGATACGAGTCAGACTTAGAAAATTGGAAACATGAGGTAACTAGGTATCTATCTGAGCAGATTGGAAGGCTAAGTAGTTGTTAAGTAGTTCAAGACCATTTAAAAGTCCTTGCTCTCCATGAGACCGGGGGTTGTTGGATAACTGACGTGCTCTTGCCAACCCAAACGTCCGACTCCCCTCGTTCTTGCAGCTTGCAGCTTCGATTGTTACCACGGTATTTCCATAAGAGGAACATTGAAATGGCTGCAGTCTGCAAGTGCAGGAACCAGGCGCTCGGGCACTAATTGGACCAGGTCCAATAATAAGGCTACCTACACTATGTATGCTTCAGGGTTTATACCTACAGCGGGTATGATTCCGAGCCGCTCTTTTAGAACCGGTATGCATGCTGTAGCTGTATAAGTGCCCCACTTTTGGTGTAAGTCTCCACACTCTCTTAAAAAAAGCAACTTCAAAATTTGAGGGGGAAGATTTCTCTCTCGACATCTACGCGCTACTTTATTGCAGCACGTCTTATATCTCCATGAACACTAATTGCTGACATATTCTCCGTTGACGAATATAAACGTGGTAGAAACGCCCCCTAAAAGTGCAACGTCATGGATACGCACGGACGCGCTATTACGCCGCTCAAATCATTAACCCTAGACCTCCCCCCAAGCTGTATCGAATTCTGTCCAGGTCATCCGGACTACTTTGTTGTTGGCACATATAACTTACAGAAAGAAGATAACGCAGATACGAGCGTTTTCGCTGGAGATGACCAAGAACAACAACAACAAGTAAAGAAAACTCAGACTCGAGATGGTAGTCTTGTTCTCTTTAAGTTGTCAGAGACTGCAGATATGTAAGCTATATATACCCGTTATCTCCATTATTCAATTTTAATATCAAATTTACCATCGGATAGAAAACACGTACAAACTGTTCTCTACCCTTCTGCTCTCCTTGACCTTCATTTTCATCCTAGTCGAGAAAGCTCTACCGTGCTAGCTGTCGTTTCTAGTACTGGAAGCCTGTCATTCTTTAATCTTTCCGCTTCAGAAGAACATCCAGCTTCCTTAAAGGAGATCGTTACTCACAAGCCACTTGGTGATGATGAGGGAGTTCTCCTCCTATCATGCTCGTGGCATCCACATATTCCTGAGCTCCTAGCAATCACGACCTCGAACTACGAAGTCCATATCCTGCATGTTACTGACTCGTGGGATATTTCTAAGACGAGTGATGGGCCTGTGATAACCCACACTCTTGAGGCTTGGACTGTGGCATTCTCATCGTTGACACCAAGCAGGCCTAGCTCGAATGCGGCAGGTTCTCCAGAGGAACGCTCGGAGCAGTTTGCAGTATTCTCAGGTGGTGACGATTCTAAGCTCCTTACTACAAATTGTGCATATTACTCAGCTCGCATTGACACTGAAGAGAGCCTGGTTGAGGCTTCATACCCGCCAATTGCGTTCAAGGGGCATGAAGCAGGCGTCACTGCTATACTCCCCCTAAATCTGCAAGTTTCATCGCTTGATTCCGTGGTTGTTACTGGAAGCTACGACGACCACATTAGAGTATATTCGTTCGATGAGCAGAGAAGGGGAATGCCTCCTTACAGAGCCAGATTATTAGCAGAGCAGAACTTGCAAGGAGGTGTATGGAGGCTTAAACTGATAAAATTAGAAAAAGCTACGGAGAACACCAGGGGAGTCAGCCAGCGTTGGAAAGTCTTTATTCTTGCCTCATGCATGCATGCGGGGTCACGGGTACTTGAAATCTCAGGTGATACGGAGACTGAACTTTGTGAGATCAAAATACTCGGACGGTTCGAGGAGCACAGGAGTATGAACTACGGGAGCGATTTTCAACCGGGTTCCGAAACGGGAGGTAGAAATCTCCGGTGTGTATCAACGAGTTTTTATGATAAGTTATTGTGTTTATGGGAATATTAATCTTTATTATACACTTATACACAATCTCTCTATCTTCAAATAAGTCGGTATGGTTTGATTTATGGTTGAAACAAAATGAGAGCTATGCTTGACAGAATGAAGTAGACAAACGGATGTCGTAGGCTGTGGAGTACAGCAGCGCCATGGGGCGTCGTAGGTGAAATTTTGGAATTGTTCTAGTGCTTCCAGAACAGCGGCTTCCCTGCTGAACCAAATAGCTAATTGGTCATGCGGATAAGTACATAATAGTACATGATAGGTAACAAGCCTATGAAGGTGGGGTTGCTGTATGGCAGGGCAAAGCAGGTACGCCCTGATAAACAATGCTTTAGTATATGCATTGTATGTACATGGCAGCATGATTATACTGCGCGGAGAGGTGAAAATGTACCTGCCTGAGCTTAAGGACTACACTAGAAGGACTCAGGACTGAAGGTGGATCCACCAATAGTCGCGTGCAGAAGGCACGGTCTATGTACTTGCCGCGGAGCTGAAGTAACATTTACCACATCACCTGTAAATTTCCGCCAGAAACACGAACCTCAATCACGGTACCTTAGTTTAGCGCATAATTTATAGTAATCGTTCCACCTCCAACCCTGTCTCAAGCAAGAACATATCGAGAATTCGAGAATTTGAGAATTCGTCATTCTATCAACAAAGGTGCTCGTTACTGAATTGTCATTACTAATTCAGTAGACCCTCACCCTCACTGCCTTTCCATCTTTTGTTCCACCTCGTAACCAATCTTACCTATCTAGACTTCGCCTGATGATTCACACCTGAAGCAAGGTTAACCTATAGCTCCCGACAGCTCCCGCCCACCCCCTCCAAGATCGTCGCCGACCGCGCATCTCCCAGTTCCCCCAACACGATGGCTACACATACTGCGATCAATGGTAATATGGGATCGGGCGGCGTAGGTTTTGGCGCCGACAATATAGAGGTCCTGCCCAAGATTCACAAGGCACTAGAGGTCATTCATAATCCTCACTCTCCCAACGATGCACGCCAAGATGCCCAGATGTTCCTCGAAGACGTAAAGAATAATGGAAATGCCTCTTTTTACGGCTTCCATCTCTCCGTCGACAAGGCTCAGTCCCCTGTGGTGCGACATTATGCTCTATCGCTCCTAGAGTATGTAATCAAACACAAATGGGCTGATTACACCGAAGATCAGGCTACCGATCTGCGTAACGGCGTCCTAGAGCTCTCCCGAGGCATAACGAGAGATGACCCGGCTTACTTGAGAAACAAGATTGCCCTGTTATGGGTTGAGGTCGCAAAAAGGACCTGGGCCGGAGAGTGGATGGATATGGACGCACTACTTTGTCAACTGTGGTCAGGCCCTGCGGTACACAAGGAGCTTGTCTTATGCATCTTAGAGATGCTATCCGACGATATTTTTAGTGGCGATGACACCGTAGTAGCAGTTCGCGAGGGTGTCCTTAGCAAGGCATCTGTTGAGATCTTCACGCCTGCCGCTGTCCTGGTAGAGACATTCCCTAACCGGCAAGCAGGGCCGGATGTGAGATGTGGTAGTGAAGGCTGGCTTGCAAGAATCACAGACCTATTAAGTCGTTGCTTAGCGGAAGATATACAGAATGACTCGGAAATACGAAGCTGCGCAATTCGGGCTCTCGGCGTACTCTATTCTCTGCTGCCCTGGGTCGTCCCCAATGCCGTCACTGCCACCCAGTGTGTACCGGTAATGTGCGAGGGACTTCGTGCAAACCACATTGAAGTCCAGAAGGTAAGTCGTGGCTCTGCCTATCTTATATGTACCCGTAGCTAATCGTCAAAGGCATCTCTGGAAGCCCTACACTCTCTCTATTCGAGAACAAGTTTTGTCGACCAGGAGTTTATAGATCTCGTTGTCCCGCTATACAGCAGCAAATATGTCGACCTATTCAGACAACTTTTCCAGTGGTCGCTTGTTGATCCAGAGGATATTGATGACGATAAATATCAGTTTTCTAAGAAACTATCCGAGGTAACTTTGACAGTGAAGGTCTACTTGCTATTCCCGCTAATTATATAAAGGTGATTTCGTTCCTGGGTACTTATATGGACCGACGTTTTAATGTTCTACCAAACGACCCAACTCGCATCGACTTCCAAGGATTCTTGCAACTTCTTCTGCTGGTTGCCCAGAGTCAGAGCTTGGTAGTTTCAATCCCTGTCCTTGTAACATGGACTCGACTCTTGAATAACGAGTCTCTCGGACGAAATATTGCAAGTCTTCCTTCCCTCATTGGTCCTCTTCTAGAATGTTGCAGTTCGAGGCTTGTTCGATACGAAAGCTTGCCTGAAGATACCCAGGATCCTACGTTTCTATTCCTATTAGAAGATACGGACACGATCCCCGAGCGCCATGCTTTCCTGGGAAACTACAGACGCTATAGCTCAACAGTGATCGAGCTCATCGTTGAATTGCAGACGCCTGATGCAATGCAACACATCTTGGGCCAAACGGATAATATCTTAGAGCATCTTTATGATGAGGGGCCACCCTTTAATAGTATGTCTTGTTCGAGTTTGTGAAGATATCGGTCTAACTCTTAGCAGTGGCCAATTATACCAAGACATCTCCACAGGTCCTCCGGGTTGATGCCCAAGCCACAGTAATTGAGGCGGCTTTAAAAGGATACGGAAGGTGGCGAGAATTTGTTGTTGCAGATGAGGTTAGTATGAGCACATGTGTTTTCCATTTGACATCGAAATCTATGCTAATGTTTCGTAGCAGCAAAATGCGGTAGAAGCAAATTTAGAGTCCTGGTGTAATCGTCTGCTGGCGATGAACTTTGAGGTACGCACTCCTATTTTGGCGTTCTGCAGATGTATACTTATTGCTATAGGACCCTCTTATCCGAAAACGAATTCTAGAGCTTCTCGTCGCTTTCTCCGTTAATGCACTTCACCGGAATGCAGGTTTCATGCTGAAAGTCCTAGAACACATTCTTGTAACTTGGCCAGCTACGCATCCTGATTACCGAGTATACACGGATGCAATTAAAGAGTTGCAGACGGAGAGCATGGTTGAGCTTCAAAGACTTGCAGCCAAGATGCCCAACCATTTGCTGGTGAGAATACAATGCTATTTGTTTTATGCACCTAACTATATATATTGACAAAGACTCTAGGATGTTTATGACCAGATAGAAGCAAAGGTAAACGAGATGATTGCTTCGGGGACACTAGACGAGAAACGTCAGATTACGTATCAGACTTTTCTATTTACTATAGTGTAAGCTCCTAATTCTGTGCCATCATGAAGGTGTACTAACTAGCCTAGCCACCGCTCTACTCGGCTCGACCAGGCTACGAAAGCCCAGAAGCTACGAGGATTCATTGACCCCGTCGTGGCTCAATGGCAAAATGACCGTCTCAAACAGGCGTTGTCATCATACGCGGGCTTTTGCGAGCTCATGGCTCTTGACAAAGCACAGAACTATCTTGCACGAATGCAGATGCAAAATATCTCGGATTGGGGTTCGGTTGAGCTCGACGCCGAGGGACAAGCCTTACAGGCCGAGCTCGAAGAGCGGCAAACTGTTAGGACATCTCGTACCTCGTGTTGGAAATTATTTGCTAATGCAGCGTTCAGGTTCTCCCACTACGACCTACAAAATCATTCCTGACTTGTTCCGCCGATAAGGTAGAGAAGGATAGCGACCCGTACCAGGTTTCATGCGCCTTGTGGCAGGATGGATTTCCGGTTATCCTTCCTCAGTTGCTTAATTTCTTGACGTAAGAGTCCTACGGCTTTCACATGGTGGCAAACAGACTAACATTTATATCTAGCCATGCGCACGCTTCGCATACCCCTGAAAATTGGACGGGATTACCACCAGAGATGAGATCAATCGTTGGCCGCGTCCTTACTGACAGATTCTGGCAAGCCGGTATTTCGGAAGGTAGTAAAGATGAGTTTTATGCTCGCGTGCTTGAGAAGAAGCTCACACTAGAGGGGCTTGCCTCGTCGATTCGAGGTTCTATACGCTTTGTGCGCGAATCGTGCTACGCAATAATCTACTGCATGACACGCCTAGATGTGCAGTTCTACGGCTTTAACGAGCTACCAGGACCCTTGGCTCATGCTCTCCTTGCCGATTCCTTCAGTCTTTCAGCCCACCAGTTAATCAATGTGCTTAATCTAGTTAGATATCTGGTGGACAATTGTCCGGTTCCTCTGCGAGAGCATTTCCTCCCTCCAATTCTAGCTGCGTGCTGTCAGCAGATGGATGCCAGGATCAACTCCGAGTGGATGAAGCTTGAGCATCAGCAGGCGGTGAAAACGGGAGGAGACGCTCTGACCGAAGAGATGAAGGCGGAAAGCATCCTAAGGCAATTGACGAACGCAGCTGTAATGATGGTTGCGGACTTCTTAGACCCAGCCCGGCTCAGTAAGTTTAACTCATTAGCGACCTATCTGCATGGAACATATATTCTAACTTTTAGCCTAGACGGCAATGATGCAGGAAATCACCGAACGCTCCGAGAATTTTGTTTGGAGCATTCCTCCGTTGTAGAGCCCCTCTTGATGTTCTGCACTCATGCGATAAGGTGGCATGATTCCCGGTGTTGCGGCATCATGCTGAGGGTTTTCCGCTCCATTATTCCCGACTTCACAACAGGCCTTGCACCTGCAAGTACAGCTGCGGCCATCCGCGAATATATATCGTCGGATGTTGTAAAAGCATGTATTACGTCTATTCACGAACCGTATTTTGTTGACTTGCAAAAGGAATTTGCTACTCTAATCGCCACTGTCCTGGTAACATATAACGACTACACGAAGACAGCCAGGGATGTTCTACTCTCGCTTCCCAACGTGAAGCAGGCTGACGTCGACAGTGGGATAGAATACATGATGAGGAAGGAAACAAGCTCTCGTGGTCAAAGAGCAGTCGTCCTTCAGTTGCTTGGTGATATAAAGGGGGTGAGCGTGTCAGAGATGGGCAAGTTAAGCAAAAGCACCAGAATGCCTACTAAGGCCCCTTCGGCAAAGAGACCATCCCGCAGTAGAATGGCCCAGCAGTTCATGACCGTACCAAGCCACGATGCGTCGAGGCCGGGCGTCACGGGTAACGGCGGAGAGAACGGCAATGGAGACAATCTAGAAGGTCTAGCCAGCCTCTTTGATTCGTAGCACGTATTGGGTAGCCGATACTGCATTCGAAGACTGGATTAGTCGTGGTCAACTTATTCCTCGTGCTTTTGTTGTATACTAAGCTCGTATGCTCGTTGATACTGGTATACCAGCAAAGATAAATTGGTAAGAGGTGGAGGCGTGATATTGGTGCATTGATCACTGCCAGAGCCAGGACGGTACCGGCGATAAGGTCAGACAGTCAGACCAGTTTGCCAGAACGTTGCTTTGGACCATTGACGCTGACATACCGTGGCAGGATCCTTTTCCTGGGTCCGGACACTCGTGGCCCGAATGTAAATATAGTTGATATGTTACTGAACTTTAGGCATACCTTAGTTAAGTAGCATTTGCGGGCGTTTAAACTTAGCAATAAACATGAAAAAAAGAATTCATATACGAATAGTTAAGGAGAGATAGAGCCTAGTGCTTAACAAGTTTAATAGTAGGTGATACTGTTTTAGGCATATTAAATAGATTTGGTAATTACAGTTGCGTTACCCTCTGGTTAGTTATTTAATATTAATACACGTTTTGTTGATACACGTTTTGTTGATACACGTTTTGTTGGGTTAGTTATCTTTTTATAGCTGTTTCTTTTACAAGACATACCATATGGATCATAGAGTCTTGCAATAAATATGTGACTACCTAAGGTACGTGGTTTAAGACTTACAGAAGCTTCAACAAGATTACACGATTACCTAGATACATTAAGAGTAAACCGAAAGATGCCCGTTTAAGAAACTTGCAGGTTCGGTCTTTTGGTATATTTTTAAACCTAGAGGCTTAGTAATTAAGATATGTGACGAAGGGGGATTAAGGGGTAGTAGTAGATATATTCTCAGATGTTTACTCCAAAGTTCTCTTGTATGCTAAGCACGGGAGGCTATGCTCGAAGTTGGTACATCTGATCAGCATTCTTCATTGTGTAAAAACTTGTAATCATTCATGTAGTAAGATTCAACCTGACGGGTCGAGTCAGGTGGTATTATGAAATTTGTTTCTTACTAAGTTGGCGACGTTGGTCTATGAGGTAGGTATGTACTATACGAAGTACTGTCATAGTAAAATGATGGTACAATACTTGGGTAAATTAAATTGTACCTATGGCCCCGCAGTTTAATTGTGATAACCGTTAGATTAATACTTAATAGTTACACAAGCTGCATAGATAACAGAACATCCTTGGCAGTTATGAGTTCATAAACCTAAAAATGGCTTGTGCCCGACGCGGGGAATTCGTGGATGACCCATGGCGAAAATGGAAAATACCCTTAGTCTGGATTTAACCTGCTACCCTGCCCTTTTTTTCCTTATTCATCCACTAAACCCGCCAACCCACCAACCTGCCAACCCAATTTATTGTTACAAGCACGTCTGATCGGCGGTTCAACTCGGTTTACCCTTCGCATTACATTACGGGGACCCCCAGCCACAACACGAACTCCTAGGTTCGGTTATGATTCCACATCATAGACCCGTTGGCTATTTATCATTTGTTCGTCTTATTCTATCAGTATTCGCTGCGCGCTTTCACATTCGTCCCGCTTCGTGACGCGATGCCGGACATGTTGATGGGGTTCTGATCTTCAATATGACCGACTCCGAAGACAATTTCTCGATAGAGAGCGAGGAACAATTATGGACTGGTTCGTCTCAACTACTCCTTCTACACCGAATACTCGTACTTAAAAAGGGGGGGAAAGGGGGAAATACTTAGTTATCTCATTCCCTCTAAACTCAGCTAATCTTATTTCTTATTCCTATAGAGCTGAGTAAAGTTGTCGCTACCAATTGCCCTGCCGAAGCCCACGAAACTATCGATGATGCCTTGCGATCGTGGCTGTATCTCGCGTCGCGATGCCGAGACGAATTTTCCCAGTCTGAAGATGACGTAGCCAATTGCTCGCAAATACTCCTCCATGGGAACCTCTTCTATATCAACCCGGACTACGTGCGCACCCAGATTATCTATAGTTTACTACAGGAGGATGAACCTGGACCCCTATATGTCATCGCTAATTTCCTCCTGCTCGATGGTCGGGCAGATGAAGCGACGTTCAAAAGGATGATTGAGGAAAGTTGTTTCCACCGTCTACTCGAACTGATTAACGGGCGAAAAGACAACGATCCGGGTTTACATCGACTGCTATTGGATTTGATGTACGAGATGTCGCGGATTGAACAGCTTCGCGTTGAGGATCTGCTACACGTTGACGATGGATTCGTTACTTATCTATTCGAGCTTATTGAGGATTTTTCTGATGATGCGCATGATCCATACCACTACCCCATCATCCGTGTCCTAGTAAGTTGAAAGCTACTCACGAAATACGCTTCGTAATTCATGTGCTAACTTGTCGCTAGCTTGTCCTCAACGAACAATACATGGTCGCATCCACGGCCGCGATGAATGATCCTACGCTGATTGCGCCGCTGACAAACAAAGTCGTTAAGTGCCTTAGCTTATACGGTCCGAATTATAGGACATTTGGCGAAAATATTATACTGCTTCTCAACCGCGAAACCGAGACGTCTTTACAGCTTCTCATCTTGAAGCTCTTATACTTACTCTTCACCACCAAAGCCACGTATGAATATTTCTACACCAATGACTTGCGAGTGCTTCTTGATGTCATCATCCGCAACCTTCTCGACCTCCCGGAAGAATTGATGGCTTTACGACATACGTACCTCCGTGTCATGTACCCCTTGCTTGCGCATACGCAACTCAATCAGCCGCCCCATTACAAAAAGGACGAGGTGCAGAAACTACTCAGAATACTAGCCGGATCGGGGAATACCCACTTCGCTCCAGCAGATGAGACGACTCTGAGGCTTGTAGACCGCGTATCTAAAGTCAAGTGGCTTTCCGATGAGGGTACCGGTGCTGGAGAAATCGCGCGTAAATTGCTTGGCATTAGCCTCTCACATGCGGAAACCGCCAGCAACGTTAGCGTCGTGCATGTGGCGGCGGTTATGGAGAAGCCGGGCGTTCAGACGCCGAGCCGGAAAGCTGAAGCTATAGCTAAAGATGAGGCTGAAGCTGAAACCAAAGCTAGAGTTGACAACAACGGAGTAGAAGTCAAGAATGAAGTACTCCGCCCAAGCTCCAGTCGTGGGGAAGCTAGAACGAAGGAGACATCAAAGTCAAGCAGGCCGAAGAAACCACTACCTGAGGTGCCGAAGCACCGGCACGGAGTACCGTATGTTTCTATGGGACATGAAAATAGCACTAGGAGTGTTAAGAAGGCACCACCCAAGGCGCCGCCACCGAGACGGAGAGGAAGAATCAAGCATACTACGCCTACGGAGACGGTGAGGTCTATATCAGAGCTAGTTTGAGGTTGAGGAGCTTTCCAAGAAAGAGCTAGGATGTAATTTGATTAATTATGGGCAAGGACACTCCAGCGGTGGAGATTGGACCCCGTGCCGTGTGGGAACGACCAGCAGAGAATGGCATTTTTGACATGGGAAATGGCGTACCGAGTAAGCCGATGCTTGAGAATCGATATCCCAGAGATTAGCATTTGCATAGGCGAGGCGTTTAGGAAAGGGAGGACGGGGGGAGGTTTTACTTTCTTGGAGTCAAACAAAGAATAACCGAATGACGCCTGCGCCCAATAGTCCGTAAGAAATAGTTAATGTTCATGATAATTTTAGTATTCACAACTAATAAGTGTGGGTTTCTAAGGGGGAGCTGTGATAGATTGACGAGAACGATCCTTTAATATAAGTCTCTTGGGTCTTGATGCAGAGTTGAGTATGGAGTGTTGTAAACTTGTCTCGTTTCAATATATGTATGCAGGTACGACGTAGTAATACAGCATGGCGAAGAGCGATTATACACATGGTCGCACATGGTTGTACATGGTTGTAAACTTATAATGGTAATGAGGGACGTAGGTGGCTTGTACCTCTGTTGGAGGTGGGGTATCTGGGGGGCAGTATGGGGTTATGAACAACTATTCTTGCATCTACATACTTCTAGAACTCCGAGCCAATGATGGTCCTATCAAATATCCTATCAAATATCCATATATGCAGAGTTGGGTGTGCTGCTTCTATTGGACGAGATTCAATGACTTTGATAGACGGAAACGTGCGGAACCTCGGATTCACATGCATTGCTTAGGTACGCGTATAAAAGAGATAAAGGAGTCTACCCAGATATCTGAACTGGAGGGAACCAAATATGTAAATATATATGAAAAAATATGACTCTGGTAGGTTAGTGTTTATTATATTCAACGGTTTTATACTAGCTGGATGTTCAAGGTGATAATTAATAGAATTCATGAGGTTGATTAAATGAGGCATCGGGATACAACATCCAAAACTTGATTTATATGGAAGCATGCGTTATGTAGTTGTATTAATCTTGATATGAGATCTAATGTGTGATAGTCAGTTACCTAAAGAATCAATAATATCCATGTATAGGAGACAGATGCGGATATTTCCGTATACTTCGTACATACGCTCCGACGGATAGGCTACGTCATAGGATTGTCTGACAAAGACTCGTGCAATAACGCCAAACCCCGCCAACCCGCCTAGTGGGCCGACTTTGCCGGACCCTTGCTATATCCATAGCTCGAAATACCGAATGCGGATGGTACGAACCGACAGCTGGTAAACGTATGAGGCTTTACGTGTGGCAGCGGCCAACGGTACATGCGTAAGGGCAGATCCTAGCTTAAGCTAAGCTCTTTTGGGCCTGTTTGTGAAGAGAATCGGGCACGGCAAAGCTGGGGGGAACTTGGGAAGTCGCAAAGGTGACGACAACCAGATCATCGTCACTGCGCATCCCTCCAAACTATTCTCTTTTTTCTTCCTCTTTTTCTACACTATGTCTATGTAGGGACCCGATCCTATTTTTAACATCGATACCTGTTGCTCCAGAATTCTACTACGAATTCAATTTCAATCGCAATAACTATTAGCCCCGTAAGTATGAATCGCCCTTACTTTATACCAGAGCCCAATTGAGCTGCCGCCCAACTTTCAACGATAAGGATTCCTGAATCGTGTACGAAGTACGTCGACCCCGACCCAATTTGTGACGGTCCTTTGAGCTTATCGACTAGACCTTAGTCACTTTTGATACTTCGGCTTAAACATTCAGATATTCCCGACTGTTGCAGCATAGAACAATGCCCAACGAAGTAACAACGAAGTAACTTACTACGTGTACATGATTTCTTTAAGCTAACTTTCTGGATGTTATTTAGGACTGAAAAAGCATTGATTTAACAACAAAAGTCAAACACGCCATTCGTTACTATCTATTCTTTGCAGCCACCTCAAACTCTATGCACCTCGCTACTACCCACGAACCTACGTTATCAGTCTGTGATCAGTCTGTGCTACTTAGGCGCGCGTTCTAAAAGATACCAAAGTTCTAGGCAAGGTACGCTAGTGAAACTTTGTAAGACTGATTGAGACTGTTTAAGCCTACGGGGTTGCCGCCATCTATTCATTAGTCTTATTAAGCCTTCTCAGCTGTATCCTCTAACCGGCACTTATATCTAGAGTTACGTCAACGCTTTCATGTCTGCCAAGCCGTTACTACCTCTCGCTCCGCCCACCATCGACCCCAATATGATGAACCAGCCCGCCCCCACCATAGATCCCGTAGCATTCCCTCCCAACGGTAACGCAGCCGGTTACTCGAGGCCCAATTCCGGTGGCTACTTTCCGTATCACCAACCACAAAGACCTCAAGTAGATGACCAAACTCTGTCCAACACTCTAGCCAATTCTCATATTACACCGCCCCAGAACGATAACTACCAAACTGCGAATCGCCAGACTAAGTTTACCGAGGAGTGGGATTCGAGTATGAGAGGGGATTCAGTCGTCGACGGTCCAACATCCCAGCAGAATAATTACCAGCATTCCACCATGCAACGCTCCAACTCGATATCCTCGCGACCCGAAATCCTTAATACCGGCGATGGCGCAAGCACTCACGCTATATCCCTATCGAGGGGGAATACCCTGAGGAAGAAGAACTCTCTTCGTAGGAGTGGTAGTCTCAAGCGCAGCAGCAGTCGCAGGAGCATGAAGGCCGGCAGCGTGAGGAGCCTCGCTTTGCAAAGTTCGCACGATACAGACGAGGTCCATAGCGCATTCTATTGCCCTGTGCCGACTTCGGGCAGCCCGACAGAAATACTGGCCGAGAGATTTCAGTGTAGGTTGCGACGTCTTCTACGACATGTCCGTCTCGCATATGTTTCGTTGCCACTAACGTTAATGTGTAGCTTGGAGGAAGATTCTCAAGGATCTCATTGCATATTTTAGGGAAATACAATCGCACTACGAACATCGATCCAAGTCGCTTCTTAAGCTTGCTAATGTACTTAACAATACGTCAACGCCGCCCGGCTTCCTCTCGTCCGGTGGGCTAGATGATGCGCTCCAGATCTTGAGAGACCATCACAGAAACATGATTATAGAGGCCAACAAAGCCAAAGAAATCGAACAAGATGTCATCCTAGCACTAACCGGCTTGAGAAGCGATCTTAATCAGAAGATAAAAGAGATAAGGGGCCTATCGAGCGACTTTAAGAACTCGGTCGAGAAGGAAATGGACAGTACCAGAAGAGCTGTCAACGCATTACAAGAAGTCCTAGGACAGAGCGAGTTAGATTCCTCTACGACTACTGGAAAGCAAGATCCATATCTCTTGCGACTTGCGGTGGATCGCCAGCTTGAAAGGCAGCTCGACGAAGAGAACTATTTGCACAAGGTAAAACAATTCCCAATACACATAACTGGGTAAGATCAAAATCTCACAGAAGGACAGGCATACTTGAACCTCGAGTCGTCAGGTAGAGAACTTGAATCGATCGTCGTCGGCGAGATTCAAAAATCGTACAACGCGTACGTAGGTATTATCAAGCGAGAAGCGGACGCGGCGTACAACGCCATCGACGAACTCCGCGCCGGCCCCATTACGATGCCTAAGGACCACGAGTGGATCACCTTCATTCAGAGCAACTCGCAGTTCGTCGATCCCGACGTGCCCCTGAGATCCGCCGAGCATATCCATTACCCGGGTCGAGATCATTTTGCTTGTCAGGAGATCCGTGCAGGTCTACTCGAGCGCAAGAGCAAGTACCTGAAGAGTTATACGGCCGGATGGTGAGGTGTTCCTTTTTGAAATCATAAACTGCGAGTAGGCTAACATGAAGTGTAGGTACGTATTATCGCCCACTCATCTGCACGAATTCAAATCTGCAGACAAGACTCAAGCACCTGTCATGTCCCTGTATCTTCCCGAGCAGAAGCTGGGATCTCACTCCGCAGAAGGTGGCTCTTCCAACAAGTTCATCCTCAAGGGGCGACAGACTGGGGCTATGCACCGCGGTCATACCTGGGTCTTCCGTGCCGAAAGCCACGATACTATGATGGCTTGGTATGAAGATATCAAAGCTCTTACCGAGAAGTCTCCCGAGGAGCTTAGCAACTTTGTCCGGGGCCACTCTCGCGCGTATTCGCGGACGTCGCAGCGCACTACGAGTTCGGATGGCATAGTAGACGATGAGGATGACGAGCCGTTCTCGGTCGATCCCGCCGTTGCGAGCCCAGGTTCTCGACAGGACTCTATGCAAAACAGGCCTGAGCCAGGAGGTCGGTTTCCATCCGACATACAAGTCAACGCACAGAGGGGCTTACAAGTACCGCGCTCTCCCAGCAGTGTCGGCTCAGGGCTTGTAGGGAACGAATACGCACTTAGCGGCGCCAACGGGAGCGTCAACCAAGATCGAGAGGTAATCGCAGCCGCGGGCGCATTACCGGGTAGCGGCATGGGCGAGCCTTATCCTACGAACCGGGCATCGCAGATAGTTCCAGTTGGCCAGTCCTACGGGAACACTCCAAGCGTGAGATTGGACCAAGCACACAGCCAAGCAGTAGTTATTGACCATGAGGCGCGAGCAGATGGTGTAAATCCTTATAACGGAGAACCTATCCAGCAAGAACAGCAGCAGCAGAGGGGACTGCCAAGCCGGCCCGTCATCATCCCCGGTCCAGCGTCTAACAGCACGTCGCAGACCCTAGAGACTACCACCAGCCAAGACTCGGGGAACCCCGGCGCATACGAGATGGCTACCGACGTACAACAGAAATATACGCCGAGCGCGGGGGCGGCGTATAGTATATCAAGCAAGGAGCAGCCGCAGATCATCGGCGCAGGGAATGGGTTCGTGAAGCCGCTGCCAAATCCGGCTACAGGTATGCCATTTTCGGGGCAGAATGGACAGCCGAGGCCGTACGGTGATAGGACGAGTAGTAACCCTCACGTCCCTGGTGAGTACCCGCGAGGCACACCGGGGAGCATACCGGGTGCTTATTAGATGCCTGGAAGGACTTGATTAGCGCCTCGGACAGAACGGATATCCTGTTGCGGTAGTGGATTGAGGATTCTGCGTTACACAGCCTCGTGTTCCCTCCTGGATCGTTTGGATAAGGCGAGCGAGCGCTGCTTTTGGTTTATTCTCGATAGAAAGGGGACAGTCGAACTGTCTCTATAGACGACGGGACGCTGGAAGTAGACCTTTTTCATTTATCCTTCTTTTTCTTTTCCGCGCGGCGTTGGTTTCTCTCGTTTTTTTGTATACCAGAGCTTGCCGAGGTTGCAAAAAAGGGGACGGGGCGGCGGCGGGTCGAATCCTTGTTTTGGTTTGTTTTTCCTTGCGATGGGATACTTGGGGTAGCGGGCAGATAGATACCCTGCTCGTACGAGTTGCGCAAAGCATGCAATGGGACTTGAAGCTGTGTTGTGCGGGTGGGTTGGGTCAGGAGTGGGATATGAATATTGAATATTGATATAAGTATGGATAGGGTATGGGTATGGGTATGGGTATACGCAAACGCAATAAGAAATATGATTTTTTTTTTCCTGTACGATTTCGAGTGTGCGGTGTTGTATTATTTGAGTGTTTGCGTGACCAGTGACTATATCGTCGTTGTGGGCGTAAAGTTGAGAAATGTCTGAGAGAAAGACGTTAAGTTACGCGATACGTCTCGTGGCTTGAGTAGATACCTTAGGTACCTAGGTATGTTTAGGAGGATGTTGGATTGAAAAGATCTCCTACTGGCTTCATTGCTGGAAATATTACTACATCGAGCGAGCCTCTTGTTTAATTTAGAAAGCCAATGTTCAGCTAAATTGTTGTGTACCTAGGTTTCTATCACCTCATTCATATATTACCGACCCCCACGAAAGCATATATATATGATTCTAAACAGATAAATTTGGGGTATCAAGGTTTAACCCAGCTTATATGTTCAGTTTCTCATAGGGCTACAACACATATCTATCTATCTATCTATATCTATGGCTGTTTCTTCGTTACTCACTAACTTAGGTACCTAAGGTTACTTAAGCTCTCATTAATTAGTCGTTAACTATTTCAAATAGAGAACTACGCCTTGCTTGGTATCTCGGGAAGGTTAAGTAGGTGGGTATGTAGGTACTTGAAATAGTCCAAGTTCGATATTATATGTAGGTAGTCATCGTGAGATTAAGAAGCAACCAGAGCTTTTCGTTCGTTTGTTCGTTTGTTTCTTGTGTTTATTTGTTTACCTTGGGGTAGGTACCTATATGCAAACAACTGCGGAAGAAAAAAAAGACATATTTAAAATGAATCAGAACTTCCTCATAACGCCATTCCCGTACCACGTGAGAACATTTGGATGAGCGGGCCCACTACTTACTACCACGGGTCCGCCAGGAGAAACAAAATCGGAGAGGGGGGTATATCTATCTCGCTCCCGGCTTTTAGAATCGACCTCCTCGGCTGAAACCGCCTCGTCCCCTACCACCACCGCCAAACCCGCCGCCACCGCCGCCGCCTCGGCTGAATCCGCCGCTACCTCCACGGCCAGCACCCCCCCGACCGCCACCGAAGCCGCTACCGCCGCGACCACCTCTCGACGGGCCTCCTCTCCCGCCACCAAAACCACCCCGTCCACCTCCTCTTATCGGGCCACCGCGTCCGCCACCAAAGCCACCACGACCACCGCCTCGACTAGGTTTCTTGACCTTGGGCGCGCCAGGCGGGGGCTTAGGCTTAGGCAGGAACTTCTCCAGGGGGAGGAGCTTCTCGGAGCCGATGAAGAACTTGTCGCCGGGCTTGAAGGAGGTAGCCTGGATGCCCTCGGTGGGCTTGATGGTGAAGTAGACCTGGTTGATGGGGCCGAGGACCTCGTCGACCTTGCCGACGGCGGTCTTGTTCTCGAGGAAGATCTGCGCGTTGAAGTGCGGCACCTTGGGGTTGATGCTCTCGCATACCATTTCCCCCTCGCACGCGTGCAGGAAGCTGCCCATCTCTAGGATCTGGTCCGGCGGGCCGAAGTCTCGCTGTCCGAAGCCGCCGCGGCCTGTTTATTTCGGGTTAGCTTTGCGCATGTCTTGAGGCCCTCGTAGCCTGGGAATTGAATAAAGCTGCAAGAAATAAAAGAAAAAAAAATTCAACACGTACCGCCTCGACCACCTCCTCCACGACCTCCGCCAAAACCTCCTCCGAAGCCGCCCCGTCCGCGCGGCGCTCCTCTCGACATGGTGAGGTGTGTTACGAGGTCAATTGGCCTCTACGGGTTGTGTATTTTCGGGGTTTAATTTGACGATTCGCGTTTCGCGAATTGGGGGAATTTGTCGAAAGGGTTGGGATTTGAAGCTTCGGAAACCTCGAATAATAATAATTTTGCTGGAGCCAAAGTTAGTTTAGGTCCCACCTGCACTTTTTTCTCGGGCGGAAAAACGTGCGCGGATGGATAAGAGGTTATCGATAGTGGCTGATAAGAAATGTACAAGTTGGAGGTAGTTACTACATACGTCTTTACTTGCACCATCACAGGCGACGTAATCCATACCTTAGGTAGGCACCTCCTATGTTAGCAGTATGACTGACGCAGACGGACGATCTAGACTGGACTGCTTGTCAAACACCCCATCCTCCTTTCATCTTTCTCAAAACGGCTTGTTTCCAATATCGAGCCAATAGGAGCGGGTGAAAACTACTTCAAACCTGCTAAACTTGTCCTACAGTAACGAAGGGAATCCCTTCAAGAACAATTCTAGTGTGCTTCCCCATCGGACCGTAATAGCAAGCCTTTTGACGAATAATTACGTCCAACCCAATCTTGCAGAAGCAACCCGGAGGCCTCATCCGACGTAACTCAACTAACAATTTTTAGAAGCACAGAAACACAGATGTCTTGGAAATATAAAACCATGAAACCAACGAGACAGACCCTCGATGCGAGCCATGCTTAACAGTCTCCTGACTGGTTGGTTCACTGCCGTGTTACTTCGGGATACGACCAACTAGAAGGTCATCTACACCACAGCCTGGTGTTATATCAAATGACAAGCAGCTTTGTCATCCTGTAATAATCATGGCTCAGCATTGTGTCAAACAAAGCAAGACGCAAAAGCCCCTCCGTAACCACAATCTGTGTTCTTACTCGTAAGCTTTTTTGCTGGTGACGTTGACTAACTAGCCGGCTCTGACTTTGAATGACCAACCGGCAATACCTACTACCTATATTAAGCAGCTAGTAAAAGCCGACTACCTGTGATACTTAGTATTACAAGAGTTGTTTGACCTCAGATGGGGTTAGTTGTCAAGTTGTCAAGTATAAAAAAAAACAAAAAAAACAAAAAAAAAACAAAAAAAAAAACAAAAACAAAAAAAAAACCAATCAAATCCTGTATCGTCATCAGTAATCACCTTAAATCCTCATATGTATGATGAAACTACTCGAGATCGTCGGCGCTCTTATGAAATCGACATGACGTCGTGGAACCGTCCGAGGATGCGGGATGGAATTTGGGATTCAGGATTTGCCAAGTCACGTTGTCATTCCTTTCTGCAAGTTCAAAGCCGGAAAAGTGGAAATCTCATATGTACGTGCGAGTCGAGATCGGCCCCCAACGCAGGTGTCCCTGGTGTCGTGCTAGGATGGCGGTCTCAGCATCATGGCGAGCCGGGATGAGCTGTGGAACGTGCTTTGTACCGTCATAGCGAAAACGCATAGGGATTATAATGGTCAGTGCATAGGGCGATACATACATACCACAGTATGTATAGGTATACTCCCGCTCTAGGTGCGTTAGGGCAGAACTTGGCGGACTGCTAGCCTTATTACAGGAGGTCCGACAAGATACATAGCCTATTGATTTAGTATAGTTAACGTCTATTATTCAGGATCCTATAGGCCTGAATCAGGACGACTTTCCCAGGAGAATTTTGGTTATAACTGGACCTGTATGATTCAAGTTATATATAGCAAAAGCAACCTGTCGGCATTTGCATAGGCTATAAAACCTTCCCGAGTGCGAACCATTATTAGAAAATTAGGCGGGTCGCTAGTACTCCTACGTCGAATAATGCTCGCACGAGCTGAGTTTGAATTTCCACAGCTAAGGATGGTATGGCGGTTTGTGCTAGGTATGTAGATCTGTTGTCGATACCTATGTACCTAGGTAGGATAGCGTACGTCGGCTTTAGAACCTTTATTTCTTCAAAAGCCGACTTGTAGAGTTATCCCAGCCAAGGTCTTAAGTGTTCAGACGTTTATTTGCTCCGACAGATCCTTCGCATTTAATTGAGTACCTAAATTCCGTCGAATACGGTAAGCATAAGGCTGGCTTTTTAAGACATGACCAACCTATCGGGAACTATTATCTTTTGTTTTCTTATTTTTCTCGGCGTTCTTCAGTGGGCTTGGCAGATGTAATCCTTAATTTTGATGTTCTAGACCGGCACCTGGTCTGGCGTCAGACGCTTATGAGTCCATTTCGGCAGGACTGCCCATGTGCGGCATAGAAGCTTTTATTTGCAAAGCTGACGAGATAACTTATACGGCAGCACGTGTTCAATGCTTGCGGAATTGCGGTCAAAAGGGCCCGTCGATGCGGTCGAAGCTAACATAGCCCCCCATCACCGCTCCAGGCACCGATGTTGTTGGAAGTGGTAGAGGAGGGTACAATTCCGAGATCAACACCGTCCACTCCTTTTAATTGCTGATCAGAGCCGATCACAGTGGCAGGACATAAAGTTGTAAACGGCGCGGTCTAGAAACTCGAATTAAAATAGCATATTGATGGTGGTTTTGTCAGAGGGTGAATTAGTTATTCTAGTAATTGAATTACTATAATTCTAGCTTGAAGTTGGAATAAATTAGTATGTACATAGTAGCTCGCGTATCAGGGTCGTTCCTGATGGGTAGTTGGGTAGTATCCGAGCAAACCCGGATATTTGCTCTAAATACTACCAAGCGTCGTGCAGCTGAATGATGAATCGACAAATACGGATGGTCGTCAGACCTTAGTGTAACTTACCCCTGGCAGATATGCGCGTGTCGAGGTGCTATGTAGTATCGTGTTTGCTCCGTCCAATGTGATTTATTAATGGTTATGGGGATTTTTGCAGACAGATGATAGGCTATAGCTATACGAACTGCTGACAAAAAATCGAACTTCGTTTAAGCCGGTGATTCTTTAGGATGTGGTTTGGATGTGGTGGTCTGAACCACGATCATATCGATTGAGGTGAGTGAAGGAGAGATAGATATAAAGATGAGGATGAGGACGAGGATGCTGTACATTGTATCATTGTATCACTGCGTACGCAATTGTAGTAACGTCCGTGGATCTGGTATCAGTGGAATTGTATGTGCCGTGTGTCCAACGTAGAGATCGGCATAAGTTGGATGGAGAAAATAGAATGGGATTTTCAGATTACATAACATTAGATAATAAAATAAAATACTATGTAAAATAGGGTTTCAAGATATACATTTACAAGGTAGTAGGCACGTATCCATGTATATTCAGGATATTCAGGACCCATGTAATATGTAAGGTAATGATGAGGTGGGACTTGATGGAGACTAAACACTAACACTAACACTAATCCCCTAACTTAAATTTACTTGGAAGCAGCTAAGCAAACATTTACATAGCAAAGTACATTTAGCAAAGTAGTATCCCGTAAACTGCCAGAACTGCCAGAACTGCCTAAGCCTCCTCAACCTTTTGCCCATTCTCCATTCTGCCCGTTCTGCGTTCTGCCCATGCGAAATCCCATGCTAAGGAATATCTCTTACCTTAGCAGCTTAGGTACCGTGTAGATTACAGATTACACCAAAGAAGTCCTACCCATTCAGCCATTCTAATAGCGGAAAATAATTATTAACTGCCTGAATTGTCGCCATCTTTTCTCTCGCCTTTTCTCTCGCCCCTCTCCTTTCCTTCACACCCTAGTCTATCATTTTTATTTTTATTTTCTCTTCCGCTCAGATGTCGCCATTGACTTCTTCCATAATATGACCCCTTCGTTAACATCATTGTCGCCGCAGTCGTCGTTGTGGACTTGACTTTGATAGTTTGATAGAAACGACGCCTATATGTGTCGGCGTTAAGTATCCTACCATATCTACATAAGGGTGTAGACTTATAGGATCGAGGTGCATATATCCTATCGACATTTTATCTTGGCAATACGAACATCTCGGTATTCTCGGACGCGTTTCGCACGAGTCGCAAAATCAAAAATGAAGCAACGAGAAGAGGATGTTGAATCACAAGCTCAGCTACTTTCCAAGGAGAGTCAGTCACCGTCGAGCGAAGAATTCGATTACGACGAACCCGAAAACAGCCACCAAAATCAGTCATCACGCCGCAGACTTCGGATAGAACAGAATCCTTTATGGCGCCGTATCCAGTCTTTCACGTTATCTGTCTGGGCGCCTTGCCGCAAATTCAGCCCTAAATACTACATCTTTGCCATTGTCGTCTCCTTACTCATCACGCTGTTCATCTTCAACCCCTATTCCCCGACAATACCTACCCAGCACCAGACAGACGTCGACGTGTCTCCCGGAACGCCAACGAGCAGTATCGTATCTAGTATCGTATCCTCCACGAAAGCCGCAGAACCCACCAAGAGTCCAACCTCTGCATATAAACCACCAAAGCTTAAGACCAAGGACAAGTATTGCACTACATGGCCCGTAGGCGAAGATGGCCAGTACGAATCCAAGGGAGCCAGCCGAACCGACAAGATCAAGATAGATAGCATTGCTCCTAAGGGTGGATGGAAGAAACCCGCGGGTATCAAGGTCATCGGTATGGTCTTTTACGGCCGAAAGAGATATGTGGACCTCTTGGATTGTTACCTCCAGCAAAATCTGGCATCGAATGGTGGCTACTTTGACGAGGTGTGGTTTATGGCCCACACTAAGGATGAAGACGACGTTGCCTGGATAGAAGATCTTGTCAAGAAGACCCCTGGTTATAAGATTGTTGGCAAGGGAAAATGTGAAGGCGCAAAGTACAAGTGCATGTGGACTTATGCCGTCGAGGACAAAACTATTTACGTTAAAATAGACGACGATATTGTGAGTAAACTTCTAAATTTAGCAGGAGAGACTTCCGGAGACTGGGACAAGTCGCTGACTGACCTAACTATTCAGGTTTATATCCACCCCGACGCCATCCCCCAACTCGTCCATACCCGCATTGCCCTACCTCACCCGTATGCCATCTCGTCGAATTTGGTTAACAGTCCCGTCACGGGAATGGAACAATACCACTACGGTGCGATTCACCCATTCCTTCCGGATCCGAGCAGCAAACCTTCGTTTCACGCTGCGGAGACGTGGCGCACTTCGGAAAAGAAGAAGTACCCTCAGGACCAACTGGTGGACGAATATAATATCATGGACATGGAACCGTCGTACCGCGGCCACCCTTGGCTCCTTATATCCGACGACCACTATGACCTACTGAAGACACCTATGGGCAAATACGACCAGAACCGCGGTTCCGACCCAATCGCATTCGGTTTGGCGTGGAAGTCGTGGGCTATCGGCGCGCAGCAGCAATATTCTCTCCTGTATAATCTTGAGCAGAATAAGATGCAACGCTATTTCTTCGGCCGAAATATCCGATATCCAGAGGGTGCTTTGGGGCCCAATGCTTCCGCGGTAGTCCTTCCTAACGGGGACGGTCCTGGTGGTGAGCAGACATATGATACCGGATACAACCGATACAACTTGAACTTCTGTGCCGTATGGGGTTCCGATATCAGGGATCAGCTACCCATTGCCGACGACGATGAGCAAGATATCACTGCAGATATTCCTAGGCGCATTGGACGGCCGTTCGTCATCGACACCCGCTCCGTGGTAGGCCACTTCAGCTTCTTCACCCAAAAAGACGGCATCAACAAGAGTGACCTTTTAGATCGATGGCGGGCATTCGCAAACGAGGCGGTCTGTACCGCGAAAAATCAGAAGAAGCCGTGGGATCCGATGTGCCCGGACTTCAAAGCCGAGGGTGGTATGGGACGATAACAGAAGCTTGGACGAGGAATCGGAAAAGAAGTTATGAGAAAAGCTAGCGGTGGTAATATTTCCTCACCTGATGTTCCATGACATTTTGCGTGGCGTTCCTGGGTTCTTGCATACGAAACGAAACCGGCCTATTCCGTACCGTACTATGAGACGTTTGAGGGAGGCTGGTAGTCGTGAATGGAAATGGAATTGATGATGCGCTGCATTTGGGAGTTTTATATATACGGAAGGTCTCATGAGAGGGTGGCGAGGCGTAGAAATATCGTGGAATCTTTGCATGCATGCGTTCCTCTTGTATATAGATGACCGACTCGACTACCTACCTAGGAGATAGGATAGGTCATGGTCATCTCGGTTACGCCGCGGATTAAATAAATAAACTAGCATTGCAAGAAATTTGTGTTTCCAGCAGCCCTTTTTTTTCTTTTTTAAGGGGGAAAACCGTACGTTGTGAAGAGAATAATATATAATAGAAAAGGATGATTGTACGCGCGTCCCCAACTATCGGACCCCGTTCTTAAACCTTGTTGCGTCGTTCGCAGGGGTTGGCTTGGGGGGCACCGGTGGCATGATAGGAACTCACCGATTCGTAGACCCGTAATCTAAACCTATAAATACTTCCAAAGTAAGAATTCCCGGCGCTGCGTCTAGGTTTATATATTCAAGGTTAGATAGATGCTGGTGGTTTGCGAGACATGATAGAAAAAGAAAAAAAAGCTCATGCAAGGACCCGACGAACTTGTGCAAGGATATTATGTAGGCTAGTCGGGACGCCTATCGCTGTAGATAAGAGGTATAGGTCTTGATGCGGCTCCGGGAGGTGGGGGTTTATCGTACAGGACGGGTCGAAATGCCGGGTGGGGGGTCCGAGGTTGGGGTGATTGGGTCGGAGGTAGGTACATGTAGGTAGCTAACCTACATGATAGGTCATGTTGCTTTGCATTTATTTATTTATTACCATACGTGCAGGTACGGGCGTTGATCAAGTGAGATTGATGGTACCGGGTATTGCGTTTAGATAGGTATTTATGGAAGCTGTGACGAAGCTAAAGTAAACAGAGATGAGGCTTAAGTTAGGTAAGCGAAGAGGCAACATCGAGAAACATTAATAAATAGAGCCGAAAAAAAGAATGGTTTGAAAAAAAAAAGTTGATAAAAGAAAAAGAAAAAAAAAAGTTGGTCAAAATGGCAAAATGGTCAGTCATATGGCAGTTGCGAATTTGCTAAATGGCCCAAACATTGTCCCGAGATAAATTTGAGAGATAAACGACTGAGCTAAATGTGATAGATGGCGGAATAGATTACCTGTGCTTTCGTTGTTACGATATATGAGGTTTGTTTGTTGAATCTTTGCATGTGCGTTGCGTACCTAAGTACATTTTGTAGGGTTCGTGCATCCCATTACTGCCACATACATCCTTTAATCTGTCCACAAAAACCAGGACTTCGTCAACGAGGTCAGGAAGTAAGGCGGTGATATTTCGCTGGCTGAAGCAAGGGTTCAACCTTGTGCGCCAGGTCTTCCAGTTTTGCCCCTCCGTGGACAGTATATCCAGGTTCTGTGTAAGGGTATCAGGTACTTGGTCAAGAAGGAAATCTTGGGTAGGCTACGAATCTGAGTAAATTGGTCTCCTGCTGCGGCGTCGTATACCAGTGTAAATATTCCCGAGAACGGCCATATATCTAGATAAACCACGGGTGGGAGCTCTTCTTAGTCCGGGAAATTATTTCTAAAGTTCTCACGGATCCAAGTATGAAAGACGTAAATGTTGACATCTAAAGGGTGTTGCCGGTGGAAGTCGTTCAAGAGGCTGAGATGTCCAAATAGCAGGGAGTGTGGTGCGATAGGCTACCTTAAGTCAACGAGTAATCGCCTTGAGCTTCTAGAACTCGCGAATAGTCGAGCCGTAAAGCAAAATACGACGTAGTAGATATAGTAACCACGGGAAACTTACAAGCCTCTGGGCCTTAAACCGTCTTATTCTCGGTCGATGTGTCAGCTCTTGATAAAGAAAACGAGCCACCAGAGCGACTGCAAATACTAAGCTACTAGAAAGTAGCAGTGTCATGATATCTAATAAGAGTCTCTTGCGGATATGCCTAAGGATGTATATGTTAAGTGATAATTGGATTAGGTTATATAGAATTATGATATGATAACATACCACTCCAGTTTTGATCTTGTCTTAGAACGGAGTTTATAGTCAATCAACTCCAAGGACCTACTTAGGAGCCCCAATTCCTCTAATTACGCTTCAGATAGTCGGGCTAGGTAGAAGGACTCCTAGTAATGCAATTATCGATCCTGATTCAAGCCTCAACTATCCTCGCAAGCAACTATGGGCGTAATCATGTATACCTCATCCTAAGTAATTGATATACCAAATACTGGGTATAAAGTTGTGCTGATATTTATGAGTAGTTGACTGGTAGGACCTATATTTCAGACCTAATAACTTCTCATACAAACCACAACCCTTCAAGTCTAGCTTACCAAATGCCTCACTTTATATACATGGCCTCAGATTTATAAGTGTCCGAGCTCGGATCTCCGATGAATATTTAGAGATTGAAACCCCCCGATTGTTTGTTGAAGGTTTAAATTAGCAGGAGCAAACGATGCTGCTTACGTGTACCTACCTACTTAAGCAATTGGATTCTCATTTGCAACTTACCAATTGTAACTTACAATGGTATAGGAATAGCATAGGTAACTTCCAAATAGCAGGGTGTTTCCTAGTTCCTTCCCATCTCGTGCGTGGGTTCCACCTTGCTGTCAATTAAGATAGAAACGGCCTGCCACGTGACTGCGCGTTTCTATGCATGTATGCGCCTGCTTCCCCAGGAAGTATCTATTCACAGAAATTCACGGCCCTTCTTGCCAGAAGCAGCTGCACACCTCTTCAGGGTTTCCTATTTTAATAATTTCCCATTTCTTATTCTGCCCAAGAGATCTGCTCACTCTTTTCATTTCTTACATCCATACTTCCATACATACCTACATACATTAGGTACACATGCCCATCAGCGCAACAAGTCTCCCCGGCACTATCACGAAACATATAACTACCACCCTCTTTTCGGATCTCGGATATCAACATCATGTCTACTCCTACCAAGTCTGCCGCAAATGACTCCGGCGAAAAGCTCCAGCTGAGCCAGCGCGAGATCGAGGTCATGGCCATGGCATTCATGTGCATCAGTGATGTCAAGGACGGCGTGCCTCAGGTAAGGAAGACCCTCCACCTCATTAGTACCTATCGCACACTATTTCACTATCTTCTTCCACCCCCAGTGATGTCATCGTGGATCCCTTGAAATATGTGTCTTCCTGTCTTCCTGTACATCTTAACTAAATATAACGCCCGTCCTTAAGACTGGACTAAGCTACACTATACCACGTGATATTAACCCTTGATACCTACTGAGAGCTAGCACACTAATCAAATAACGCGCGTAGGTGGATGCTAGGAAGCTCGCCAAGATCGGCAACTACGCCAGCGCTGACTCTGCTCGCCACATCTGGAGACCCATCCAGAAGAAGCTCATGGCTCATACCAGCGGTGAAGGCGAGAACTCTCCCTTCCCAGCCACTCCTTCTACTAGAGGCAGGGGTACCCCCAAGAAGCGCAAGGCCAACGGCGAGGCTGGTGAAGGCACTCCCACCAAGAAGCCCCGCGGCAAGAAGGCCTCCAAGGTCGCACCCAAGAAGGAGGAGTTCGAGGACGACATTGACGACGAACTAGCCGATGGCGAGGCTTAGGCGTGATCTTAGGGACGGATTTCTTCATCAGTGATATCTAGGCGTTTATTTCACTTCAGTCATTCCAAGAGGCTTGGTATCGGTAGCAGTCCCTACTCGGGTTTGATTTGATTCTATTCGACAGGAGGAATTACGTTTCAGCTGGCATGAGGCAGAGGGAATACCGGATTTGCAACTACGCGGCGTTGACTGGGGGCAATTTGCAGTGGCCACTACGGTTGGCAGGCACGATGCGCAGGATGGTGCTGCTGGACCTGCATTGAATTTGCAGTAGTTTGCGTTGATATTAGCAGCATACTAGAGAATTCTCTACAATCGAAGAGACTTGCGTACCACTCTCGATATTTATTACCCAAGGTCCTCTCGTAGAATTTAATGACGAACTGATTATTGCTATTATTATAGTTATGATAATATGGTAAGGATTTATGCTGTAGTCAATCTGATCAGTATATGTGATTACTTACTAATAACTAAACTAGTAAGCATTCGAATTGGCTGAAAGATGTATTTCCGACGGGTGTAAATAACTTCATTGGAGGTTAGTCGGGAACGGCCAATCTGTTAAAAATTACCTAATTTACATACTTTCGTCTTAAAATACCGGATGGCATAATTATGCATAAAAGCTGCGAAGGTTAATTTGCATAGTCTTGTTGGGCTGCTATTATAATTATATCCATTCGTATTAAAAAAAAACATCGCCTCCCCGAGAGATAAATCGAAAAAAGATAGGATAGAATAAAAGTAAAAAAATGGGCTCAACCGGGAATTGAACCCGGGACCTCTCGCATCTGCGCTTGGAAGCGTAGGGACTTCGGTGGCCCGAAGCGAGAATCATACGACTAGACCATTGAGCCGATTGCACCAGGGACCATAATCCTTGTCTGAATTCAGACTGGAGAACTCGCCTTGTTGTGAAGGACTGCGCTGCTATTTTGGTTCTTTTGTCTGCATTGGTAGGGGAGAAATAGTGCACTTGGCAGCTTAGGTACCTATGTACCAAAGTACTACCTAAAGTGCTAATGTCCTTAGCGTGAGCTTGAAGATGCGTTATCAAGGTTATCAAGGTTATCAAGGCAAAAATTTAGTGTACCGCTAATGCGATAATAAAATAAAATAAATTATTACTTCTTTACTTCTTTTTTATTGGAATCCACGATGAAGATAAATCCCACTCAAGCAGATTGAAAACATACTCGTGGGCCGCCAATCCCCATTCAATGGCCAAATTAATCAAATTAATTTCACCATGCGACCCTCACTGCAAAACGTAGTAGCTTCCACATTTCGAGGACTGCATACGGTAGCCCCTCTCTCAAGACCACAGCGATGCTTCCACCAACCCATCTTTGCTTCTATACCGCGGAAGCGTAGTTTCTTTACTTCGCATCGTTTACTTGCAAGTTCTACCAAGGATGGCGTTTCTACAACATCGGAAGATGATACTACCAACAGTTCGGAAACGCAACAGCAAAGCCCAACCCCGGCCTCCAAGCGCAAACCCGTTCGTGCCTCAGCGGCGAAGACTTTGCGCTTAGGACTTACTACGAAACCGCCTCAGCGCACCACTACTCCGAGGAAGGACACTACCGATTCTGAGATGGATTATCGCCGAACTATAACCTCTATATGCGTTGCGCAATCTTTCGATATGGAAGCTGTACAGGATATATTGCGCTTTCACGCCTTCGAACTGGATCCCGACGGTACCGAATTCGACCCCACCGGTGTTGTACATGCGAGAGGTATCAATAATGGGGACATATTTGTCTTCCCCTCCGGAACCGTGGTGGCTTGGTCCGTACCCACCGACGCTCTCATGACCCTTGCCACTAAGCAGCTGATTCGAGCTGCCCAGCTGCCCCATCTTAATCGTCTCGAGATGGAAGAGCTCGAATTCATACCGGATGAATCTCGCGACACTAGTTATATGAAGGGTGAAGTTGTAGTTCTGGGCACGAGGGCACAAGAGCTAGAGAATCACAGATTAGACACGACGCTTGCGAAAATCGCCTTCTCGAGTGGCCTAGCCAGAAGTCCTAAGCTGGCAGTGCTCGAGAACCAGGCCATTGACTATTTCCAAAATTCCAAGAACAGTCTTGACTTTATTGAAGGAGGCCTAGAGCATAAGCTGAAGCGCAGCGCCGTCTTGAAGATGACTGGCCAGCTCCTTAGCTTGAGATCGCAGCTGAATCACTACTCGGACATAACAGACCAGCTCCCCGATATGTTTTGGGATTCCGAGTCGAACCTGGAGAATTATTACAACCAGATCAGTACTATTCTAGATATACGGCAACGCATTGGGATTCTAAATAAGAAGATTGACTACGGGTTTGAGAACGTAAGTGTCTTAAGAGAGATGGTCAGCGAAAAGTACGGCCACCGGCTAGAGTGGATCATCATATTCCTCATCACCATTGAAGTTCTATTTGAACTGAGAAGGGTATATCGTGAGAGCATAAGCGAAGCAAGTTCGGAATAGATATCGAATGTCCTACGTATCTTTATGCGTGGGCAGGTAGGTGAGAAAGCTACCTTAGTAGGAAATACTTAAGAGGAGATACTTAAGAACACCACTCAATCCGTGCACTTGTCCATACAAGCTTCAAACGTACGAAAATACAAGGCGCTTTCTAAGCCAACGTATGAGTTCCCTGTAAGTTACTGGCAGAAAAGTACACTAGCTTGACTGCCTCTTATCTGACTGAATGGATTGCCCGTCCAGGAAAATAAGCTACAGTGAGTTGGTAATGACGACCGTAGTAAAGGAGCAGAGAAACAAAACAATTTATCTTTTACCATGACACGCCCTAACCGCCCCATTAGCCCTTGTGTATGCGTTTCCCAAGAGGTCTTCCTCCATGCTCGTAGACAGCCAGAAGCTCCTCTTGGCCAAGACTAATGATGGAGGGCCAGAAAGAAGGCGCCTTGTGGATAAACACGGGCTGGCTCCAACGTATCATACCTCCTTCTAAACCCTCGGCGAATACTGTTTTAATAGCGGCCTTTCCAGGCCACGCTGGCACATCCGCCTCCTCGTCCGTCATAAACACGACAGCCATTCCTCGATCTCCGTAGCGCTCGATCTGCGGCGCACCCGCATTGCGCCCGGGCTTGGGGCGGTATACCACGCCTCTCGATCCCCACGTGAGTCCTTCATCGTACGAGACGGCGTACTCGACGCTAAACGTGCCGTGCCTCGTGGTCTCGAACACTACGACTAGCGCATCGACGTCCTGCTGCTGTCCACTTGCCGCCACGCCCGCCGTGTCGCGCACGCTTACGATGCCCTGCATGCCGTCGCGCAGGTTCTCGTGCGACGGGTGGCAGCGCAGACACCGAGGCGGGCGGCTCCAAGTCAAACCTCCATCTCTAGAATCTACGCGGAAGGTCTCCTGGTCGTTGTGCGCTAGCTCGCGCGAAAACGTAAGTTGGATTTCCTGCCCGTCCCGGCCGCCAATGCGCATGAACGGCTCCCATAAGCCTAAGCCGTTACTGCTGGATGCGCTCTGCTCTGCGGCCTGGGACGCGAAGCGCCATGAACGCCCGCCGTCTTCGCTGCGGCATACCGTCTACGATTAGGTAGTTAGAGGATGTTTTATTCCGAGAGTAAATAGTAAAATAGTAAGACGAAAAAGAAAAGTATAAGTTTGCTCTGGCGATTGAAGATCCTAAGTGGTATGTAGTATGTATTAGTACTCACGATGCGGAAATGCGAGGGCCGGCTACCGGGCTTGCGGTCGTGGTTCCGGAACGCGGCGAGAACAACCGGGCCACTGCTCCCGGGAGCGGCCGAAGACGGCACCTCAATTAAGAAGCCGTTATCAATATCACCTACGCCGCGGGTTACTTCTCCATGCGGTCTGAAGGTGCGTCCGCCATCCACGCTGCGCGAGACTTGGAGGACGTGCTCGCGACGGCCGGGGCCTTGGAATCCCGTTGTTAGGCATAGTAGATGACCGTCTGAGAGCCGGCATAGGCGAGGGTAGGTCCCGCCTGTGGGGTGTAGGATAGTCTCATTAGCGTCGACTTTCCAGTGGATGGGGATGGGTGAAGATGCCGTATTGTTGTTATTGTTATTGGGGTCGCCGCTTAGGAGGGGGCCTAGGTGGCCTAGGATCTTCTGGGTAAGCCTACCGGCCATTAAATATTAAGGGGGATCTTATTAATCAGTCGAGGTTAACGGCCAGAGAATGGTAGGAAGAAGGGTCATATTCTATGTATTAGTATGATAATGTTTCGGCGTACACGCAATCTTCTCCACATATTTGTCTGGAATCTTGTCGCATATAGAGAGATATCATTTCTCCCCTTTTTTCCCGGTATTAAATACACTACGGGGTGATCGTCAACGCGGGAACTTTTAAAGAGCGCAAGGATCTTCCGTTTCGACGGCCGATGATAATATAACATGTGTATCTTCTCTGTTACCCATGCAGCAACGACTTTATGTATTCTATGTAATGCTAGAAGTTGTGGATCAAATGTTTCCTGACTTTTACATAATGATAGTTGATTGTTAGTTGATGGTTTAGAAGCATACCTATGTACCGAAACTAAACGCCGTGACGTACATGTATGAGATAACCCATTATAAAGCTTCCACGACGGGAAGAATAACTTCAAGTGTATGCATTTGACCGAATCTAAGCTTCATTTCGTTCTTGTTCCTTATTGCATACGTTGTGTAACCCCTATGTCCACTAAACATATCTTAGAATAGGCTACTACGCCCATCGATCCTGTTTAACATACATAGGTACATAAGATGTTCACCAACTCTATGTAAAGGAAGCCGCACTATAGAAGGAAATAAAATGCAGGTGCACTTCCAAGTCCACTTCAGTCTTCAATGTGCTCTCGGATTTATTTAACATTGACATTACATCCAACGTTAACATCACATTATCTTCCCAACCCAATATTACTCCAATCAACCCGTAAGCGTCGGGACATTTATTTCTAACAGGCTCTTAACTCTTAAACTACACCATTTACACCTCTTTTGAAAATCACATCAAATCCTATTTTTCTGTTCTATTGTCTTACGTTAAAATGATGCGTAAAATCCCACCAAGTGACGATGCTGATGCTGCTAGCACTCAGACTCCCAATTTCGATCAGTTGCCTGAGCAACTTGAACAAGAGATCCCTCAAAGAGCCAGACCGAATGCTCACATTTTACACCGGAAGTTTATAGATTTCAAAAAAAAGCTAAGCCGCTGTCAATGTCCGTTATCAGATTCGCCACCGCCTGAATCATCGGTACAAAAACCCTGCGTCGCGGTCCCGGGTAAGAGTGAAACCGGCGGCAGTGACAGCCACAGCTACAACTCTCAACGTAACTTAAGCTCAATCGGCCTTACTGAGTCAAAATATGGCTCCATAGGCGACAGTAGGAAATCGTATTCACCTACGTGGTATGACTGTGAAACCGACGAACTAGCCAAGGCTGTCCCACAGCCTCCCATATTCAGAAAGTGGCCGGATGAAGAGCTCCAGCTCCAGCGCGAGGTCATTGAAAAGTACGAAGCGGGAATCAGATTATGGACTAAGAAGAAGCTCCTCGACATGGAAGACACGATTACGGGTTTTGTCCCCGACGTAGTACGGACTTCGCTCTATGCTGGACCAGGATTTTATATTGGTCGTAAAGAAATAGGGTTCAAAGCATTGTAAATTTATGCCTCCTTTGAAGTGGACTAACATGTTCAAACAGGCACTTATACCAGATCGATTTCCATGGTTACTATGATATGGCTTTTCCCTTCGCTTCTCGACCCGAAGGGGCACCATACAGCTCCATGACCATCAAAGTGAAGCCCGCCTACACCTACATACGCAAGAACATCGACGAAGAGGAGAAAAAATTTGTCCAATGCCAGGCCGCCTAGAAAGAAAACCAGATAGGGCAGCATTTTTACTCGACCTTCATGAGACTCCCCTTTCCGCCGTATATCAACAAGATCGTGTGCATCGGACTCGGCAACTTCATCGCCCCGGACAGTGATGAAGAGAACGAGCTTCTGACTCTTTCTATGCTGAGGCATGCGGCCGTGCTGACCGTCGCCGAGACGCTGTTCAAGCGATTCGGCCGTTATATACAGATTATCGCGCAGGACGTTGACTATACCCCTGACTGCGCGATGGTACTATCCAGAAGGGGGTTCTTCATCAGAGGTCGAAATGGAGCAGGCGGATTCGCCGAGATCGACGACAAGACATTCGTGTTCGCCCCCTCTTCCAATTTCTGCCTCAAGGAGATCGTAGCGGATATCGCAAAACCCGCAGCTATGTTTTGGAGCACGGTTTTGACACCGGAAGAGAGCGAGAAAACAAGTAGGGCCCATCAACTTGTTACCTTCGGGAACCATATCACGTCTACATGGAAGTATGTGCCTCCCACTACCTAGCTTCATTCATCTTCTATATCCTGCTCGTCAGATTATTTCTTTGGGGTTATATACTTACAATAATATCTCGGTAGCTATCCTATCGCGGATGCCGATACACCCCGCGTGCAACTACTCGTCAAGGAGTACGATGTATATCAGTTCCCGTGCACCAACCTATTTGGATCAGTGTCAATATATGCCTTCAGAAGAACGAGCATGGTTAACATGAATCAGAAGATAGGACTTCTAAATAAATAGCTTTAGGACTGTATTTGTTATGGCTTGGAGGATAGGAGGTCCACACGGATATAGCGTTGGTCGTGCATAGCTTTTGGGCTGGTTCATATAATATTAGATGGCCGATGTGGTCACTAGCGGACGTAGGAATAGAGTCAGCTTTCTTGTGTGTTTACTAGATATTCTCCGAGTTTGAACTTGGTTGACTCGGTGAATATATAAGTAGCGGGCTAAAAGAAAATATAAATTCTAATACAAATTGTTAAGACGATCCAACCCTCGTACTGCATCACTCTCGAGGTGGACAAACAAAGCTTTGTCACTTTTTATGGAACTAAGCTCCGAATAATATTCCAGCCAGTCGAGTCCCAGTCCCATCGAGTCCATCGCTAGAGTTACCTCCTCCTCCTCCTCCCTCTTTCCTCCGACTAGCCCCGTATGAGGTATGTTTATTTACCCTCCAACCCCATTTAAGTATTTATTTTCTCTTCTTCTTAATCCATTCATTCCCCTCTCTCAATTGTAATACTTTTACAACAAAATAATAACCTCCACGATAACGCAAAACCCACCATCACGAGTTACGAATACATCTTCAATAACTAGCGGAACTACTTCAAACTGGAAGAAGCACTGCAACAGAGCTACGAGTATCACACTACAACACAACACAACACAACACAAATTGATTGGTAAAACACATCATCATCGATTAAGTCAGCTACGTCAACCTTTGAATTATCTCAACCAACCCTCACTTATCAACTATCTGGCATCTCTACAGTATTGTTTTATACACAAAGGCCACGCAACGCAACGCAACGCGCCATAGCACAATAACATGGAAACGACGATAAACCTTGTATCGAAATGCACGCCCATCTGTTAGACGAGCGGCTGGGGGAGGGGAACGCACATAAAACGTGATGAAGCTTTTCTATCCCGAAAGACGGAAGGAACGCAACAAAAAATATTAATGAAGTCGTCTACGTATTTCCTGCCCGTCCATTTGCCCTAAGGGGGGGAATCCTCCGTGTTTCCACTTCACTAACTCCGTATCCCCAGTCTTGACAACCGTTTCTAAGGAGAGGCCGACAAATCAGGGGAAAGAGACCAAGAAAAACCCCTGTTCTTGGTCCTTTCCTTCTAAGCAGATGAGCTTAGTACGTCTTTCTGCCGTGGAAGAGTATCGCCGCCTGCACTCCGTGCACTCTTTGCACTCGATTACATCGCCCCTCCATGTTTGGGAGCTATGATTGCTTCCTAACTCAATATGCAACCTTGATGATCAAGAACCAACGCCAATACGACTTTTATCTAGACATGTTCTCGCTAACTCGTCCAGTTTCCAAATCAGGCCTCGATGCTGGGACGTTAGCCCTTGAAGGGTTAGACGAATAAGCACCATCTGTGCCATAGATGGGTTGACGGAATATAGTATCTGTCACATAACCATGGTAAACTTGTGGTATAGAAGGTTTCTAAGCTTCTCTACCAGGAGTTGGCTGGCCACCATTTGTCGTCGGAACTGCCGAAGTCATCGCAGGGCTGCCATTAACCATAGGCATATGTTTAGGGCTTTGGCTGGAGGTTGGATAGTTAGGCACACCTGCTCTAACTGCTGCCAACCTTGCTGGATCCCCTCCTAGACCAATACCACCCAAGCCGACTGGTGCACCAACCTGCCCTTGACCAGACATCGAATTCCTAATACCCTCGTTCGTTCTTTGAGCACTCTTGGTCGCATCAAAGCGAGCTTTGGCCTGGTCCATGGCTTGCTGGACCTGGTGAGGGTTGAGCGACGTATGGAATGACGAGGTACCCGGAGTTTGGGGATTCGAATTCTGTTGCCCGTGCGGGTTGGGCTGGTTATTTGGTATTGCGGGCGAACCAGTTGGGGGGTAGAAGCGCCTTGATGGGTCATTGCCTATATTTGGCTGACCACCATATGACGGTTGCCTTGTCGGTGTTGCAGCTGGGTTATACCCAGTGTGGTGAGGGATGGGTTGGTGTTGCGGTGGCTGGTGGGAGATATGCGGGGATGCCGTCCTTTGAGGGACGCTAGCCGCGCCATTAGCATATTGGCTATACGGTTGGTGCGTTGGAGTACCATGCTGCTGAGGTTGATGCTGTGGTTGGTAAGGTTGAGGATGATAATTGGGTGTTTGAGCGGCCGGTGGGTATGGAGGGAAACGAGCCTGGGGTGTTTGGCTACCTATGTTAGGATAACCGGGCATGGGTTGGAACGGGGGTCGAGCTTGTGTCGGTGTGCCTCCATAAGGACCGGGCTGTGGGAATGGCGGAGGTTTGTTGAATTGCTGAGGGTAACCCGTATTAGGATAGTGATTGGGAGGCCGGTAGCCCGTGTTTGATGGGGGCCGCTGGGGATAAGCGGCCGGCATTGACTGGGGTGGTCTTTGAATCGCAGGCTGAGGGGGTCGTATTGGTGTTTGCGTGCCGTAGAATGGTGGGGTGGGCATCGGGGCACGGTTGGTGTGATACTGCTGACTATACTGCAGGTTGTTGGAAGAACTTGAAGAGCGATGCGTAACTGGCCGAGGATTTACGGGAGCCTGCGCGGCTCTTGCACGGGCAGCTGCCTCGTCTTCTTCCATTAGACCTTGATATTCATCGGTGCGAACTTCGATCTTGGTTGATATGTTTAATTCGTCCAGCTTATCCGAATTTAGGCGTGCAACGGCATAAGGCGGGAGCATTTGAATAACAAGAGCTAGTTGTGCCTTGAGGGCCTGGTAAGTGGCCGTCTCTTCTTCGCCGGGCTGCACCGGTGTCCCGTTCGTGAGCATATCGCTATGAGACGGATCCGCCGCATATCGACTCTGACTGGATGCAGTCGGAAGGGTCAAATTACGATTCTTCTGGTATGATACCAATGTCTGGATCATGTCAGATACGTCTTGAAGAATATCATCGACATCTTTCTCCTCATCGGGTTTCTTTGGACAACAGGCCTGTTCAAGGCTGGGGTCTACCATAGTATCATCCCAATTTTCCAGAGCCTCCTTAATTAGCTCTTCGTCTACCTCGTCGGCGGGGACGGTGGGGGCATCTTCTGTTTCCTCAGGGGCGTCTTCCGGTAGTTCGGTCTCTATTAAACGATCGAAACTACGCCTTCCTACCTTTTGCCACCACATGGTGTGACTAATTAAACCCGATGAGATCATGGCAGCCGAATCATCCTTTGAGGGAGCAAAACTGGAGAATGCGCCACGAAATAGAGCTTCCATCTCGGACATCTCGAGATCGGAGGAAGATGGCTTGTTTCCAGCCAGGCTTAGAGCTCGCTCGCGTTGCTTTGTCATGATTTGCGAAGGGGGGGCGGCATTGCTGTAATCTAGCCAACGTCCAGTAGAAATCGTCTGACTAAAGTATGACCCAGCTCGGTACTTAGATTTCTCAGTCAATTCAGGGCGATGCCAGCCGACTTGGACCCCTTTGGTGGTGCTCTTGGGCGCCTTAGGAGGCTGGAGCGACGGTAAGTTGCGTGGAGCCGGGAATAGCTCCCCTAGCGTCTTAGACTTCTTGTCCTTCTCAATGGCAGAAGAGAAGGTGTAAGGTATAGCCTTGGCAATTTTAACACCGGTAGGTAAACTATCTTCCCTCAATGATCGAATAGTCGTTTCTGCATCATCGCGTTTGAGGACAGGCTGCTGCAGACTCGAGTACAGCGGCTTCCCCCTCATGGGCTCGCCAATAATTGTTAGCACCGTGTTTCCACTGGCATTCGACTGTAAATCGTTGATCAAATTGAGATCGTGGAGCACATCAGAAACGCGGGGATTATAAGGATATGATAACTCCCGCTTGAAAATGTCATAGGCCTGCCGCTTGAATTCGATAACCTTAGCAATTGCTTCCTCGTTTGCTTTGGCGTCTTGTCCAGGTTGTATGTTTCGTAGCTCGGCTAGGTTGTCGGCGATGGAGATTTTGACGTCGGTAATGATATTAACAAGGTCGTCATACTGCTCTCGAGCCACCTTGTCGGCAATAGAAGGTGACGGTGTTTCATCGTCAGGCTTCTTTCGTTTTGCTTGGGGTTCACCAGACGAGTCCTCAGGATCGGGAAGGGGGCGTTTGAGGACAGAATGCGTTGGGTCAAGCCTATAAATCGTGAGCAGTGAGCACCAGAACACATTTATCTAGTACGCGTGGAGGAAGAAATCGTGGAGGGGAAAGGGAGAGGGGGGAAATGCGCATGACTCGAAAAGAATATTTACGGCTGCAGAGGGCAGAGAAATATTATATACCTTAAAAGAACTTCATAGTAATTACGTATCGTGGACTGGTCGACCTTTGTCGCGCTTGGAAGAGAAGTGTCATCGGTTGCTGTAGGAGTGATGCGATCAATGGGAAGACCATTTGGTGGTTTATCGCCAACATCTGAAGATTCGCGTTTGCGCTTAATGGAGCTACTGGCGATGGATTGCGCGGTATTGACATCGGAATCAGCCCCAGTATCGGGGCTATTAGCATTGGAATTGACGTCGACGTCGGGGCTGTTATTGTTATTATTACTATTGCTGCTGTTGCTGTTGTCGAGTTGCATAGACGCAGTGACGCCGTTAGGGAGTGCTATGGCTGGCGAGGCCATTTTTGCCTAGTTGTATTGTAAATTTTATTTAATTTTTATTGTTGCCGTCCGTCGTATGCGAGATGCGGCGGTTGATTTTCGATGAGCTGCTAGCTGCTAAGAAATTGGCGGCTCCGTCGCGCTGCACGGCCTGTCGGTCGCGATTGAAAAAGGGACTTGGAATTTTGTGGTTGCTTGCTGGTGCGACCCGCGACCTCCCAGACTTTTGGACCCCCAAAAAAGGACCCAAGGCAAGACCAGGTCGTCAGGTACACTGCTGGAAACTGCCCAGCCAGCCAGCTACTACCTACTGCACTTGACTACAGCAGGTATTCCGTAGGCAAGGAGGTACCTATGTAGAATAGGACCACAAAATTCTTGCCAGGGCAGTAAAGAATTGATGGACAGGACCTCACTCACCACCATCCGGCGAACTAACAGACGAAGGTAATAAGAATAGAAAAAGGAACAGAAGTTTTTCTAAACCAAGTCCACCACGAAAAATCATTCGGGGATATCAAAGAATCGGTTTAAAATGGATATGCTATTGAATGCATGTAATTTTAATTTAGCAGTTTTCTTCCTCGAAACTGCATTTATTATTTTAAGAGGGAAGGGAAAAGGCTGCGACAACGAAATGAATCTGTCCGTCCTGACTTGCCTGTAAATGATGGTCCACGCTATGGAATTACGCTAATCCTATCATGGATTGGCTCCATTAGCACGAGCCAACCACCCATTATCATTTGCACGTGATTGACAAAGTAGCTGAGAGTATTCCGTAGATACCAGGGTACATATGTACATATCAGCCTATCGCTTTAGATGCATGATGCATCCTGTGCCAGCGTATTTTCCCTTTTGTTGAAGAAAGCATATACGAGTGAAATTATCATTAGATTATCATGATAAACACTATAACTATGAACGTACGGTTATGTAAGTATATCAAAAAATTTTCATGTCAGACGCTTTTAAATATAGCATTGCTACCGAAACTAGCTCGGGCGTTTCTAACATGTAAGTCAGTGCTGCTCGGACCGGAAAAGATGCATACCACCTTATTACATGCGTCCTATTAACTCCAACTATGAATTCCTCGGGTAGGTAGGCTAGGTAGTTAAGCAGTTTCTACAGAATCCTTCTTGGTAAACGTGCTTCTGCTATTTGACAACGAAACGTGACGCGTTAAGGAAGAAGATTTCTCTAAAGATGTATTTGCAGACAGAGATATGGTTTGAAATTTTCATATTTGGCCGTAGCACCGCTGTCATTTGAAGATAGATCCGACTGTAAGCAGGTATGTACATAATGTACACCGCCGAATGTAGGTACCCTATACAGGTCGGACGTTGTGTACGGAAATGAATGCGCTTCCAAGTACTACTAGACGAACTTAAAGCATACTTGCCTGTATATCGAAGGCCATCTAAATCAGCAAAGAGCCTACTATACGAACAAATCATTAGACAAATAAGACACTATCAGAGTTGGCGAAAAGAGTATGAAATTAGTGGCATGCTAAACGAATACGTGCTGTAGGTATGTAATTTACAATGGAGACGAGGCCTCTTCATGCTCAACGACCAAGTTTCAACGGCAATACCCAAAGAAAAAAAAGGTCCCAGGTCAGGAACCAATTCGAAATGCACTCAAAACCACTATCGCCCTCCAATTATGGTTTAGCCAGTCCAATTGCCATGTTACGTCTCATTAGTCCCGCGAGGTCATTCATACATCCCCTTTCAGATTCTGTTAGACTGCATTTATTTGGCCTTAGCCAGTCCAACGGTGCCCTTTCCGAGGTCATAGATAGAGTACCATCTTCGGAGGAATGCATCACCGAGAATGGCAAGAGGGCCAACAGGAGCAGGGAAGTCCATGCCCATGAAGGTAGAGATACAGCTGCCCTGGACCTCAAGAATGTAGTCGTAGGGTCCGATAGCGAAATCGTAGCCGCTTAGCTTGAAGCTGATATCAGGGAGCGAGTCACGGACGGAGCAGTCGACGGTGTATTGGCCGTTGAAACTCTTCTTAGCACCAATCTCCTTGTTCAGTAGCTCAGCAAGGTCGGAAGGAAGGGCAATTAGAGAAGTGCCGGTGTCAAGGATAACACCGGTGTTCTCAAGCTCAGCAGTCTCGTCACCGAAAGAAATGGAGTCGAAGTCGACCTCCCAGTAAGCCTTACGGCGTAACGGGATCTCGGTGATCTTGCCGGTGTAGTGGTCCTTGTCGACGCCACCAAAAACAACCTCCGAGGAGTCGTCACCATTCTCACCGCTGAGGTAGAAGGCAAAGACGGCATCATCAATCAACTTCTGGTTAACCAGCTGGTAAAAGGGAGGAACGATGCCGTTTACGGAGAGGCGGTCAAAACCTAATCCGAGAATGCCATCGAATCGGCCGAAGGCAAAAGCCAAACCAGGCTCACTCGTAGCTTCGGCAAAATCTTGGTTCTTAACGGTAAGGTCACCAATAGTCAAGGTATCTTGAGACACGAAACCGCTCAAGCTGCCAGATCCGTAACGAATCTCGAACTCAGTCCCGTTCTCCTTGTACGTCGAAGAAGCGGATGAGTCGTACTTGGAGTGGAGGTAGCAAGCTATACTACCGCAGGACGAAGAGGGGACCCAGAGGTTGGAGCTGCCAGTATCAAGAATGACTTTGAAGTCTTGGGGAGGAGTGCCGATGCTAATCTCGGAAAAGTCTAGCAAGTACTAATTAGCGACTGGACTCAAGCTCCACGCGCAAAGATAGGTACACATACATTGAGCATTCATGAAGTTGGAGATGGGAACAGGATGGTCCTTATCCACATGGATGGATGTATCTTGGAATATGGCCTGGCCCTGAGTCTCAGGTCGAGCGCCCATGTACTTCTGTCCGAGACCGCGTACTTGCTGCTCGATCGGGATGCTCTCCTATTATAAACCATCAATACTATGTCGCGTCAGCTAGCCAAGGGAGATACGAACCAGTTGCTCAGCCAGGGGGATCTTCTTGAGCTTCATCTTGTGGACGCCAGCCTGGGCGGAGCCTAGCAGCACAGCTGCGGTAAGCAGAGCTCCCTTCATCATGGGCAACTCCGATCGGTTATCGACTAATTAAAATAACAAGATTCTTAACAAAACGAAAGAATGAACGAGGGTTATCCGAACAAGTTGTGACTTTGGAGATGGAGGGAAATATAGATGAAAGTTGATGATTGATGGGTTGGGTGTTGTAAATAGGTAGAAGAAGGAGGAATGACCGATGATGTTGCTAAGAGACTGGAAGATAACGGTTGAGCTCCCTCTAATCAATCAGCGCACGTCTGTGTTTGGGGGGCAGGCGGAAATGCGCATGCAGGTAGGCGCTTAACCTATCTAGGTAACTTTCTGGGGGTTGAAGTGGGGACTGAGTCTCGTGCAAGATGGGTACAGCCCAGACCGTACAGTACATTCCCTCTACGTAGGTTACGTCCTTTCCCATTGACGCCTTGTGACAAAGCACGCCTTGCCTAAAACCGTCCGAGTCCACCCAATGACGCAGGTGGATTTGCGGATGTGGATCCCATCTGCCCATATGTTCCAACTGTTCCGGGCAACTTGGCAACCAAATGCTTGAGGCAGCAACCACCGATGACACAAGCAGGTACAAGACTCAACGCCACCCGGTCGGGCTTCGTCACATCCAATGGAATATAGCATATCCACATTAATCCGTTCCGAGACACTTAAAGGGGTACCCAAAACATAGAGGAGATTCCGTACTGTACAAATCAACCAATATTTCGAAGATGACTGTAACATGTGACCCAATATCCGCGTTCCCATGTTGGTATGTGAGAACCTCACTAGGTTACCTCACTCTTATTCAGAATATGGATGATATGAAACCTCATATAATATGGTGTCAATTCTCATGTATTTCTCCTACATTTTAGCATGATCCCTTTTGCTCGGGCTTTACACGATTTATGAATATGAATCGCTGGGAGGTGCCAGATGTGATCACGCCAAAAGTGTGTATCCCCAATCTCAACTTCTCATCAAAGACTCAGTATGGGGAGAATGGCTATGTAGAAGGTTTATTAGAAGTCATAGTATCGCGGTCAAGGCTAGGACAAACTTGTTTTAATATGACACAACTCAAGTCTTGTATACACGATGCTATTAGAGCATTGGTAAATCCGTATCCTACCAAGAACATGATGGTATTTATTATTCACATAGTTAGCCTTTCCACTTGACTAGTTATGCTGTGTTATAACGACAAGTTGATTATTATTATATATCTATATATATTATCCGAGACTACCTAGATATCTTGTAAGATTACATCTCGGCAAATCAGTTATATCGACATCATTGAATTTATGAATGAGAATATCGAATGCTGTTGGTAATAATAGGAAACGGGTTACGTGACACCAAGCCAACATGTCCTAAGAAGATAAACCATTATTCAGTTTTCTTTTTATACATGCTGCTACGCGTAGAAACGAGACTGGGTGGTTGAAGAGTATTTAAATTTCTTTAGAATTTTTGTAAAATACTCAAGTGTATTAGCTAAAGCGTGACTCTATCGAGCGATACTTATAATAATAGTACCTAGGTAGACCGGCCGAGGGAAGTCGGCGATTGCAGTCAAGCTCGTGAACCCTGACGGATTACTTGAGTATTTACTTGGGTGTTATATGTGCTTACGTCAGTTATTAAATCCCACAGCTTTATCCTATCAACTAATCCGACTAGAAATCGGTGAATGACGAAAGGGAAACGAATGGCCATATTATAGGTAAGATTAGGTACCTAGGCAATTTAAGTACCTACCTACGTAATGTAATTGTGAGCTTAAAAAACTTAGCAGGCTTATATTATGATACTCTCTACATCAGCAAATGGCAAAAACACGATGAAGATTGAAGCTGAAAAGTTACCCATCGTAACAGTAAGTGTAGGCACCTTGATGGTTGAGCCGATTCGCCGACTTCGGTACAGATCCTCCAGTGTAAACACTAAAACACTAATGGATTAGCCCTGCTAGTAGGGTAGACGCTAAGCTACTCCGCTAATAACTCCGGATCCTTAGGTCTAGGTTAGGTACCTGGACAGCTATGTAGAGTAAGCAATCAGAGAGCGTAAGCAGATAGGAATTCGTCCACTATCACCCCGCTCTTGGTTGACCGTCTAGACTTTGCTTAAGAGGAACCCCACCAAACCCCAATTGGAGGAGAGGAAAAAAAATTATTATTTCCTCTCTTCGCCTTCCTTCCGTCATCCTTCTTCCTTTTTATTACTTATTAAATCTCACCTCAGTCCTCTGAAAAACTTCTTACCAACTCTTACTGGAGAGAGAGAATCTTTCACTTTATATTATTTTTTCTGTACCTGTAGTCCAATCGACATTCCATTCTCATACAATGGCTGCCAACGGTTCTACCTACGCTCTGTCCCAAGAGCACAAGGACGTCAGTAATACCACTTTAGTATCTACTTTGTATTCACGAGAATCATTATGCTGACTCACCCTTAGTTGCTCGAGAGGTCTCTCCTTGACTCTGATCCGGAGGTTGCGGAGATTATGGTAAATTTTCTGCTCTAATCTGATGTCTGATGGATCTTGCAACTGACTCAATCGTCACTACAGAAAAAGGAAATCCAGCGACAGCGGGAGTCTATCATCTTAATTGCCTCTGAAAATGTTACTTCACGTGCTGTCTTTGACGCCCTTGGATCTCCTATGTCCAACAAGTACTCGGAAGGTTACCCCGGCGCTCGATACTACGGTGGAAACCAACACATAGACCAGATTGAGCTTCTCTGCCAGAAGCGTGCTCTCCAGACTTTCCATCTTGACCCGGAACAATGGGGTGTCAATGTCCAGTGCCTCAGTGGTAGTCCCGCAAACTTGCAGGTCTACCAGGCTATCATGCCGCCTGGAGGCCGGTTGATGGGTTTGGATCTCCCCCATGGCGGTCATTTAAGTCACGGATACCAGACCCCCTCCCGAAAGTAAGATTCTACCCCAGTTAATTTCGGCCGACTTCCAACGGCTAACGTTGCTACTTGTAGGATCTCGGCAGTCTCAACTTACTTCGAGACAATGCCATACCGAGTAAACTTAGACACCGGTATCATTGACTACGATAGACTTGAGGAGAATGCTCAACTGTTCCGCCCCAAGGTCCTCGTCGCCGGTACCTCGGCGTACTGCCGTGAGATCGACTATGCGCGCATGAGGAAGATTGCCGATTCGGTCGGAGCTTACCTTGTCGTCGACATGGCCCATATCTCTGGCCTGATCGCAGCTGAGGTTATCAAGTCTCCCTTCCCCCACGCCGATATAGTTACTACCACAACACACAAGTCACTCCGTGGACCCCGTGGCGCTATGATCTTCTTCCGAAAAGGTGTTCGCAGCACCGACCCCAAGACCGGCAAACAGACCCTCTATGACTTGGAGTCGGCCATCAACTTCTCCGTCTTCCCCGGCCACCAGGGCGGTCCCCACAACCACACTATCACTGCTCTTACCGTTGCCTTGAAGCAGGCCCAAACTCCTGAATTCAAGGCATACCAGGAGAAGGTTGTGTCCAACGCCAAGACGCTAGAGAACAAGTTCAAGGCTCTCGGCTACAAGTTAGTATCCGACGGTACTGACTCGCACATGGTTCTCCTGGACTTGAGACCCCAGGCCGTGGATGGCGCCCGCATTGAAGCTGTCCTAGAGCAGATCAACATCGCTTGCAACAAGAACGCCACCCCCGGTGACAAGTCTGCCTTGACGCCTTTCGGTATTCGTATTGGAACACCGGCCATGACCTCGCGTGGCTTTGGGGAGCAAGACTTCGAGCGTGTTGCAGGCTACATTGACGAGAGTATCAAAATAGCCAAGGAGATCCAGACTAGCTTGCCTAAGGAAGCTAACAAGCTCAAGGACTTCAGAGCCAAGCTCTTTGAAGGCGGCAATGGCAGGATTGACGAACTCAGGAAGGAAATCGCTTCCTGGTCCCAGACTTTCCCTCTTCCCGTCGAGGGATGGAGACTGGATGCAGGCATCTAGGATATCACGTATATGGATGAATTACGATGAACCGGGGTGTTATTGTTCAACATATAGATTTGAGGGCGAAAGAGGGGCAACTCAACTTTTCTCTGGTTTGTGGAAACGGGATAGGCTTTATTACGGAAAACAGGATGACAAAATAGGACAGTTGCATGCATTCATCAGGCGTTGCAAATATCAATATCATACGAGCTCCGGAGTTTGGTACAGCTCTAGGGTCTGGGTCATCGGCAGCACTGCTTCAACGCAGTGGATTATGGGGAACTTATATCCATTCGGTGTTTTATGTGTAGATAATAAAGTTGCTAGGATATCTGCATCAGGGCAAATATCAATGCAATTCAAGAATCTTTATCATCAAGTATCGACTCCTATAGGAACTCCGTAAGCAGAACCAGTTATAATGCGTCATGCCCAAGTTCCCTAACTATCACGTCATCTAGCAGCCACTGGTCCTTATTACCTTCATTACAAATACTTATTACAAATAAAACGAATATCCTTAGCATCATAGTACATCAACACCTACACAAAGTATATAATGAAGTGATTTACGTTTTTTCATAGGTCTTCTTAGTTTACTTCCTCATACTCGCCGTTCTTACAGATACCTAATTCTAGAAAGAATCGCAATTTTTGAATAAATAGGTAACTAACCGAGATGTCTCACCCAGATGCCAACTTACATCCCGTCGCGACGGGTCTCGCTAAGAAAACAGTCGACGTACGTATCTAATAAACCTATAGATTTCTACGGCTAGAAGCGGATAAGAAGAGAAGATGTATGGATATATCTTGTGCTAACGTGGTTACGCGCAGGAACACTCGACCGAACAGCCGTTGAAGCTGTTTGCGGGCTGGTTCTGCCCTTTCGTGCAACGAGCATGGATTACGCTCGAGGAGAAAGGCATCCCGTACCAGTATATCGAGATTAACCCCTACAACAAGGGACCTGAACGTATGTAGTCTTGAAGGTTCTTCCACTTCCACCCCCCCTTTTCATAATTCAGGTGTAACTAGAATCACCAATGACCTATTACTACCATTGCTAAACTATTCTTGAAGTCTTGCGCGCCAATCCACGCGGCCTCGTTCCAACCCTTGAGGTTGCACCAGGCAAGTCCTTGTACGAGAGTACTGTGTTATGCGAGTATCTCGAGGACCACTATCCTGATCACAAACCGCATAGTAAGTCCTGTATATTCGGTTAACCATAGGTTTAATGATCATATCTGACGCCTGCGAGGATAGTCCTGCCGGGTGTGGGTGAAGATGATTATACTCGCGCTAAGGCTCGAATCTGGACCGACTACGTGACGAGCCGAGTGATACCTGCGTTCCACCGTTTCCTACAGTTTCAGCCGTCTCAACATGAGGATGGGGAGAAGAGGCTCGATGAGTTGCGGCAGGAGTTTAAATCTCACCTTCTTGAATTCGCAAGGGAGATGGATCCTCAGGGGCCGTACTTTTTTGGCCCAGATCTGAGCCTGGTGGATATTGTTATAGTTCCTTGGGCGGTAAGTAGGTATAATCCTTCATCGAATAACGCTCTTCTAATCATCATGGTACATGTAGGTTCGCCTTTGGGTATTCGAGGAATTCAAGGGCGGCTTGCGTATCCCGGAGCCTGGACAGGGTGGACCAGATGAAGAGGCCTGGGGCCGGTGGCGCCAGTAGCTAGACGCGGTTTCGAGCAGAGACAGTGTTAAAAAGACAACGAGTGATCATGAACACTATGTACCGATCTATAAACGCTACGCGGATGACTTGGCACAGTCGGAGCTGGCTAAAGCTACAAGAGCTGGTAGGGGCGTCCCTTGATTATTTTATGTATTTTTTCACCTCGACTCTAGCGTGGGTGAAACTTCATCGATCAACTCAGAGACAAGACTACGGCTTCAGAGTTGCCTACGATAGATCTATGAGAATAATTTACCTTGGGTACTCCTTCCAATGGATACTGCATACCTAATTGTCATCCAATCCCACTCGAGCCCTCAAATGAAGAAACGAAATGAATATGCCGAACCCCTGATTTACGACCTGTTAGGGGGAAAGCCACCCAGACGCACCTACATAAGATTTGCTGCGGCAGGATCCCGCCAGCCAGATAGACGATAGACGTGAGTCAGGTGGACATTTGCATTGCAGATTAGCACAGCAGAGACTGTTGTCGTGAAACAACGAGAACGTGTCTTCCGGCAGCGACGGTAATTTGATGATATTTTAATCCTTGAATTTTCCTCGCGGAAACTTGCTTGAAAAGCACAGATCGCGAGGGTATTCCCTGTTTATTGTGCGACATATTGTGATGACTAGTAGGCTAGGCGCAGTTCCTTATACCGGAGTCTATCGCAGGTTTTAGCTATGCAAACTCCTATTAGTCGAGCTTTGGCTTCACCTGCATCAATACATCGGGAAATATTTTCGGCGAGCACAATTTCATCTGCACCATATTCCTTCTACCTAATAGACTATTGAACCTAATAGACTATTGACGCACGATGCTTTTTGCAGAGGATGGATTTAGCCTCCAGCCACTTATACCTAGAGGCGTTCTGCAAATCCAATCAACAAATTTTCATTCATAATGGAAATTGCAAGTACGCGAGTATTTTATTTTATTTATGTTTTGAATCAGTTGAAAGAGTTGTATAAGAGCATTAGTTCCCCGCGGATATCTATGACCAGATGTAATGTTCTGTTTGTCTTATATTACACTCCCTTCTATATACTATGGTTCGATAAGACCGCCCACGTTCATTAGCTCAACTCCCTTCCGCAAGTCATCATGTACATTCTGCCCCTTATTGCGGCGTATCTGAGTGTAGTCGGAGCTGCGCCGTTCGAACTCATTTCGAAGCGCTTGCTCGGTGACCACCAATGGGTACGCAGTAAGAGCGATGGCTGCCCAGCCTATCTTGAAGATGGCGAATTCGATCCTCCAAGCTACATAACACAGGTTTCGCAGCGCGAGCCTGACAGAGCTTTTGGTCCACAGAGAAGAGGTCTTATCACACCTAATGACATCTCATCCATCTTCAATTTCGATATACCGGAGTCGCGTGCCGATGCCAATTGTACACTTGAGTTTCTCTTCCCCCGCAGGGACCAGCTTCGCAGTTCCTCTTTTATCTACGAGGGCGACGGCTCCTTTTTATTCACGGGATATCTGGCCGGTAGCTGTCCTGGCCCCGAGACTACGTTCAATAACCAACCGACCCCTGGTACTTTTCCTCCATTTCCGCCTATCCATATGGAACCAGGCTACGCTTGGTATGTATGAAAACAACCCGTATTATTATTTTAAATCCCTGCATTCCTTAGTTATATAATGGCTAACGCTGAGCAGTAAGTGTGACGATCCCTACCCTTTCAACCGATTCGAAAAAGAACGGTGAATATTTTAGAACTAGAGGATAGTAAATCTAATACGGAATGTTTGCATATATTAGATACCATCGACGTTGGCCCCTGTATGTTCGCTGCTGGGACGTGTGTGGCTGGGAGTAAGTCGGCGCTCTGCTATGAGCGATAAGTTCAGGCTGTTAACATGAGTACAGTGACTTCATCCAATGATACAACCTTCAAGTTCCGTCCAAGTACGGACGACTGCCCGATTGGTATCTACAACGCTTATAGTTATGGATTACCTTGTCCACCAGAATACTGTGGATAACAATACGTCTCATATGAGTCTCCTTGTACAGAAAAATGGCATAATTTAACCTCTTGAAGAATGAACGATGAGCCTTATGATGATTCAGCGATTACAGCTGCGGCGTGGACATAGGGATCTTTCTGGATGTCTTAGACATCATTACACTCAGGGGTTATTAGGTAACCATATGGGCGCTGCGGACTTCCGACAAGGCATACTCTGCGGCTTATTGGCGTCATTGGTGTTGGAAACTCCGAGTAATCTACCACAGTTGGTTCGTCTGTATCAATTAATGTTAATTCTTTCGGTCATCTTCCAGTCATACCGAGTCTATGTATATAATAAAAAGGAACAGTTGGCAATTAAGTAAGGGGTTAATATCTTGGCAGTATGCACGACCTATAAACGCGACCGATGTCCTGCCCCCAATCTTAAATACACACCGACTAAGCCCATTGTTTCGGGTGTCTTTTGTTAACACAGTAGTCCGTTACCTATTGAAGGTATCTTAAAAATCAAGACATGTGACTCGTTGATTTCTCTTCGAGCAGTTGATTTTCTACACATATATCCCGAGATAACTTATACTGAGGGCGTTACATAAGTTGATGATCCCTTCTAACATGGTGTGGTGATTGTATTGCTAGCTGAGTATAAAACAGCATGAAAGGCCCTTTCTAGTCTAGACTTAATACATTTCTTTCGGTATATCAATCTATCCTGGTGGCTGAGCCCTTTGCACAACCCCAACTCCCCAAATCATGGCGCTTGTATTGCTGTCACATAGGTATAAGGTTGTATTGCTGTCACATATAAGGTTGTATTGCTGTCACATATAAGGCGTAATTGCTACCCAGCAATTACGGCGTCGTTTTTGCGATAATTGCAATATGATGGAAGGTGAAATGTATGTAGGTCAGACCATATTTGAAACCAAGAATAGGACTGCTCTAGTGGCTATGAGTTTGCGTAACCCCTATCTGATTGTTTGCGCGGCGGAGCCTTTCAGGCCTCCGGAAAAGTCTCGTCAACATCACTTGCCATGACTATTTACTATTTATCTTCCAATAACTGAGTGACTTCATTAAATAGCATCTTCCTACTTTCAACGTGTGGATCAAGCTATATGGGTAATTACACCTCGGCAGACTATTAGGCTGCGAAATATGGCGGACATCCCCCCCGCGGAGCCACTGTAAGTAACTCCCATCCACTCTTGATTGAAAGACTGATACCTAGTAGTGTTCCTGAAGAAGAGTCTATTAGCCAAGCAGGAGACACTCTCAGAGGGAATGTTGACCATCCAGCACGGCAGCAGGACTTCCGTGCTAGCTGTTTTGCAAAAAGGAGTACCCTGTCTCAGTGGTTTCCTCAAGTCCAAGACGACGAGGGTAATAGTAAGCGTATATATTTCTCGAGAAGAGGGCGAGCAATCTTGATACAAATACTTCTGATTAGTATCGTATTCGTTACTAATATTTCCTTGACACTATTCACAATTACTCGATATGATAGCCAAAACGGCGTGGGGACTATCTATGAGGGTGACTGCGGCAAGGTCAAAGCCCTGAACCAGTGGTCTCATCTTCTAATCAACTGCCTTGGGACTGGTATGCTTTCGGCATCAAATTACTGTATGCAACTCCAGGCGGCTCCTACTCGAGCAGATATCAATCGCGTTCATCACGCTGCATCGCACAAAAAAGATAAAACCCACCAAGAGGAGCAATGGCTCGATATTGGTGTGCCAAGTTTACGGAATCTCCAGCATATCAATAAATGGAGACGGCTGGGCTGGTATCTCTTAGCTCTAACATCCCTTCCTATCCATCTGATGTAAGTCAGAATGTGCATTTTCATGAACGCATAAGCTAAATTTGAAGCTCGTAGGTACAATTCGGCTGTTTTTCAGTCACTTGCATCGAATGATTATACCATTGCTGTCGTAAAGAACTCCTTTGCGAATGGTAGCACTTGGGATCTCACAACAGCAGAAATTAACCGAGCAGGAGATTACGGGTGGGAAGACACGGAAGACGCTAAAGTAAACCCATATGCCTATAACTACACCGAAATTATTCAGACAATGCAACGAGATATGTCTGGCGCCAGATGGGAGAGAATGAATATCTCCGCTTGTTTCGCATTATACAACGATTACTTCGCTCCCCAAGGCAATGGTGTTATATTCGTCAAGAATGACACTGGTTCAGACGACGACAGCCTACTAATGTACGTCTCTATCCTACCGCGCTGGGACAACTGGGCAAAGAATATGTGGGCTGCTGGTAATGGTACGCGAAATTTCGTAGCTAAGGAGCCAGAACTTCCGGTAACCAAATGGTTTCTGGGGCCCAAGAGATACGAAGTATCGTATTGCCGAGTTCAATCTCCCAGTACTATCGCCAACAAATGCCGCTTCCAGTACTCTCCGCCTATTATGTTCACCGTATGTGCGTTTAACTTCATCAAGATACTTGTGATGCTCTGTATCTGGGCTATGAGAAAATGGCAACATCCGATGCGTGACGATGCGGATGGGACGATTCTATATACCCTCGGCGACGCAATTGCTTCGTTTATGCGTAATCCGGACCCGACAACCGTTGATATGTGTCTTGCTACCAAGGATGACTTTATACAACGCCGGTCGTCGAAGTCCAATCCCGTGGAACAGCCCTTCATTCTAAACCGGGAACCTAGGGAATGGGGAGGACAAGGAAAGTTTTGGTTTATGGCTGCTAGTAAACGGCGGTGGTTCGTACTACTATTTTCGTGAGTACCTAAAATATGCGAAGACTAGCAATATTTAACCCCTTTAATTCCAAGGTATTAAGGGGCTGACTTGTCTCGAGATGGTGCCTTTTCATCTTGATAGCTGGAATTCTACTCGGGTTATCTTTCAGATGCCTCAATCACCGAAAGCTCCCTTGGACAATTTCCGGGCTTTGGCAGTTGGGTTTCGGCACTCTTACTCCATACACGTACCTTGTTGTCGGATTACCACGGGAGGATCCCGCAGGTTTAATCTTGCATGTGATTCTAGCTAATCTTCCGCAAGTAGCCCTATCGTTTCTTTATATTTTCTATAATGCTATGCTGAGCACCTTTCTTGTTCAACACGAATTTAGTCGCATGCATTCCAAGCGGCGGAAACCGCTTCGGGTTTCGGAACCCATGGGGATTCAGCGGTCCAGTTACTTTATTTCCGTTCCACTCCGCTATGGCATACCCCTATATACGACTTCCAGCATAATGCACTGGCTGGTATCACAAAGCTTTTTTCTAGCTAGGATAACAGCTATATGTGGCGATGGTTCTCCGAAGAGCTGTCCAGGTGGCCAAGTCGACAGTGTCAACTCATTCTCTACATGTGGGCATAGCCCCTTTGCCCTTTTCATCAGTATGTATCTTCGTGCAAAAGTCTCAAAATCCTATCTGACAACTAACAGCATTGATTACCGGATGCTTGATCGTGTTATCCATTGCAGCTATGGGGTTTCGCAGGTACGATGGGACCATGAGCATGGTATCCACTAATAGTATGGCAATCAGCGCCGCGTGCCATGTCCTCGAGGAAGATCGTGAAGAGGCCTATCTTTTACCAGTTCGGTGGGGGGTAGTAGAAATAAAGGATGGGGTTGGGAAGTGTACATTTACGACGGCTCCAGACGATAAAATAAAGGTACCAGAGGTTGGTATGAGGTACAAGTGACATTCTGGTTCTCGTGAGTGTCTCGACCTCCTAGTACCTGTCAGGGTATAATGGGTCAGGGTGGCTACAGGGGTCTATACGAGTATATAAGAGGCGCAAAGCGCCCTCGTCAGAGGTTAGAAGGCCAGGCGTTACTAAGTTCAATACAATTACTACTTGGTCTACCTACCCTTGAAATTTACTCTATGCATGATTCATCTCACTAGGGCATCTAATCCTGACAGTACCAATAAAATGAGTTTACTCTTGTTGTGTATGGTCCAGTATCATGAATAAGCTGCCAACAGTTGGAGTTTCAGGATTTGCCTTCTTACTATGCAAGCGTAACCTCTCAGATGCCGCTCTGGCTTTGCCGTTTGGAACCGAAGCCAAGTAGTGTATAAATAGCCATTGCTTGGCAAAGAGAGACGTCATTCGGATACTTGAAATGTAGCGTTAGTAATTAGCGAGGATATAGCCGATAACGGTTAATATGTTGTATGTTCATGACAACTTTTCAATTGACACCGAGAAGATACCAATCATGTAAGTTTACTACCACCCAAGGAATAGACCTTGACGATATTCTCGCGAAAGCCAGTCTTGGCCTCTCCGCAGTAATGTAACTTGGGGACGAGACGTTGCTGGGATATATGTTATAATGTCACCTTAAAACTTATGATACCAGCTTATAAAAAGGCCTCTCATTTCCGTTATTGTTTTACCTAGGAGTCCCAAAATACTATTGATGGTCTTTACGGAATTCTTCTAGTCAAAATGCGTGCCTCTACCCTAATTGCCGTTGTGTCGGCGCCCCTCATGGCACTAGCTGCCCCAATTGTTATTGAACGACAAGGAACCTCCAAGTTTTGCACACGAATTACACCAGCACCTTCTGCAGAGGAGACTGAGAAGAGGTTTAACGAGTTTGCTGACCTTTTCCTCGTGAAGAAGGATGTTTACAAGGCCTTCGAATATATCCTTCCCGAATATATCGTACGTTTAGAGAATAAATACTATATATTTCAACTTCAAACCCGGTTGACCTAATGATTTATAGAACCACAACCCCCTGGCTCAGAACGGAGCTCAGAATGCTTTGGACATCCTCGGTCCGATCTGGGGAAGCCAGTCGATAACAGTGCTTCGTACCAAGTTTGAAGGCGAGATGTCCTGGCTTAACTACAGGAACTCGATGGGCGAAATAGTAGATCGATACCGCTGGGAGGATGGTTGCATCATCGAGCATGTACGTTGATAATCTCCTTATAAAAGCCTTTTCAAGTCTACCTACCTATCTAGATACAACAAGATTAAATACCCGGGCACTAACTAATATTATAAATAACCAGTGGGACCAAGGAGAGAAGTTTCCACCTACTTAGATGAACTACCTAGGTACCCAGTCACGGTCCAGAAACCAAAAATGTATGCTTTTATGTACCTACCTACCTACAGAGCCAATATATAATATCACGGATAAGAGTACCTAAGGCAAATGGAAATATTTGGGTTTCTAATTAGAAACTAGTAATTATCAGGATTAAGTCACAGCACCATTACATGCGTTTTTTAATGCACTCCTAAGAATGTGAACTCATTAGTTCCACCGGCTCTCTGTAAGTGGCCATCTCTAGTACTCTCCTCTGTTCATCAAGTTCGTACTTCGGGGCCTGGGGATCTTGACATCCTTTGTCCGCATTGTGACCTTTACGTTTGCCAATTATATATGCTACCACAGTGATTCCAAGGAAGAAGAGTACCCCAAGAGAAACGCCGAGACCGATACCTACTTTGGCACCGATACTGAGGTTGTTAGACTCGTGAATGTCGGAACTAGCCTCGGTTGTTGGTGTGGATATAACGCTATGCTCAAGATTCTGCGAGCTTGTCGCAATTGGCATACTAGCTGTCGCGCTTGGCATACTCGTTACTGCTTCTGACGTACTTCCAGTGGTAGTAAGGTTGAAACTAGTCGATATTGGCCACTCAACGTCTTTTGCGGCTCTCCATACGATGGGTCCTTTAGCAAGAACTACTGCGCCGGCATCGTAAAAGACGTTAGTCGTACCGATCTTCGAAGGCGTATGAGAAATGTACGTAAACACATCCACAGCAAATAAAGCAGCGGACGTCAAAGTCGACTCGCAAGCATTGGGGTCACCAGCCACGCGTGGGCGACAGACGAAGTTGCTATTTCTTTGCCCAGTTTGTCAGTATGTTTGTTCATGTCACCCTAGGAAATATCCTCCATAGTGTACACGATCTCACTTACCCGGGACAGCATGTAGCAGCAGTAGCATCTGGCGTTCTAGATACTACGTCCGCTGTACAAGCGTAGGTATACCCTTGTGGACAGACACCCGGAGAATAATAGTAGTTGTTTTCGGGCTGGAAATTTGAAGGAAGACAGCCGCTAATGGTTCCTTGTTGTAAAAATTCTCCGTCTGTAGTGCTTCCTAAATGTATCGACTGACAGTCAGTACGATCAGGCTGGTAAGCCGTTGTGAGAGCTCCGAGATTCGACATGTGTGCAAAAGATAGAATGATGACAGTTCACAAGTTGTGATTGCTCCTGTCATGTTATTTAGTTAACCTTACAAAGGGGGATGGATACAGGTAGCTTAGACGTATTTGGATGTATTAATCAAGGCGGGCGCTTACGAGTCCTCCCAGACAGCCACCACTCTTACTACGGATCGGGAGAGGCGTTTTTCAGGCACATGTAACGTCTAAAATAGATGCATTGCAGATCAATAACGATTTAGTGTCACCACACCTAGATATATCTCTGAAAATTCTCATCTCGCCAAATATCGAAACAAAAAAAAAATTAAGATCTGCTCATTCTGAACCAGCCCAGTTTAAGAACATTCTTTCCATTCTACCTTTCGTTCTCGGGATGACTACGCGATTTTCTATATATTTGCTCTAATAGGTACTTAAGGCATGTGCTCTGGGTTAGTTATGCTGTCTTTGGAAAATGTACTTCACTTTTCGCCGCCACCTGTATTGGACGTGGTGGCGTGTGCCCCTGCCTCAAATTACTATCGGAGATATAATTAGAAGCTGGATAGGACAATGATCCCCAAGTTGCAAGTACGGGAACACAACTAATTGTAATCATATTCCGTTTAGAGCTAACTACTTGGATCGGATACTTACCTACCTAGGCACCTAGTTAGTCGTATATGTGGAATACTTCAGCAGGACGCGTGTTAAACTTGTATATACTACCTAGGTACCTTCACAGTAGCTATCGAGGGGGGGTTGATTTCACTATAGCTCATCTGCGAGATACTATGTAGGACTTGGATATACCTCTACCTGAAGTCTAGGTTAGGCATGCTAGGTATACGTAATATCTTATCCTAAGTAGTCATACACTAGAGATATACACCTATAATTGGGAATATTTTGACTTACGTGACTACCAATTATACCCAATACCAGGGATATTATTTCGTTCGCCCCTCTCATAGTCAATAAGGCGGACTCAAACAATCTTAATCTCACAATTGTAAAACTGCGATTTTATAATATCACTATGGCTTCAACCATCCCATCTCAGTTGAACATCGCATTAATCCAGGGCTCATTTCAACTTCTGGGAGTATACGGGAAGTTGACAAAAGCCCTCGAAGCAAAAGGCTATCCTGTTTTCCACCCTCTTCTTCCAAGCTTAGTGGATCCAGACAAGCCTGACTTTGCTTCGAAGTCTCTTTCTACCGACGTAAATGCTATACAGTCAGCGCTTCGACGCTTGATTGAAGAGGAATAGCGAACCGTGCTGGTTCTTATGCATTCTTATAGAGGTCTTGTGGGAAGTAAAGCAGTCTTGGAGGAGTTTGGCTGGAACAAGCGTAAAGACAGGGGTTTGACCGGTGGAGTTATCCATCTGTTCTTCGCCGACTTTGTTCTTGCGGAGGTGAGCCTCCTATCTCTCCTTTTTATAATAAAACTAAACATTGGCGGTATCGATATAGGCCAATCGGTATCAAGTGCATTCGGAGAGTCTCCTAACAATGAGATCCGTCCCGGTGGTCGTCTCCGCGTCAAGAACCCCGCACAGGCATTGTACAGTGACTTACCTACCGAAGAAGCCGAGTATTGGACGTCCAAAATAATCGATCAGTCCTATGCCGCCCAAACAACTGAGCTTATCCGGGCCGCATACCGCTATATATCATCGACATACGTGGTGTGTGAGAACGACCAAGGTCCGCCGCCGCGGTACCAGGAGATGTGGGGTAAAAACGCAGGCTCCGTTATGCTCAGAATCAACTCGGGGCACTCTCCAATGCTTAACAAGACGGACGAACTTGCGGATATGATAGCGAAAGCCGCGCAGGGTGCAATTAATCATGCTCATTGATATCATTGATATAGTTCATCAAGTTAAACACCCAAATTACCATAGCTTACTCCCATACCTCTTTACTAGTGCTCCGTCAGTCTTATGTACCTTAGGCAGGTATTTCATAATTGTGAAATAATAGAGTCTTGATCAAAGCATCGCCATTTTCTACCTGACCCAGGTACCTAATTTATCTATTATGACCGTACTTAGGTAGGTAGACAGCTAAATCTTACTGCGGAAGTTAATCCTGTATTACAAGTAGAATGGATATGTTAGGGTCTACATAAAGATGCGTGGCGAAGGGATAACGAAGATCCCTGGGGTAATAAATGACAAGATAATTCGGCCGAAGACTGAACCGAAATGAACTGAAAACTTATACCGATATCTTTCCCGTGTTCTTTTAAGAAGACGATGATGTAATCAGCTGAATACTTTGTTAAATACGGATTAGAAAAGAGACCATAGGTCACCCGACCTATGCCCCACTCCCCACCTAACCTGTATAGGGGCAACTTATATAAGAAACCTTAATTTACTTAACTTGTATAATAGTTTAATAAACTTATAAAATAAAATTTACTTAATCTATAAACCCCTACCATTTTTATACCGTATTATTAATAGGTATTTATTAAATAATTACTTATTAAAATAGCGAATTTTTAAAAAGTATATTTATTTATATAAGTAATAATTTAAATAATAAAAAATGGTTAATAATTTAAATAATAAAGATTTTATTAATTTTAATTAAAATAAAAATATTTAAAATAAATATTTATTATTATTTAGTTAAAATTTATAAAATATTTATAAAAAATTTATAAATTATTAAATATAAATTTTAATTTTATTTATGTTATAAATAAATGTATTTTTTAATTTATTAACCCATTTTAATCTTTAATATATTATTAATAAACCTTCGTTAATAAATTAAACTATAATTTAAAATAATGCTTTAATAAAAAACAAGGCTTAAAAAAATATTATATAATACTTAAAAACTATTAAATTTTTATTAAATATTTTACAATTAATATTAATTAAAAAAGTTATATTAATTAGTAAGTTATAATATAAAAAAAATATTATTTATATTAAATATATTTACGTTATAACTACTTTTTTTATATATTTAAAAATATATTTCAATAGTGTATTTTATATATACTTTATATAAATATTTATTAAAGAATTTTAAAATTACTTATAAAATAATATTAATTTTTTTAAAATTTATATAAGTTTTATTAAATATTTGTTAAATATTTAATAATTATTAATTGTTTATAAATATAATATAATATAATATAAAAATTTCCAAAAAAACATATTACTTTAATACTATTAAATAATACCTTTATAATGTAATATATTTAAAAGTATATTAAAATTAAAATTTATTTATACTTATATTTAAATATTAAAAATTATTACTATACGTAAATTTAAAATAATAAATTTATATAAGTAAAAGTTATTAAATTTAATAAAATATATAATAAATATTTAATAATAATTAAAATAATTATTTTTAATTAAATAGCTCGTAAATATTAAAAAAATAATACGGTATATTTTAAAAAGTTTATTAAATCTTTAACGAAAGTGTTTAATAAAGACATTTCGTAATAGATTTATAATTTATAAATTATAATAAAAGATAAAAATTAAGTATATATTTGTTTTATATTTATTTTATATTTATTAAAATTTTATTAAATATTTTTTTAATATTTTAATAATAAGTTTCGGATATAAATAAAATATTATAATTTAGTAATTAACTTAATAAGTCATATATATAAAGAAATTTTATTTTGTTTTTTAAATTTTTTTTTTAAAAATTATTTTCTTATAAACGATATTATTACCGATTATAATTTAAAGCGGTTTTTATTAAAAGATTTTAAGTTTTAAAAAATAATTTTTAAAATGGAAAATTATTATAATATATTAAATATTATAATATTATAAAACCTTAAATATTATAAATATTTATTAAATTTTTTTAATATCTTTTATAAGTATTTACCGATTTTTTATATAGTTATTTTTTATATTAATAATAATATAAAATTAAAATATATGGATTACGAAATTATATTCCGATAATATTTTTTAATAAATAAAAAGTAATATTTTTAAGGATATTTAATAATTTATAAAAAATATATATACCCGTTAAGTTAACTTAAAAACCAATCGGAAAGCTTAATTTACCAAATAATATTTACAATTTATAAAATAAAAAATCTTAACTTAATATTAAGTAAGTTCTTAATTTTTTATTAAGTAACTTTTTTAATATTTATCGATTATTTTAGGAATTTTTTATAAAAATAATGCCTTTTAAGAATTTTTAAATAAATTTAAAAGTAAAATTTTAAATAATTTTTATTTATATTTTTTTAATAATAATATAATATGTTAGATCTTATATTAAAAAAAAGTAATTTATTTTTTAATAAGTTTATTACGTTTTACTATATAATATAAATAGGAATTAAATTATAAAAATAGTTTTATTAAGGTAAATATTTATAAAGTTATTAATAAATAGTTATAGAATATTTTATAAGTTAATTATTATAGTATATTTAAATATTTTACAATAATAATATTAATTTAATAATTATTATATTTTATAAAAAGTAAATTAAGTTTTTAAAGAGCGTTAAAAATAGGTTTATTTAAATAAATATGAATTTTAAATATTTGATTAATTTAAATAAATATGAGATTATATAAAATATTTTTAATTATTAAATGCGGAAAGGTATGTATATTTTACGAGTATTTTATAAATATTTATTAAATATTTATATAATATTAATTTATTTTTAACCGAAGTAATTGTTAAGGTGATAATTAATTTATAAAGTGTAAATATATATTTATTTATATATTAATATATATTTTTTTATATGAAAGATGTTTTTAATTACGAGTTAAGGATAAAGTATATTTATGGCGACGGTATTATTAATATTATTGTTAATTAAAAATAGGTAAATTTTTAAGGTAAGGTTTATTAAGGATTTATGAGGGATTTATTAAGTATTAATTTATTTTTAATTTAAAGATATTATTTATTTAAATGTGTTGATTTATAATAATGCGGTTAATTTTATTATTATATTTATTTAATATGCTTTTATTATATTTATTATGAGTGTAATATTTAGAAATTATTTAAAAAGGATTGTAATAAATATAAAAACTTTTTATATAATATTTTTATTTATTTATTAAAAGTTAAAATAATTAAAAAGTATAATAAAATCTATAAGAAGTTAAAGGGTATTTTATAAATCTTTATTAAGGTTTTTATTAATATTAACTTATTTTTTAAGAAAATAATAATTTATTAAAGAAATTTTAAGGTTAATTAATTAAATAAAATATTAATAAAAGGTTATTATTGTTTTAAGTTTTATTTAATATTATTTAAATATAAATCTTAACGATTAAGATTTTATAAGTGTTTATATAAATATTGTTAAATTATTTTATAAATTAAATTATTAATGAAGCGGTAAATATTACTTATTTTTTATAATAATTTAAGATAATGTTAAATAAGATATTTATTATATTTAATAAGTCGATATTTATAAAAATTTTAATGTTTGTTATAATTAAATTAATATATTATTTAAAATATATTAAAGAAATGTTATAAAAAAGAAAAGTAAGTTTATTAAATAATTATTAAATATTGTATAAGTATTTATTAAGGTTATTATTTAATATTATAAAAAGATAAAGTTTTAAAAAAAAAAGTTGTAAATTATATAATTAAAGAGGATTTTCTGGTATTTAACGTTTTAAAAAATATTTATATATTTTAAACTTTATTTATTAATTTTATAATATTAACATTGCGTTAAATATTAAGTTTTACCTTAAGGTTTAATAATTGAAAAATAAAAAAATTAAAAAGGTAAATATTTATTTAATATTTTACAGGTATTTAATAAATCTTTTTTAATTATTTATTAATAAGATTAAAAGAAATGTAGTTTAAAACGTATATAACGAAGCCACGCGTATAAAAGATAAAGCTTTTACGTGGCGTTAACGTAAGTTATTATTAAAAAAAAAGTAGTTTAAATTTAAAAAGAAATAAATAAAATTAATTAAGGATAAGTGGGTTTTTAAATAGGAAAGGTAACATGATAATAAAAAGGAATAAGTAAATTTATTATTCATTAATTTTATGGTTATAAATTAATTATTTTTAGAAAATTTTATATAAAATTTAATAAATATTTGGTTAATATTTAATAATTATTAATATAAAATATTATTTATTTTTTTATATAATAATTTTATTTAATTTAATAATTTATTTAATATATATATTTTTAATATTTATTTTAAAATATTATTTTAAAAAATTAAAATTTTTTATAAATCTTTAATAAATATTTATTAAATAATTAATTATATATTAAAAATATTAATAATATTTTATAGTTTTAAAAATATAATTTATTTATAAATATTTAAAAAATATTTAATAAATATTTAATAAATAATTAATAAACACTTTATTATTTTAATTATTTTATATTAAAGGTATTTTATTATTTAAAAGATATTATTAAATTGTTATAAAAAAATATTTAAAAATCTTTTATTTAATATTTATATAAATTTTATTTTTATTTATTAATTTTATTGTTAATAATTTTATAAATATTAAAATATTTATTATTTTACCTTTATTTATAATAAAAATACTTATTAAATATTAAAATAATATTTAGGTAGTAATTAGGTTTTTTATATTTTTATTTAAAGCGTTTATAATTATGTTTACTGTTACTTTATTAAAAGATTTTAAAAATTATACGGGTATTTTCGAACGGAAAGTTTATTATTTTAAATTTATTACATTACCATTACTTATAGATTTATTTTAATTAAGAATATATTTATTATTAATTGGATAATAAATATTTGGTGAAAGCTTTAATAAAGATTTTATAAAATTATTATTATTATCTTTAAAAATTATTTTAAAACTTTCTTTAAAA